ACTAATTATGTGGAGGGTAGACAATAGTTTGGTTCATTTGATAATTTCACTAAGAATAATAAATTAAAAGTTGATTTAAAATATCTAGAAAGGGAGATCAAAAGAATATCCTTAAAAGATAGAATCATTTACTCATTGGCATGGTCAATGTTTAATTTTTGGCCTACACTATGATCAAGAAGGGGCCTATTGAATTGATCAAGGTTTGATTCTCTTTTCTATTTCTACTTTTTTAAAATGAGAAGTGAGTCAACTCTTTCCTCTCATCACTTTATGGGACCTTGTTCACAATATTTTATAGTGGTTCATCATATTGCCTATATCCACTCCCCAAGAACATACATGTTTTTTGGTTCCACTATCACTGATAGTTCAGTGTCACTTGTGGATTATTAGGGTCAACTCCCATAAAGTTTCTCCATAAACTATATTCTACATTCATAACCCTAGAAAGCTTATTGATGTTCATGGAATATCTCCTACAATAAATATAAGATTCTATTTATGTCCACCATAAATATGAAAGATTTCACTATATGTTTTGTTTCAAGTATGAGTTGAACTTTAATACTTTAGATGTTTGATGAAGAGGAGATGCCTCATTGATGATTAAATACTTCTCTCTTCTCATGAGATACCAATTTAGTATTGAATGCTTTCATAGTTTTGTTCAATCAACAAAGTTCTTTAATGTGCTTGGGCTTGTTTTGCATTAATCGCTCTTGAGTCTCCTCTTATAGTACACTTAATCTTCCATTCTTTCTCACTTTGAATGTCTGCTAGCAGAACAATTTCTTTCAAGCGGGTGAGTGTGAGATAAAGTGATTGATTAGAGAAAATAGTCATTGTTATTCTCATTGGAATTTTAAGGATATTTATAGATGTATCTTTGTATATAAAATCTTCCACTCTCTATACACTTTTCAACATCACTTTATACGTAAAATAAGATGTACTAAAATACTTGTGTGAGACTAATACTTAAAATAATATAAATTTAAATTCTTGTGTGAGATTAATACAACATATCCATTACATGAGTCTAATATCCTTGAGTAGACCAATATGTGTATCCTTTATTACTTAGCATATCATGTCTATTCATTTTGCTTTTGTATCGAACTTATGGTGAAGAAATATTTATAGTGAAGTTTCACATATATTGAATGTGATCACATATAATAAATCAAGTTCCACATTTGGCCATATTATATATTTGATAGTCATGACTATGAATATAAACATTCAATGTGATACTTGAAGTATTCAGAATATTATAACAGGTGAGAATAATTTTTTTCGTACGTGGTCTATCAAATCTCTCTCTTTCAATGTAGATTCTTTCATAATTCTCTCTTCATCACTAAAAATATTGAAATATTTTTTACTAGTTTATCCTTCACTTAGCTACTTATAATTTCAAAGGATCCTTTTAGAGTTTAAAATTTTCACTCAACAATACATACTAATTTTAACAAGATCAATAAATCAATCACATCAATTCAATTTTCTCAAAAACCTTGTCCCTCATAGGCACAATCTCATTATCAAGACTACGTGCTTTAAATGGGTCAAACTAGACTCATTTAATTCATCATTGTCTCCACATAATCTGTGAACATGTCAGTGTCTAAATTTTGAGTTCAAGTCTTACAAATGACTTTTATACTTTGTGATTTTTTCAAGCATTTCTTTACTAAGGCTTCTGACTTATCATTTGAATTTTGAGTTCGTCTTGCAAATGTCTCAATTATTTTGTGATTTTTGAAGTATTTTTTCACTAAAACTTATAACTCATTGTCATCTAGATTATGGATTCGACACCTACACTAAACCTAATATTATGTGAATTTCTAAATATTTCATCATGTGCATTCACATTAAATTTTAGTTCTAACATATAATGATCCTAAGAATTAACCCATTTGACTGATTTGTTAGCCATAAGATTACAAGAGCATTAACATTATATGTATTGAACAATTTTTAGAAATATTAAACTTTTAACACAAACTCTCATGAAATTCATTGAATATTTTTAGTAAATACTTAATAAATAAAATTTTATTTGTAATATCAAAACCAATGGCATCAATAGACTTTATATAATATTTATACAAATGCTAAATTAACTAGAAAGGTATTGTGAACTTTATTCTCAATTGGAGACCTAGGTTGTAAATTTTGAAGAAAAATAATTTGGGCAAACTATCATGAGATGAGCTAAAATATTTTTGCTGAGATACAAGTTTGGATTAAGTAAGGGCTATGAATCTTATGAAAAACTACTAAGAAAGTATATTGTTTTTTAAGGTGATAACTATCCGACTTCATCGAGTGAATGTGATAATGAGGATATTGCCTTACTACCTAAATAAATCAATCATAAAAAAATTGCCTAGATTTTTATCTACTAAACTTGAGCTAATGTTAAGATCATTGGATTAAAATTAGATAAGTTTATTTTTCAAACTGATCAGAGAAAATTATTGGAGAACATAAATTATATTTATTATCAAGAAATTAGCATAAATCAATAAAAAATAGACTAGGATATTCACAAGAAAAGATAGCATAACATTACTTTTGTAACTTAATATTTTTTTATGATAATAGATATTATTTCATAGTTTATATTTCAAATAGAGATACAAAAATGTAAAGAGAATTAAGAGAAAACACATTTAGATGTCCAAACAAAAATTAAGACCTTTGATATGTGACATGACACAAAAAAAATTGGATCCCCAAACTAAATATTTTGCCTAAATATTTTAGGGGAACCTCCAATGTATACAATTACCATGATACTTATATTGAAGATAGATAACTTGAGAAAAGAGATGAGTACCATATTTGGTGGGAATAGATTCAATTTGATTTATTAATAAGAACAAAGTCGTTGCTCTCCACATGCATGCAAATGGGATTTGTACCAATGCCAAGAAAAAAATAACTTCATAAAATTATTTGAAAGGTCTCTAACATAAGTGCATAAACCTTTGCTAGTCGCTAGCAATGGTTTTTGATGCATGTGTATTTTTATTTGATGAGATTGAGAAGATTGCTTTCACTATGCTATTAGAAATACATTACATCTTTGATTGACCTTAAAGAGCAATGGTGCTATTATAAGTAACAACATTTTAATTAATATTCTCTATTTTTTTCTAAAATCCTCATGTATTTCCTTTTCATTTCAGTAACATTTAAAGCTTTCTAGCATTAAATTATTTTTGCCTTTATTTTCTACTCTCTATAAACATATAGTACCATGCAACATCACCTAAATAGCCCATGTAAATTCTTTTAGGTTTGGATTTTAACATGTTCATCACTACATAATTGTTACACATTGTTCAACTTCCTAAGTTAGCATATAGTTTTATAGTTATTTGTATCATATTTTTGCATAAGTGAAATCAAAGAGTTTATCAAATGAGTACTAGATTATGAAGTAACACATAAAGTACACCTTGGTTTCATGATACATCAATGCACTTATTCTAATAAGATAGTGAATGAATCTTATGATCTGATTCATAAATAACATAAATTTTCTTTTGCAATTCTCATATTTCATGTTCATTTTAGTCGATGGGATACTCCTAGTGCCTTTGTTTGTGACACCTTAGTCTTACAGAAAGGATTCAAAGCAACAATATTGAAATCATATAAAGATGATTATGTGGCCTTAATTAATAGCATTTACCTTGCATCTTAATGAAAACTAATGGAAATATAACTCCTAAAAAATAAGGTTATGACCTTTAATATAGAAATCACATCCCTCTCGTTCTTTTCTGACATCAAACAATCTCACTAAGATCATAGCTTTTTACTAAAAAGATTTTGACTTATTTTAAATATGCATTTCCCATAAATGTCATCTCTTCAATTTTGGCTCCCAAGTACAACAATTAATAAGGTATTAACCAATTCAAATTGGCTCTAAACATATATTCAAAATTTATCTTTCAATGTTGCTTTCTAGTTAAATTGAGAATTTCATCATTTTAATCATAATAAACATCTTTAAATAGTGAAATTTATAATGATAAAAATAAAAATATTATAATTGAAAATATTATAGTTAATAGTCTAATTATTTTAATATTTCATCTAGACTATTTTATAAACTAAGTTATTGAGTAATTTTTATGTTCACATTTATTTCCTAATTAAAATTGAAGCAAGGGTTCAAGTAGAACCAAAGCATAACAAAATTTATTTATCATTTTAATTAATTAATATTATAATAAAAATTTATTAAATGCTGCGATAAAAATCCTCCATGAAATGATATTTGATGTACAAAAGTTCATCAATATTATTGTGGGCACATTATGATTGAGATCTACCTAATTTTGGATTGTTCAAGAGGCAGTGGGCCCACCCTTTTACCTTGAAGCCTCTATGTGCGAAGCTGACTGGGCAGAAGGTTAGGTCCAACTCTAAGCTTCCTCTAATGGGTTATGTAATGGGTCCGGGCCCATTGACTATTTTTAAGCCCAATCATGAAAAGAAATAATCAATTGGGTCGGAGGGGATAAGATTGAGTCAGCGTCATCCGATTAAACTATGCTAAAAAAAACAATAAAATTATTTTTTGAAAGCCGCGCTTTTAGACGTGCCCAGCGGCAAATCGGTATCACCTACCCCACGTCATCTTACCCCTTCCTCTGTCACGTGCACCAACTCACGAGACACGTGCGCCCGCCCCCCGTATCCTCGCGGCGGATCGTCCGAGACGGTTTTTGCTGTACGGATGCATGATGGGATAAACCCAAATGGGAGTAATCCAATAGAATAATGACACGTCAACAAAAGAATATATAAACAGGCAACCAATGGTGCGTATTTAGGAGGTATGATTTGAAACGTATTAGTGAGACGTCCATACAGATAAAAATGGTAACTCGGCCCTTCCACTTCGACCAGTCCCACCGGAAAAAAAATCCCCAGATCCGGCGGCGCGCGAGGAACTCTGCTGGACGGCGATGGCGTCTGTGCTCTCCAACGGGGGGGATCTGCCTTCGAAGCCGGCATCAGCTGGCCGCCATGCCGGTGTCTACAGTGAAGTTCAGACCAGCCGGCTCGATCACAGACTACTCCTCCCTTCTGTCCTCAAGGGAGCCGCATTCAAGGTCGTCGATGGTCCTGGAAGCTCCGCTGCTGGAAACCCTGGTTGGTTCACTGCGCGTGTACTTTTTCTTCTTGTCTTGCATGCTGTGCCCTGCGGGGTCGGTTGTGTGAACTGTGTTTTGTGGCGCAGATGAGATCGCCAAGCTTTTCCCGAATCTCTTCGGGCAGCCATCTTCCATGCTAGTGCCCGCGGACGTGTCGCCTTTTGAGACGGATCGTAAGCTCAAAGTTGGGGTTGTGCTCTCCGGAGGTCAGGCCCCCGGTGGACACAATGTCATTTGTGGCATCTACGGTACATCTCTCTCTCTCTCTCTCTCTCTCTCTCTCTCTCTCTCTCGCTGTATATTTATATATATATCCGCATTTGGATATCTTTGTTTTATTATAGTGTGTGTGGGTATGTCCTGTTATTTCGTCATTCCGGATGGATGTTCGATCGCTTTGTCTTTCTGAAAAGGCAATATAATTAAATCATTAAACACTCTGTGTTCGATTCCCAGATTACTTACAGGAGAAGGCAAAGGGGAGCACTGTGTATGGATTTAAGGGTGGTCCAGCAGGGATCATGAGGTGCAAGTACGTGGCGCTGACTACGGACTTTATATACCCATACAGGAATCAGGTCAGCAAGTGATACCCGCGTGTTATGAATTACTTTTTTTCTTGCTCCCTACGTAGAGAAGGCATGTTCTTGTATTTGATAACCCGATTAATTCATTTGCTTTTTAGGTTTAAATGAAGCTCTCATAAACTGCAGAAAAACGTTTTTTTTTCTACTCTGAACTAAAAAGGAGCATTATTTATTTTTGGGATGTAAAATTTGTGATAAGGAAAGACTTTAACTTGTTTTTTGGCTCTCCCAAAGGTTTCGTAATATTCTTAGTCCTGTGGACTCGGAAGGTTTGGCCGAGGTTTTTTAATGATAGCTAATTTCTATGAGCAAATTATGATCTTTGAACTGTTAAAAGCCATCCAGCTGCAACAGCTTTTCACTGTTTGCGTAAATCCAGGTGTCATAGGCCGTTACTGATGAAAATAAATTGAAAAGTGAGATTTTCCTAGCCATCTTTGGTTATTTAGCTTTAAAGTCAGCGTGGGCATCTGGAATGTGACCAGATGTTAAAATAACACCAACAAAGATTTTGATTGGTCCTCTTTGCCTTTGACAAACATAACAACTTGGTTTTTGCAATAACTGTAGTTTTTAAAAATTTCTTTTATCATACATTTTCCTCATTTTGTTGTTGACTTGTTGCTCAGTGCATTAGTAATTATTCATGTAGACTAATTAATCTTGTTTAGTTCTTGTAACTTCATAATCATATAAGGGTCTTCCTTAATCAATCATCGATGACTTATGTAATGTTTATTCAATGTGATAATCCCTTATGATTGAGCTTTGTTGTTGACTTGAAAACAGGGAGGATTCGACATGATACGCAGTGGAAGGGACAAGATTGAAACCCCAGAGCAGGTGAGTTCTTATATTCAGTCAGTAATGGCCCATTTTGATGTATGTTGAAATCATTTTATATGTTTTTTAAGTGATATCTACATGTGGTTTTCATTTATTCAGTTTAAGCAAGCTGAAGACACAGTCACAAAACTTGATCTGGATGGTCTTGTGGTTATTGGTGGTGATGACTCAAATACTAATGCCTGTCTCCTCGCTGAAAATTTTAGGTTTGTTGGCAGCCTGCATTTGTTCCCAGTGAAGCTGCATTCTACTTGGATTGATCTTCTTTATCTATGATACAAATTTTAAGGTTTTTCATAAATGTTTGACACGGTTTTTGTTCCATTCTTCATCCCGTAGTTCTTTTATTTTTCTGAACATAAAGTTGATGAGGTGAATTCTCGCAACATACTTGGGAAACTGACGAAGTCCTATTTCTGGATAATTCAATTGATCTATGTAGGCGAAAGAATATGAAGACCAAGGTCATTGGATGCCCGAAGACAATTGATGGCGATCTTAAATGCAAGGAAGTTCCAATTAGTTTTGGATTTGATACGGCATGCAAGGTCGGTCCAAGTTTAAGGTTGATTTTTTTCTCTTTTAGTTTTTCTTTTCTGAAGGATACCATTTCTGGGGCTTGTCCTTTGATCTTGGGCTGGTCTGTTGTTTTCTTGTTAGCATGGTCTTTGATTAGTATCTTCTATGGAATATTTTTTAAAAATTATGGATAACAGAAATTTATTATCATGAAGGCTAAACTTCTTCCAGTGTCAGTTCTAGCCACTGTAGTATATTGGTAACTTTCAGCTCTCCATGGTAGAAAAATGTGACTACTTTTAAGATAGGTAGAATGTGAGCCTTCCAGTTTTTTTCTCTCTTTGTGGTAGAAAGCTGATTCCTAATCTGATGACCACATGGGTATCATCAGGACATTGGAAAGATGCAATAACTAGAGAAGAAAACTTAATTTTGTATCCACCTCTGAAAATTAATATGCTGCTGAATGTTGATTATTCTGTAATTTATATGTTTCGTATTCAGCCCAGATAAATATTTCTTAATTTTTGAGGAAAAAAAATACAAGTATCACTCACTCTTGAATGCCAATAAACTGTTTAACGAGAATCTCCTTTGAAGGTAAGGCATGATCTTCTTTATGACTTGTACATGGTCATCTCATTTTCTGTCGATCTTATGCGCGATTGATTGGATCAGATGCCTATTTAATGCCATATGATGTAAGGTGACTTAATCAGACCTTGTAGAGAGAATTGAAACGATAATTATTGGAAAATATCTCATACAGCTGGGGAGAGCATTTTTTCGACTTGGAAAACATAACCGAATTTATTCATCTATGGACATGGAAAACTTCATCTCCATGTAGCAGTTTTTTACCTTGAGGGAAAACATGCTAAATAACTAAATATCAATAGAATTTATGCAAAGATTTTGATTTGGTAGAAAACTCATTGACAGTGACAACGAATTTCTCATGCTTATAGTTTGTCCATGCCCCATCTTGAGACCCTTTGCCACAAAGTTTAGTTTCTTAGAAAACCTTGTTCAAATCACCGAACTTTATGGTATGATGAATTCACCTCCCGTATGATCGTCAATGCCAATTGCTGCCTGTCTTAGAGTAATGCCAGCCTGTGAAAAGAATTTTGATATGATTAATATCTGATCTGACTGTGCATTTGACTTAGAACATGTATTTATCTTCAACTATATGGAAATGCTGTGTATTGTCGATTTAACTTTTAACTAAGTTCCGAATGGGTTCAATATGTGTTATCTATGCCAGTTAGATATATGCAAGCCGGTTAACACTGACATAAAGTTAATTGATGTAGCTATATGTATTATTTTAGATGTCAAGGTGAGTCCCTGCTGGTGCTTGTTAAACCCTGCATAGCAGGGCACCTGAAATCCACTCAACAGTTTCAGCTTGTTTTGCATTCGAATTTATACTTCTTGAAGCATGTTTGAACCATGGACAGAATTGAGATAAAAAATATCTTAGCTTGTTTCGCATGGTATTGCAATTATGTTATTCTGTGGAATTTATAAGCATAATTCCTAAAGGTATCCACGTGATAGGAACATTGTAAAGGACGTTCTATTGATGTTCATAGCAATAAATGGCTATTTGTGGTTGTAACTGTTAGTTGTCGTTCTTATTCCTTTGTTTTCGTTTGCAGATATATTCAGAAATGATTGGTAACGTCATGATTGATGCCCGATCAACTGGAAAATATTATCATTGTAAGTATACTATCCTAAAGAGTGACTTGTGCTTTCATAAAAAGACCTGGATATTTCATGCAACAAAACTAAGTATTATTATTATTATTACTATCAATTAAAATATCTGATTCATTCAATTTCGTCAATTCCTGCGAAGAGATTTTAAAAAAACTTCCTTACAACTTGTAATAGGTGGTACATTCTACAAAGAAAATTTCAATATACTCTTTAAATAAAACGAAACTAGGTTCTGTTCTAGTAAGTTCAGTGTAAGAGAGTAAAATTGGTCATTACGTTTTATGTTTTAAGTTATATCAGTGTAGATGAAAATGCTTCACCAAAGGAAAGGCCAGATTAAGTAAAATCCTTGTGTGAATTGTGTTCTCTAACCTTGTTTACTTACATAATTTTGGTATGCTAGTGTGAGTAAAAAGAAAATATTACCTTCTGAACTCATTCTTTGGCATTTTGCAGCTGCCCCTTAATTTTCCAATAAGGGGCAATTCCGTGATTATTTATTCCTGTTTTCCCATTGTTAAACTTCATAATTTTTAGATTTAAATAGAATGGGTTTTGATAATGTTTGAGTTTATTCAACATAGTGATAGCTAATATGTGGGCAGTATTTTTTGAATGTAAAATGGACCATGCCACCATGACATGACTTCTCCTAGTCCAATTCTTTGCTAGCCCTCCAGCCCTCTCTCATCCTACTGATAAAATATCAGTCCATAAAACTGGGTTCTATAATCATTAGATCCTATAATTACAAAAAGTTTGGAAAAAAAATTCGGCTCTGTGACCGGAATCATATCATTTGACATATTTGATGTAGTGAACTATTGTCTCCAGACTCAACCTGATCCAACACTTATATACTCAGTTTGGGCGGGGCCTAGGTCTTGGAAAGGAGGCCTTTGTCTTGGTCAGGTTGGAGCTGGCGGGTCATGGTTTCTGGGTCCATAATTAACAATAGAATTGGTCTAGTTATTTAACCATCACGTTAGATGTCATGTAATTTTTTAAGGAAACAAAGGGATGGTTACATAAAATACTGTGGAATAATTTCTCTCCTTTTAAAAGTTAATGCTTTCACGTGGTGCAAACACTTGATAGATTTAGAACATTTCATATCACCGGATTAGTGTCAATAAAAGTTGAATGAAAGGTATATGTTAAGAAACAAGACATAGAGGAGAATTTCCTTTGTCACGAAGGACAGAGGGGAGGAACAGCGGAAACCACCTCAACCCATTCGTTCACCTTTAACGTCCCCTAAATAGGGACGAACCCTGGATACACTTTCTCAAAATACCCTCAGTCTTTTATAGTATTCCCCTTTAACAGTATATATTGAAATTGAATTACAAGACAACCGCAACATAAACATGTACCATAGAAGTTGAAGGAGTTTCTTAGGTCCGCTTGCATGAGCATTGTCATTGGATCTATTGTTGCCCAGTGAGACTATGCAGATTTCTCATGGCTCATGGTTTTTCTGTGCTTAATTTAAGGCTCGTGAAAACCCATGCTACTTACTACGGTAATAAAACTTGAAGTTTATAAGGCTCCTCATTATATCTTTTCGAAATGCATGCCCATGTGGGTCTATTTTTGTCACCTCACAAACGAATGCATGTGTCTAGAGTAGTATTTTGATATAGGTTGCCTTGATGTTCATTAATGCTAGTATGCAAACCAAGGTCAGAGCAGGATCAGCAACCTTAATCCTCTGTGATTATGCTCAGTATGTTGCTTCCATCTACAATTCATGTTGATTATCCCTACCTTTTTCTTTTTATACTTTTTCATTAATTGTTTGCCTGTAATCTTTTTTATCAATTTTTTGAAGTTCATGTTTTTTGTGTTTAAACAAATGGTTCTTCCTTTAAATGTACAATCTTTTACTCCGTACTTCGTTGGTGACCTACTATGTACTCTACGTTGTCATATATTGGTTTTCTTTATCGTTTTGGTCATATTTCTAATTCATTTAATGCAAATGCCTCATGGGATTCATTTAATGCAGTTGTGAGGCTTATGGGACGTGCTGCTTCTCACATTACCTTGGAATGTGCTTTGCAAACTCATCCCAACATTACCTTGATTGGAGAAGAGGTACTTTTACCTGTCTTCATCAAGAACGCAAAAAACTTATTGCTAAGGGAATCCCTGATTTTTGAGATTAAAACCACCTTTGACGGTTGGAGCCTTTTTGTTCATTTTCCAAAATGTTCTCTTGATCTAATCTTGGGAATAATGGAAAGATCAAGGATTCCACAGTTCCTTTTACTTACTTTTTTGTTTACATATTTCTTGATTTACAGTAGGGAGTTTGACTATGTTTTGTTAATTTCTGCTCAAAGGTTGCCCCATGTTACGAAAATCTTTTCTATTGCACAAAATTAGTGCATATGAACCAGCTTGTTGACCATTAGTGCTTACTTGTGAAGCTCTATCAGGCGCTTCATCTCTATCTTTTGCTATAATATTTGTTGACAATTTTTCACAATGTGCTTCTTCTTTCAGCTTGTAAAAAAAAATATTTCGTTGCGAAAATGTCATTTGCAACTTTATAGATTCCTCATAGTCCTGGCACATAAAATACTAGTTGACGGACGGACCTCTTCATGTCTATGGGTCTGAATTCTGGAGGTGAGCTTATCCTTCTGTTAGTTAAAAGACGAGGTAAAGCATGTAATCATCCAATATGTGAGCTTTCACTCATTTTCTATGGTTCACAACGGTCACTAATGTCTCTTATTTCTCCACGACTTTGCATTGGGAAGAACATCCTTCATTGATGCCCAGTTTGGTAATATTATGGTGGTGTTCAATTTTTCTATTATGGTTTGTGAGAAGGCAGTGAAAGTAAGTGACATACACGATTTTATGGCACCCAAAGAGGGGAGGAAGAGATGCTGAAAACCCAGTGTCTCATCATTGCATGTTGCCTTATTTCTTTGGTGTCCATGTGATGTTTTGAAGGTTTTGATTCTTTGAAATTTGTGGTTGCTATTTGATGTTCTCTATTGTCCATATTCATGAACTCACAAATTCTGGGGTGCCGTTTAAATTTGAATGGGGGTCTTCAGACTGGTGTCCTGAAAATTATATATTTTTGCTCCAACATGTTTGGACAGAATATTATCTGATTTTATCCTGTGTATTATTTATAGGTGGCGGCTAAGAAGCAAACTCTGAAAAATGTTACCGACTACATCACCGACATCATCTGCAAGCGCTCAGAGCGTGGATACAACTATGGTGTTATACTCATCCCGGAAGGTCTAATTGATTTCATCCCCGAGGTTAGGCATCAGGCTCTTGAGAGGATCTTACAGCAAAGTAGTCTCTCTGGATAGTTTTTTCTTCATAGTTGTTGGATCGACTGTTGAATCGTACCATACCCATGAGCAGTTGTTTCATCATGTTCGATTGTGCTAGGAATTCTCTAAATATTCATTCACGCCAATGGCCGCATGCACTGTTACTCATAGGGATCCTATGCTGTTATTAGGCTTTGCCTAAAGTTTGGCATAAGAATGTTGGATGATGCTTCGCGGCTGATTATCGGTTGTTGTTGGAGTTTTGTCACCAACTTGTATCAATTTGGTTGGTCCCATTCTAGATGGAAGATGCATCGACCCCAGGAACTTGACTAGCATCTTGTTAGATAATTAGAGATATTTTCTCAGGGATCATAGATTTCTTGTGATGCATCCACCGAATTCACTCTTCTCCTCCATATTATAGACCTTCGATCAGTTTATTGGGTTTGTGTACGTCTTGTCTTCTGACTGCCCAGCATTATTGCCTCATGTTCATCTCAAATCGTAAATCATGAGAAATGCATTGGCCTAGTTTGTCATCGTGCAGAAATCTACTGTTCTTCCGCTAAGAAATCTTTCTGCTTGCCATCAAGGGTCAATTGTGTGTACTGCACTCCAGTCTTCTGAATTCAAGAACCCTAGGGATCCTGGTGATCTACACTACTGAAACAGAAACTGGGAATCGAAGGGCTTTTGTAATTAATAGATCTTCGTCACTGTGTGATTGATTTGCAGGTCCAACAGCTCATTTCCGAGCTCAATGAAATTCTTGCCCATGATGTTGTTGATGAAGGTGGGCTGTGGAAGCAGAAACTCCAGAGCCAGTCACAGCTGCTCTTCGAGCTTCTGCCTCAAGCGATCCAGGAGCAGCTGCTTCTAGAGAGGGACCCTCATGGGAATGTGCAGGCGAGTTTCTGGTCTCGCGGCAGTTAATGAAGATGAAAGCTTTTCTTCTGATCCACTGAAGCTCTGCTTCATCTCCCTCATGCTTTCAGGTGGCGAAGATCGAAACCGAGAAGATGCTGATCCAGATGGTTGAAGCAGAGCTGGAGAAGAGGACATCAGCGGGAACATACAAAGGGCATTTCAAGGGGCAGTCTCACTTTTTCGGGTACTCTTTCCTTCCTGTGAATCACGTATTTTAGAGAGGGAGAGAGAGAGAGAGAGACGCCCTTTTCTCTGATAAACCGCTTTCTCTAGAGAGAGAAACATCCGTTTAGGGGATTCCTCACCCAGATTCCTCAATGCAGCTACGAGGGGAGATGCGGTTTGCCCACAAATTTCGACGCCACCTACTGCTACTCGTTGGGATTTGCGGCCGGAGCCCTCCTTCATGCTGGCAAGACCGGCCTTATCTCTTCAGTGCGTGCCTCAGAATCTAAGCGGCCTTTATCTGCTTGGTCATTCCAGTTCTATAATTTCATGGCTTTTCATTAATCTCTGGGAATCATCAGCAGCAGATGTCAGCTCTTTGCTTTCTGACTTATAGAGCTTAGATTCCAAGTCCCAGATTTTCTTAAGGTCTTGATCGATTTAATGCACTGATATCTATGGTTCCTGCATCCTCCCCCCCCCCTGTAGGTTGCTAATTTGGCTGCTCCGGTTGAAGAATGGACTGTCGGCGGAACTGCACTCACGGCTATGATGGACGTTGAGAGACGGCACGGTATGATCTCTCTCTCTCTCTCTCTCTCTCTCTCGCTCTCTCCCTCCTGAAAACATGAAATCTCCGTTCCAGGGAAGTTCAAGCCTGTGATCAAGAAGGCGATGGTGGAGCTTGACGGTACATCCGTTCCCACAGCTTTATACTTCCATATTTCATACATATTGTTGGTGATGATGATTATGATGTGGGATGCCTCTCTCTCTCTCTCTCTCTCTCTCTCTCTCTCTCTCTCTCTACACGGCTTGAAAACTTCAGGTGCCCCGTTTAGCAAGTTTGCAGCTTTGAGGGACGAGTGGGCGCTGAACAACCGCTACATCAGCCCAGGCCCCATCCAATTTATCGGCCCCTCCTCCTACGCCGCCAACCACACTCTTCTTCTGGAGCTCGGAGCCTGCGCCTAGGTGACCGGCCGGCGCGGTGAGCCCCCCCCACCTTCCCACCTCCGCCATTAGAGTCGGCTCTTCTGCTCTCCTGTCAGGTCGCCCCACCCCGATAATAAGCCCCGTGGAACCCTAATTGCCGCCACACAAGGGCTCTAAAGACATGAATTTTTGGTGTCTGCTTCTCTCCGGAGATAGTTTCAGGATGCTGGGTGTTTATTTTAGAGTAGTAGTTCCGTGGTGGGTAAACCCTAGAGCTTGATCTACACCTCTCCAGGTTCAATCCGGATTGGTTGATTGCCTATTCATGTCGATTGCCTTTTCTCTCTAGCCTGTTTTCTAGTTAATCTGGATTGACATATATATATATATATATATATATATATATATATATATGAGAGAGAGAGAGAGAGAGTGCTTTCATGTATTGATTGACCTAAGTAAGGTTGCTTATTGGAAAAAATGAACTTTGGTTATTGCCCTCTTAGAGAAAGATTGCTATTAGTGTAAAATGTCCATTCTCAGCTTGAAGCTGGCTGCAATTTTTTCTCCAAGATCATGAATGTGAAAATTTATTGTCTGAAAGCATAAGTTTCTATTTATGTCAGTTCCACCCCCCCTCCTCCCCTCCCTTCTTCGCTAGCATTCCTTCTAAACAAGCTCTGTCACACTTAATCATGCCCTTAGTCTGCATCTCCTCCCTACTACCAAGAACACGGCTGCCATTCTAGGAGGCAATGAGGCGTTTTGTGTTGTGAAGGCGTAGCTCATTTGAAAGCCAAGAACATAGTCTTGCTATTTTTGTCTGCAATAAGCAACTGAAAAACCAAAAATTCAAAAATAGCATTTTGCAACTGATTTTTTAATGGGCTGTGAAAAAAAAAAGAAAGTATAGAACTTGTCTCTGCTATGGAAAATATTTGATAAGAGCCCAAGAAAACCCTATGCATGTTAATTTCTTTGTCACATATAGTGATGCACTTCTAGGCGCCAATCAAAATTTATTTAGTCATCTAGTTTCAACTTGGTAATTAACTTCGGTCAATTGTATTGAATCATTAATTTTTTTACTAATAATCATCTCCAATTATATACAGAAATAATGATAGTTGAAAAATGCTGATAAATTGGTTAATGAAATCAATATCCCCCCCCCCCCCTTTTTTTTTACTACTCTTAGTAGCCTAGCAAATCTATAATCCACTCATTTGAGCATCAAAATGTAGAGAGGAACATGAAACAAAATATAATATCAAAAATGGAAAAAAATAATAACATCTAGTGAATGAATCACATTTTTTAAGCTTACAATGTTCTCATAGATGGACCAAAACTCTTTGTTTAATCCTTTACTTATCAAAATTGAAAACATATAATTTTGAAGGGTCTTAGCATATGATTTTATGAGGATTAAATTTTTCATGATTTTTGCATATGGCCATGGAAATTCTTTTTTGAAGGGTCTTTGCATACAACCTTACAAGGATTAATTGTTTCATGATCTTTGCATATGGCCATGGAACAAAATATTATTTTAAAATTATAGAAAAAATGCCCCTCAATAGTTGTTCTAGAATTTCTTAGATGTATTTTTAGAAAGTATTTTTGAGAAAATAAATTTTAAATAATTGATCTGAATCTTTAAACCCTCCATTTTAGTGAATTTTTAACTCATGAAATGGATGGATTAATCAATATTCAGCTAGAAGCAATTCCATAATATAATAATAATTCATAAGGATAACATAGTTATATTACTAATATAATAATGAGTAATAGTGAAAAATAATAAATAGAATATTTAGAATGCTCCAAGATATTTGGGAAAATAAAATATCCACGAGATGCAAGTAACGTCCCCTTTGAAAGTAATGACGTTGATGGTATAAAATAACAGGCGGCCATTCCATAATAAGCGTCCAGAGGAGCCGAGGTGTGGATGAGGGCAATTCCGTAAAAATGGACAATCCTGAGGGTAAAGTTTCCCCCAAAGGGAAGATATTTACGACTGTCGGGGTTTAAGCACCGCGAGAGGAAGATATAGGGTTTTTGGAAGTCAGCAGGAGAGAGAAAGAGGGAAGAGAGAGAGAGAATAAGAGAGAGAGCGAGAGAGGGAGAAGAGGGTGTACTCTGAACGAGCTACGTCCTTTGATTAACCGCGGGAACCCTATCGCAGCAGCAAGGACCTGCCGCAGAGTGGGCGGGGAGTGACGGAGAAGAACCCCTGGGACATTGGAAATGACCCGCATCCAGTGGAGAGTAGCTTCCGCTGCCCCTGCCCCCGCCGCCCTCATCGCCGTCTGAACTGAAGTGGCACTCCTTCGAAACACTTGCGCGCGCCGATTTATGACTGGTGAGGGGCGCCCTCTCCCCCTGCTCGTGACCCTCGGTCGAAAATTTTCTTGTGTTGATCCACGGGTTTCCTTCGCTTGGGGAAGATGCTTGCCCGAGGAACTGGTCGAAATGTGCCCCTTTCTTTTCATTCCTGGCTTCCGTCCCATTCTGTTCGCTGGTCTGTTTCGGCATTCGGATCATGGGGAGGGAGGACGCACTGTGATTGTGTCGCTCCTGTAGCGTCTCTTCGTGGAATAGCTTTAGTTCGTCACGGCTTCTTGGATTGAAGCGGCTCTAGTTATTATGGAGGACATGATCACTCCAGCCTGAAGATAGAATTGTGTGCGCTCTTCATTTGGTTGAGCTTTTCTTTTAATCTCTTCGATTGTAGTGTGAACTGTCATCTCATTGTCTTCTCTTCTAGGCGCCCATAAGTGTTTCTTTATATTTTTCGCATCTCGGACCGCGTTAGATGGGATCTCTGGCTTTCTGAGAATTTCAGCTTCGTGGAGGATTAATTTTTGGGTAGGACCTGGCATTTTTTTCCCCTGATAGTTTCAGCCCCTGGTCTTGTGCTGCCATTTGCATGTAGATGAATACTCAATCAGGCGATTACTCTGAACCTTCAAGCGTGGCATTTGCTTGGTGCTAAAGACCAACAAAGATTGATTATGATTGCGGTGCATGTAGATGACCATGAGTCCTTAACCTTTCAGGGGCCTCTCTCTCTCTCTCTCTCTCTCTCTCTGGATTTTTTTTATTTTTTATTTTAAAACTCTTTCAAGGTTCAGTGATACCTACTTGTATGTGATAGGTTTGTGCTCCCACATGAGAGAAGGGGTTTCCTATCCATTCCTCTGATGTTTGCGCATCAACGCCCAGAATGTCTGAATTAGTTATTTCAGAATTTTTCCTTTAAGTTTGAGGTTATTTGGAAATTGGTTGGTTCAATATTTTACTTTATTTATTTCTATTGTGGATTTGGCATCGATGTGAACTTGGAATCATCGGATTTACTCAATGGTAGATCGTTTTTCTGTTGGTGAATTAATCTTTTCTGGCTTCATTCTCTATGCGTTTTGATATTGCTCGTGACAACCAGGTCTAATGCACAAGAAATTCATGAAAGACCAGATTAATGGGCCTCTCTTTTTCTAAGAAGCGTTGTTTATATCCTGTTTGTGCGCAGGATTAATGGAGGACGCCGCTGCATATGCTGAACAAGAACATGGATTAAAGAAGAAGTCTCAAATCCAAATAGAGTTCCTGGAGAAGTTGTATTCAGGTTTGTTTGTTTGTTTGTTTGTCTGCCACCATGAGCTGCAGGCTCTCAACCTCCTGCTCTGTTTCTCTATTTTCTAGGTAGTCAATCCTGGCCATTCATCATCCTTTTTGGTTAGTGAGATGACTGGTTTTCCTCGCTGCCCTTTTGCAGAGGACAAATATCCCAATCAGAAGGACATTGAAGACTGTGCTGCTGTACTCAATTTGACGTATAATCAGGTCCGTATGTGGTTTACGAAGAGAAGGAGGAAAGAGAAGAAAGAGAATGAAAAACTTGCCACAAGTAGGAAAAGTTCCAGTGTTAGCGTGACTTTAGCTAGCCGTGGCAGAACGATGGTGAATAAGAAGGCTTCTGGTTGTCATACTGAAAGGAATACATATGCTGCAAATAGAGACAAAGATGCAGAGGAGGTGAGAAACCATACTCCCTCAAAGAATTACAAAGTGCAGAAGTCGATGAGGATTGCGATGAAACACAAGACCAGTGTTGCTGGGCAATGGGAGAAAAACTTTGCCGTTAGTATGGAAGGGCCACTTCAGGAGAAATCATTTCTTCGGCTGCAAGTTTTATTCCCTAAAGATTACATTTTGAAAAGAATATTCCGTAAAGATGGCCCTCCTCTTGGTGTGGAGTTCGATTGTCTTCCTGAGAAAGGATTTGGCTATCGTGCAGGTAGTTGTTTGCTTTTAAACTCTGATGTTCGAATTGTAGATTTTTTCTGTAGATATAATTCAAATAAGAAGTTAAAGCTTTCTATTGAACATTATGTAAAAGCTGCCTTTGCTTTTCATTTATGTTCAATTTTTATTTTCCTCCATTTGACATTCTGACTTGCAACAATTTATTTTGGCCCTGTTTTGGTGATTAATGTATATACACACACTATGTATCTTCTATTCATCATTGAAAAAAGGGTGGCGAATAATTTGAGAGGGTATTTCTCTAATCTCTCATCTTTTGCCAAAAACTATTCGTTACATATTCGTCCAAACTCCACACTGATTTTTCGTCCTTGTTTTTTATTTTTTTGGTAAACTAGTTGATTGCTATGAATTTACACTAAAAACTGGCTAACTTGCTCTAGCTTTTCATGTGATCAGGTCCTTACAGTTGCCCTCATTCATGTCGCTCTAGCAAAAGGATCCTTGAAAGGAGAAAGGTATGTGCATGAGAAATCGCGAGATTGGAACATGATAATATATATTCAATCTTTCAAGCTTGGAGTATATTGTAAAAGTATTAGTCGCATAACCTAAAGTCATGGGAAAAGATTGCTCCAATTCATAATGTAGTTGATGTAAATCACCGAGTTCGGATTTTGATCCTGCTTTGCAACGAGGAAGGAAAAAACATTCTCATGGAGAGCAAACGAAAGAGAAGAAGGGGGGAGATCTGCCTCTCATGTGGCAGAAGAGACAAAGATGGTTCCTATGGTTGGCGTCATATTCTAGAAGTTTCCACAAGGATTGTTCTGTTGTGACATGATTTTGTTTGGTTAGCTTGTGGTAGAATACGTGCTACTTCACTCGGGGAAAATGAAAAAGATACAGAGTGATAAACTTTCCTCGAATTTCAATTATTGAATGCTTAAAAGTCAGAAACATTGAGAGTGTTTTTTCATTACATCTCGCAAAGAATCAACTCCCGTCTCTTAATTAAAAAGAGAAACAAGTCCACATTGACTTGTGGGAGTTGTACATGTTCATGTATTGCGTTTAACATTTATGCTGATAAATTTGAAAAAAATCAGGATCTTAATGGAGCTTTGGTCTACATGATATTCTAAATAGATGTATTTTTGTGATCTGAATCAAGCTCTTCTCATACTATTTTCGTTAAAGTCATCTTTAGTATCTTATTTGATGAAATTTTCTGATGAATTTCGTCTAACCTACAGCAACAATGTGGGTTTGTCTCTTTCCTTGAACGAATATCACGTTTGCTTCAGAAATTAATATTAATTTAATCTATCTATAGGCTTGCGAGTCTTCTCTCCGCAATGGGCATGCACTTACAAAGAGACACGGTATTGGCAAAGGTTTAATGACAGTGTGGCGTGTTACAAACCCAGAGAGTCAAAGCTTTCCCACTGGAGTTGACTTTGGTAACGAAGATCTTTCGTGCAGTCGTCCAAATGACATCTCCAAAGAAAGACATTGTGTTTTCGAAAAGTCGCTGAATCCAAAGGTGATTACGGTAAAGGCATCAATTGCTTGTTTCTCTGTATTGTGTGGACGTTCTAGCATGATTTGTCCAACTGTGTTCTTCTTTCCCATAATTTAGAGGAAAAATATGGCGGGGAGCTCACCACAAGGAAGAAAGGTGGTGTCTTCAAGGAAAAGGAAGGTCAGTGAAGATAATGTGCCTGCTCAATTTCTAGGAATTTTCTACCCATATATTTATAAGACAACAGGCACAGGAAATGCAAACGGTGACAGGAGAATCTGATAGCTGCCAATGGTTAGTTGTTCTATTGGTAGCTTCTCATTGCTCTGTGTGAATTTCAGGCGCCTTGTAAAAAGGATGGTTTGAAAATGCCTCATACTGTGGAATGCAATCTTGGCATCCTGAGCTCGACACATCAGGAGCAATCGATTTCTCCCATGAATTCAATAGATGACGAGGAACTGGAGTTGAGTGAGTTGCAGACACGGTCCAATCCACCAAGATGTTCTGTCCATCTTGGCTCAAATGGAAGGAGTGGTTGCCCATTGTGCAAAGGTTCGTCCCCCTCTCTCTCTGTTTCTACCATAAGCTTCAGATTCCATTCACTGGAGAGAGCAATCTGTTCTGCTTTCATGTCCTCTCTGATTTCACCTTTGATATATCTCAGATATGCTGGCAAGATTTCCTCCCCCATCTGTGAGGATGAAGCAGCCAATCTGTGGAAAACCTTGGGACTCTTCACCAGAGATTGTCAAAAAGTTCTTCAAGGTTTGTGGACGCCCAATTCATTCTAATCCTCTTCCCTTCTTTACCCTGTGGGCCTTGGATGTGTTCTTGCTTCAGTACTCATATAAACTGCATGAATGTAATTTCGTGTGAAGAAAGGCTCACTCGTTTTCTGCCGTCGATTTATCTGAAGAATGAGCCATCCCACCATTCATTGGTAATGCCGATCATCTTTCACAAGAGATCATGTGGTCAACTTTCAAGTGGGAATTCTAATCCTCTGTTTCTGAATTCATTTCAGACAAGCCCTCTTCCTTCTCTTTTTTCTTTTGTCGATTGGGCCTTTCAGCGCGGCAGATACATGTTTATTTTTCTTTCCCTGTCTTCCTACCCGGGCGGCTTGTAGGTGCTGCCCTGAACCTCAGATCATTGTCAGAGTAGCTTTTCTTAATCTCTTTCCTTCAGAGCTCCCTCCTTGCTGTCATGCAGACAGCGGCTTATACATTGCTCACACCAGTTCTTGACACAGTCGGTAAGATTATAGATAGATAAAACTAGAACCTGTGATATGAGCGTTGCTTGCCCAAGAAAACAAGAAAATTCCCGTGATGATCTGCTGATAAACTCATTTTCTCAATCGCCATTAGTAATTCCAGCATCTTTTTTTTGTTTTTTTTCTAACCCACTTACTTACTGTTTCATTTTTTTTTTATCAGGTCGTCTGTTTCTTGTATACTCATGCGGCAGTGATTGACATTTTCCCCTTTGCACTGGATGAATTGGCTCAGGCATTTCACGACAAGGTCAACCATCTGTCGTTGACTTATCGCTAGATTCTGTTGTTCGAGGCATTTCTGACTTTTAAAAAAAAAAATTATGCATCATTCTTCATCGAAATACCTGCTATTTACTTTGCCACCTGTCATGCATAGCATGCAACTCGCTTGCTATCCATCTCTCACTCTCGGAAAATGGCTTTCAGGATTCCAAGTTATTGGGAAGCATCCATGTGGCACTACTCAGGCTTCTTCTATCCGATGTCGGAAAGGAGCTGACTGATGGGTTTTTTCCTCGAGGTTCTAAAGACTGCCGCTTTCTTGGATTCCTGCATTCGGTAATAATTCCTGTGGCCCTCCTCAAAAAAAAGAACCTTGAAAATATAACGTCATTATTTTATGTTCTCCTCTTTTGGACGCCATCCCTGATGAACTAGTCCCTGTATCAGGTCAGGCAGCGAGAGCTGGACGTTGACTTTTGGAGTCGGTCCCTCAATGCTCTTACTTGGGTCGAAATTCTGCGGCAGGTTATGATATCGGCTGGCTATGCTTCCAGGAAGCATTCGACGAGGAGAAGCCGGGGCGAGGTATGATGCTGAGAATAGACAGACCATGGAGATGTTGCCATTCGTTGCTCAGAGAATTTATCAATATGATGCTCTTTTTTTTTTTTTTCTGTAGATCGCATTTCTTTTTGGGGTTTTTTCACTGATTTTTTACTTGTTCATATGTAAATTCTCAGGATGGCGATGCCATGGCGAAGTACGGGCTGCGCCCTTGTACTCTGAAGGGCGAGCTGTACAGCATTCTATCCGAGCAGGGGAGTACCGGCTCAAAAGTCAACGATCTCGCCAAAGCATCCCAGGTGAGACTTCATTCGGTCAACTGGGCACCTTCTTCAGGAAACGAGAACTTATATAGACAAAATACATTTATATTTGCACGGATTATTTACCTCTCTCTCTCTCTCTCTCTCTCTCTCTCTCTCTCTCTATCTTACCTACTTTCAGATTGTGGGTCTGGACCTGTGTGCTACCCCAGCCGAACTTGAGGCTCTAATATGCTGCACCCTTTCGAGTGACTGCACATTGTTTGAAAAGATCGGGCACTCTGCGTATCGACTGCGCAGGGGCACTGCTGCCAAGAAGTCAACCGAGGATTCGGAATCTGACACCGAATACTCTGGGAGTGTTGATGACGACGACTCTGCTGATTCCAGCTCCAGCAGTGGCAGCGAGGACGAGCCCTCCGGCCTTGATTGCTCTGGTGGCGCTGCTGCCGTGTGCCAAAATAGTGCCGTCTGGCTCAACAAGTCTTCTAGAAGAGGCAGCCGATGGACTGCTGCCCAATCGGCGGAGATCGACGAGAGCTTCTCTGGGGCTGGTTGGCTGCTCGGATTGATGGAGGGTGAGTACTCCGATCTCACCATCGAAGAGAAGCTTGATGCCCTGGCAGCCCTCGTTGACATCACCGGCAGCTGCTCCAGCTTGAGAATGGAGGTAAGTAACCATGGAATTCACCGCCTTCTCCCTCAATTAACCATTCCTAAGAACTCACCTTTTCCCGCCAACGTAGGAACCGGCCGGCGGCAGATCAGCGGCCGCCCCCAACTTGAGGTATCGGGGTTCAGGGGGAAAGATAAAGAAGGCGGTGCCGCCTAATGGGTGGGATTCATCAACATCATTGCCCCAGCTCGGTTCAAAGTCAACGGATGGGACCCACCAGTTACAGGCGGTTCCACTGGGTTTTGACCGGAGGTACAACAGCTACTGGCTCTTCCTTGGGCCGTGTGGCTCAGGGGATCCTGGCCACCGTAGGGTCTACTTCGAGTCCTCCGAAGATGGCCGCTGGGAGGTGATTGACACCGACGAGGTACATATACACAGTTGGCCTGCTCTTCTTCCTGTCTAAACCCTAAACGCTAAGCCCTAAAGAGCCACTCAATTTTGCAGGCCTTGTCGGCGCTGGTGGCAGCGCTTGACGGCAGAGGAGCCCGTGAGTGCCTCCTCCTGGACTCGCTGCGGCGGCGGGAGGTCTGCTTGGCCCGGGCAATGGCGGAATTTGCATCAGCCACCGCCACGACTTGCCAGCACTACCACCCGCCATCAGACACAGATGCCAGCAGTGGCCACAGCTCCTCGCCGATCTCTGATGTGGACAACAATTTGGTCTGCGAGGGTGGCGCTGACAGACTGCCACCGGGGGTGGTGGTGCCGGAGCTGGGGCGGAGGGCGGAGGAGAGGCGGCAGCAATGGGCCCGAGCGCAGGCCTTTGACCGATGGCTGTGGGGCTCCTTCTATGGTGAGCTCGGTGCCGCCAGGCTTGGGCGGCGGTGCTTCAGTGAGTCGCTGGCCCGCTGCGAGGCCTGCCATGACCTCTTCTGGCGGGACGAGAAGCACTGTAGGATCTGCCACATAACCTTCGAGCTGGACTTTGATCAAGAGGAGAGGTTCCTCATCCACACCGCCACCTGCCGCCCGGCGGTTGATGGCGGCGCTGCTGGCTTTCCAGGCCACCGGGTCCTGCCCTCCCAGCTCCAAGCTCTCAAGGCCGCCGTCCATGCCCTTGAGGTGACCGCTTCATACATACTCTGTCATTTTCCGCTGCCCCCATGGCGTTGACTTTCGGAAAATGGTAATCAATCATGCATGCCCTTGCAGGTATGCATGCCCGAGGACGCCCTGGTGGACGCCTGGAGGAGGTCAGCTCACAAGCTCTGGGTCAAACGCCTCCGGCGGGTGTCGTCCATGCCGGAACTGTTTCAGGTATGCTAAGAAGTCTGAACCCGTTGACCCTAGTAGCCCCTTCGTTGACCGTCATTGACCTGTCCCCACTTGGGCAGGTGGTCGCTGACTTTGTGGCCGCCATCCGAGAGAGCTGGCTGCAGCGGTGCTGCTCCGCTTCTTTGCCTGGCGGCGTGGCGTTGGACGATGTGGCGGTTCTCTTCCAGACCATGCCCCAGACAACCTCCGCCTTTGCCCTCTGGCTGGTGAAGCTGGACGGCCTGGTGGCCCCCCATCTCCGACAGCTTCATTCCCCGGCGGCGCCGCCCACCTCCGCCCCAGCAAAGAGTGCGCCCCTCCCTCTCTCTCTCTCTCTATATATATATATATATAGTGCTAGTTGCTAGAGAGAGAATATGGCTGGTATTTCTGCGGAGATGATCATCAATATCAATCTCTCCAGGAAGGAGGGGCGGCGCGTGAAAGGCGTCTGAAGGCGCGTTGACCACCACCCGAAAAGTCAAATCCCCATCCCTCACGAGCTCCGCCGCAGAAGGGCGGGGCTGGCGGAGGGCGGCGGCGGAGGAGACTTTCAAACAACGAGGCATCCATCAGGAGGATGACGGAGAGGAAGGAGACCCACTTCAATTTTCTGTGTACAGAATAAGCCCTCAGCCCTCAGAGATCCCCAGCACCGTAATCATGGCGACCGTCGGCTGCCGGGGATTCCTTGTTGCCGCCGCCGCCGCCGCCGCCGCCGCCGCCGCCGCCGCCGCAACCACCGCCGACCCTATTATAGAACTTATAGAACGCTGCCCTATTATTGTTTATATTCATTGTTTCGTTGCTGTATACGCGCTCACCAGCTGCTTGCTCTGGTGGAACGCTGCCTTATTATCTATCTTGTCCGAGGTTGCGTTGACATTTTCAAGATTTGATTGGGAGCGACGATCCTTCGGATTGGTCAACTCCAAGCTGTGTTTTGAAACGATGCCACTCAACACGAGCTAACCCACAATTTTCTCCAGCAAATGGTTTTGGGGTGAATTGGAAATCAAGATTCTCATGCCGGGGTAATTCAAGTCAACGCCTAAAGCTGGACGACTGGGAGTCACTGGAGAGGGAGAATGAAGAGGAAATCTGGAAATCTGGAGGACCAGAGATGATGGAGAAGAAGCAGGTCGTTGGGCCTAGGGGTTACGAGAAGTCAACGCCTAAAGTCTCTCAAGGAAGGAAATCCGGAGGACCAGAGATAATGGAGAAGAAGCTTGTGGATGCTCAACAGCATAGTGGTGATCCATGGCGATAAAACCCTACTTCCTCCGTTATGCAGAGAATCGAATGACGCTCGGGAAAGAAGGAAAAGGGAACGGAGAATGGGAAGAGGCCATAGATGGCGGTAGATTCAAAGACAGGTGACAAATACAGGCGGACATCGCCGGCGGCAGGAGGCCATATTCACAAGAACAGGCGAAGAAGTGTCCACCGGAAGAACTAACAGAGAGAGAGAGAGAGAGAGAGAGAGGGAGAGGGAGAGGGAGAGTGAGAGGGAGAGAGAGAAATAAAATAATCAGGCGGAATAATCACGAAACCTAAAAGCAATGCGGCGCCCGTACTCCTCCGCCAGGCGGCCGTTGGCCTCTCGTCCTCAGTCCCCCGCCGGAAACTGGCACTTTCCGAACTCTGCAATCACCAACCACCAGCAGCAGAAATCATGAGGGGAATAGGGAGAAGAGAGAGAGAGAGAGAGAGAGAGAGAGAGAGAGATGAGGGAGGCGGACCAGGGGCCTGGTGGACGACGACGGCGGCGCCGCCGAAGTCGCAGGAGCCGACGGCGCGGGCCTTCTTCTGGTAGTAGCTGTTGAAGGCGAAGGAGGCGTGAGCTTCAAGCGTGTTGGGCTGGAAGCAGACCTCATCCTGCTGGATCGGCTGGCAGTCGGCGCCGCCCTCTCCGCAGGCGTAGTCCAGCGCCGCCTGCAACTTCTCCACCCCAGCCGTGGGCTCCGCCACGCACCACGTCGCCGCCCCGGTGGCGCTCGCTGCAAGGTCCCCTCCGCCGTCGCCGCCACCGCCGGCCACTGGCGACACCTGGTTCCGCCTGGTGGTGGTGGTGGTCGTCCCCTCCAACCGGAAGGCCACATCGTAGACCCTCTCCTCGTTGGGGTAGAAGAGGCCGTAGTTCCTCTCCGAGGTCGGCCCAGGTTTGCGATCCTCGTTGAACAGCGCGAACAGGTACACGTCGAGCTCCGCCAGCGGCCTCGCCGGCGTGCCGCCGTCGCCGGCGAGCACCCGCCGGGCGAGGTTCCCGTTGTACGCCGCCGCATTCTCCGCGCTTGCCCCCACCTCGCCGTCGTCCCCCTTCGACGGCCACCCCGTCTCCGACACCACCAGCCGCAGGTCGTCATAGCCGAGGTTCTTCATGGCAGCGTAGACGGCGTCGAGCTGCGCATCCAGGAGGTTGTCGTAGAGCAGGCCGGTGGCGGAGTCGAGGACGCCGGCGTTGGGGCGGAAGAGGGCGTAGTCGAGGGAGATGACGCCGGCGTTGGCGGCGTAGGCGAAGAAGGGGTAGGCGTTCACCATGAGGTAGGACCCCGTCCGCCGGAGCAGATCCAGCATGGGCGCCACCACGGAGCTCGCCAGATCTGGCCGGAAGGCCCCCGCGGAGGGTGGGAAGGAGCTCTGGAGGGCGGTGAGTGCCACCGGAGAGGAGACCTTGACGGCGCTGTCGAGGCCGGTGGCGGCGAGTGCGGCGTGGAGGTTCGCCATTGCCGGGACGAGGGAGGTGGTGATGTTGCCGGCCTGCGGGGAGGCGAAGACCTCGTTCCCCACAGCGATGGCGCGGATCTGCGTGCTTGGGAGCCAGGAGGCGACGTTCCTCCTCACCCAGGCCTCGGCGAAGGCGGGACGAGCAGCGGCGGCGGCGAGGAGCTCGTTGGGGAGGGTGACCACGATGCCGATGCCGGTGCCGGAGAGCGCGCGGAGGACGTTCGGATCAGCGTCGTATAGCTTCACCTGCGTCACTCCCTGCGCCACCAGCAGCTCCGCCACCTTCGCCGGCGGGGGGAGATCGTTCGCCACTCTCCCGTAGTTCACCCCGACAAAGCCTCCCGCCTCTGCGCCAACGCCATGGTTTCTCCTCAGGATCGAGCCGATCAAGCAGAGATCTCCGCGAAGAGCAAATCCTTTTCCCTAAAAGAAGGTGATCAGGTTCTTACCTGCGGCGAATGGAGAGAGAGTGGGCGCCACCAGGAGTAAGCAGCAGCACCACCGCCACCACCTGACGCGGAGAGAGGGAGCAGCCGGCGCCATCACCTTCACCGGCGAGCAACAGAGCAAAAGCACACGGCAACCAGTACAGAGAGATAGAGCTAGAGAGAGAGAGAGAGAGAACAGTGAAGAGAGAGTGGGAGGGTCTCTTTCTAGCAGCGCTCAGGTCTTGTCTCTCTCTTCGGTTTTTATGGTGTCTGGGGAACAGAGAGCGGGAGGGGTGGCATGGAGTTGGTGGGGCCCATCGAGGGATCGTGTTCAACGGCAGTCGTGCCCATCGTGTGACCCGGGCTAGCGGATCTAGCGCCACGTACCCCATCAAATCTCCTCCACGTCAGATCGTGGGGGGCCGCAGGTGCTCACGCAAGCCCTACCAATTACGGGAGCCTCTGCGTGCCAGCTAGCTCAGTCGACCGTTGCTAGAGTGCCGCGCCGCACGTGGCCGCAGACAAACGGCTAGCTGCGTAATTCTGGCCCTCGTTCATAACTGTTATCGGATCTGTAAACCCACCAACCCGATAAATGGAGTCTACGCGTCAATATACCTTATGACGTCAGCGTGCTAATTAAGGAATTAATTAAAAATTATCATTGATAAATGACAGAAGAGGGTTGACCCAGAAATCGTGCCTGCTTCCTCTCTAATTTTATTTAATCCATGGCTACAGATACCTCAACCTCGCTCTAATAACTAAGTATTCTGAAAAGAAATGTCTCACAGTTGACTTTCGGCGAACCACCTCCAACTCCGTTGACCAAGTGAGCTGTCTCACTATAGAAAAATTCAATTCTGATGCGAAATTAACATTGTTTTTACCAATAAACAGGCGCAGTGTAATTAATCAATTCTGTGTTTTTTTCCTTTTTTGAGGCAAGTCAGAGGGGTGCTTCGAGGGTTGACCCTCGTATCAGTCAGAAGTCAAACCCCTGAGCTCCTCTGGTTGCATGCATGGGGTCAGAAATGGCGCCCCTGTCTCTGGGGTCCAGCATACGCAAAGACTATGCTCATAAATAATTTAAATATCATCACATCCACCATATATATACCTATATTCCTCTCTTGATCCTAAATGAATATACATCACTAAAATAATATGAGAGAGAAAATGATATGAGAGATAGAGAGAGAAAGAGAGAGAGAGAGAGAGTGGAAGTTCTTCAAGCTGCAAGAACAAGCACCTTAATGGTCCCCTGGCTGTTGGCGGCCAGCATCGTTGGGCTGTCGCTCTTCCAACAGACGGCGCTGATGAAGTAAGAGCCGGCATCGTCCTCTGCATCCTCCATCTCAGAGGAGCTAAATCTGTGCCAGGCGGCCGGCTTTGAAATCGCCTGCAAGCCCACCCACCCAGGTCAACGATGCCAAAAACAGAAAAAAAGAGGAAATTTACAGTTGGTGGTTGGAAAGAGGTAGGGGGGTTGACCTTGTGGTAGACGAAGACTTCGTTGGTCTCGCTGCCGCAGGCGATGTAGTCGTTGATCACCGTGAGGCCGACAAAGTTCTTCTCATTCGTGTGGCCTTTGAATGCCCTCACCTGAGCAGGAAGCGCAGCACCATCACTCTTCCGTTGACGATCCCACCGGCCGAGAAAAATACTTTCTTTTGCAGAAAAATATCCGAAGAAAGCCGGGGAAAAAAACCCTTTTTCCTTTTTTTGAGGATCAACACTCAGCAAAGTCAACGGCAATAAATGCTTCATCAGCGGATGCATGCATGCATGCAAACATACCGGGCAATTGTCCTTCACATCCCACAGCCGCAAGGTGCTATCCGTCGACGCAGACGCAAGCTCACTGGTCGACAAGAACTTCACGTAGGAAACAGCCTTCCGGTGACCCTTGAAGACATGGAGCGGGGCGCTGATGTTCCTCAAGTCGTAGTAGTGGATATGGTGGTCGGCCGAGCCGATCTGGAAGAACACCATGGAGAATTAGACCCATTCAAGAGGAGGAACGCTCTAAACAGGGTGCAGTGCGGGCCGAGTCGTACCGCCAGGTGGATGCTGGAGCCCGGATTGTACTTGACGCAGCAGATGTTGGCCTTCATGTCGATGTTGAAGACGCTAGCTTCCTGCTTGGTGCACCAGACCTTCACCTGCTCGTTGAAGAGAAGAATTACTGGGCGGCTGGGGGTGAAATCATATGAGATGATTATAGATCTTTCAGAGTTCAAGAGGAAAAAGTAAGCTTGGAGCCTGAATTAGCTTAAAAAATGAAGCCAATTAGTCGAGAATTGATGCCACAGACAGCCCAATGCTGGATGCAAAGGTGGGCGCAAGCCCCTTGAAGATTAGATAAACCCATCTCACGAAAATAGTCAACGGGTTGAAAACAAAAGATGCGGCACCTAGAAAAGTCGACAGCTTGCCAGCTGACTTTAAAGTTTGGCATATTGTACCTTGCAGTCATCACTACCGGACACAAGCATCGACGGTTCTGTGGAAGAAAAGTCAACACTCCAGGCTCTTTTCTCATGTTCTTCATACTCCATTATACTCTGGGGACAGCAAAACAAAAGTCGCCTTCTATCGTGAACACGAGTATCATCGTGTGACACATCGTCATATGAAAAAGTATTGCATGGGGGAACTAACATACCTGGCGAGTGGCTACATCCCAAACAGTTACTATTCCATCATAATCACTGCTAGCGATGATGTTCTTGGTGTACTTGTTCCAACTTAGGCAGCTCAGTTTAGAGCGTGTGGGCATTTCCACAACTGGGCAGTGCACATCCGCAGGCTCATTCACAATCTGGAAACATGAAGTTGTGGGGTGGGTCAACGTTCTAGAGGAGCAACGGTGGTTTCATGCGGTAGAAGATTCAGAAGCAGACTAACCGTAGAAAATTCAAAAACTTTAATCCGCTTTGAAACTCCAGCAGTTGCAAACAGTTCATCATCACGGTCAAACTCTATGCTGCAGAGACATCAGGAGAGCAGATACCATTAGCTCATGCGCCAGAAGGAATGTCAAATATAGAAAAAGGGACAAATCTTTACGTCAGATTTATTGGATCCATCCATCCATCTATTCATGGAAAAAAAAACAAAAATGCACTACATATAATTTCCAAAACAGTAACTACTAGTGAGCCAGGAGCGTATTGAGTTGTGGGTTTGACTTTAGCCTGATTATTTGCCCTGTATAGTATTTAATGAACTATTTGACCAGCACAACCCTTTTAGGATTCAGTTCTGATAGACATGATTGTATAGTGCACCTCGAGCTGATTACTCACCTGGACACAATATTTGCAGAGTGGAAAAGATCTCCATGTCTAAGCTCTGCAATGACCCGCAGGCGACTGAAGGAAACAGAGAATTTTAGGATGGAGAACAGAGAATTAAAAAAAAAAAAAATCAAATTAAAATCAACAGTTCTGGCTGGCAAACCTGTAACGGGTAAATGTGGAGAGCACAGACTGAAAATCTTCAAGCCCTGCGCTGTAGCCCTCTCTTCGTATCACATTCACATCTCTGTCTTCCTGCTTGATCATGTGCCTAGCACCATTGCGCCTCCTTTGCAGATAACAATCTTGCAATTCATTGAACTGCAGCATACTGACATTATAAGCCACAATCATGGGAAGAGTTGTTTGAAACCAAATCAGCAGAGGAGAATTGATCTACAGCAATCAAATCAGCAGTGTTTGACATGGACATTGAAGAGGAAAATGGTAAGTGTCCAAAGCATGGTGAATGAACATCTCTCTGGAGCGGACGTGACACGGCGAGACAAGTCTCAGTTCGGCATTGTGAAAATAAATATAACACAAGGATTCTGGAACCTTGTTTGCATTACAGCAAGCTTGAGGAATTCACGTGATGAAATTCATTTTGATTCTCCTACAAGCTAAAGAAACCACAGAAAGACATAGTTCAAAGGCAGATTCGAAAATTTTTTACAGCCCAAACTTTGGAGAAGGAATGAGACATTGGACGTTTTACAGCCCAAAGAACATCAGTGCTTGAGAAGCCTAGATAGTACAGGGTATGTTGCAGCTGCATGCAGTCATAGTACAACATCCAAACTTCACACGGCTTGAATCAGTGGACAAAAGCCATTCATCTTACAGCATCGAGTTAGGACTGGATGTCATAGATGATTCAAAGTTTCAAGCTATTCACTTAACCTACGACACATAATATAAACGTATGTCTCCAGTCACATGAAGTACTGATACAAATAAACGGCAAAGTCAAGTGTTTTCGGATCAAGATAGCAACAGTACCAGCATACTACAGAAAAAATGAATGAAAGCTGCTCGATAAGGACAATGGCAAATTTTTCAAAGCGGGGAGAAAACCAAGAAGACTTGAAACCTATCTAATTCGAGCAGAAATGTAACGTATGGCTTAAAAGGAAACAAATCATCTTTTTATAGAATTCAATAGACTCTGAAGCATTTCGATATTTCAATTGATAGCAGTCTACGGCTTCCTTCCAGGAAGTAAAACAAGGCTATGGAAAAATTCTAAACAACGAAATTTTAATTGCAGAGAAAGGGGCACATTAACACGTGACAGAAAGTAAATCACCAACCTGTTGGTGGACTCGTCTTTTCCCAGCCACAGCAACTCCAGATTGACTGGGAGACTGATGTACATCTGAACCAGTGGGAAACTCCTTCCTTTGGTGACCCTGAGAACTGCCTTGAGGCTTCATCTCGGTTCTCTTGTTCTGAAAATTTCCAGGGCCACCCCCACCATAAGTACTGCGAGAACTGGACACCAGGGGATTAGTATTCTTGTCCATTGTTGAAGTCTGCAGTTTAGCTGGAACAGGCTCCATAACCATTCTCAATTTCACTGAGTATCTTTCTCTTGCTCGGTATAATTCTATTCTGTGCCTTTCAACAGCATTTATGTCTTCTTTGATGTACTGTAAATCTGTTTGAACCTGCATGAGTTTGGGGCGAATAAATTATCAAAAACTAATCACGATTGCCTGTTTTCCAAAATTGAACACTGGGATATTGGAAAGAATTAATACCAAATGAAACATTCAACTATGCACCACACCAGAAAAATATTCTTCATCATAAATGTTTCAGAAATGTACCATAATACTGGATTAAGTGCGTATAAACAAATAGTAATCCTAGATATTATAATTCAACCTCTGCACACAGTTAGGTTACCTCATTTAGCTCTTCAATCTTTTGCTTTCTCAAGCAGTACAGGAAATCCAGTAGAATCTGCATGTTTGTCTCTGCTTCTTCTTGTTCCACCTTCCTTTTCTTCTCCGTCAGAAGGTACAACAAAGCTTCAAGATCTTTAACAGACATCTCGCATCCCTGATCAAGAATAGAAGGCATCAAAGAACATTTTTCATTAAAGGACATTAGTTAATTCTATTGAGGTAAAACTTACAAAGGGCAATGCAGGAAAAAAGGCTTTGGTATTTTTCTACAACCACTCACCGAACGTCATGGAGATTCTCTATTGAAAACGTGAAACAATATAATATTAATATCAACTAGGTAGTAGAAGTATTTACCACCAGACAGATATATGATTATTTTGTCAAAATAAGGATGAAATTAGCATAGTCTGAAATCTTTCAAAACTAGGGATATGGTTGCCCTCTGCCAGAAACTGTCATTGCTACACTGAATGTTAAAATAGGATTGCAAGTAGAATGTCACAAATCAGGCAAATACTGGCCTTAGCATGACCGATACTGATCAGGTAGGGATAAGCTGTTTCTGAAGCGGTTCAGGTAAATTTCATCGGCTCTCTCTCTAATCAACCCAAGAGAGGAGTCTCAACCTGGGTATGTTGCATCTTGAGTTAATGGTTGAAAAGGTCTACAAATCCTGTTCATAAGTCTTTCCATAACTTTGAAGTAAATTTTTAGGTATATAGATGTATCTCTTCCTCAATCTCTCAGCAGAAGACTGAAAATTATAACATGGAATGATTATTTGATTAGTGAATAGTTTTCACCGAATATCAGCTCAATAAATCGTCAGCTGATGGAACATTTAGGCCTCAGAGTTCCCATAACCCAAAAGAAATATGAGCATTCCGACTTCATCCTTAACTCCCATTCAACGTCATAAACTCTCTACTCGATCCTTCTGATCCTAGCAAAAACATCTTTCTAAAGTACTTTCATTTTCAATGGTCTTTTCATCGTATAGTAATATTTAAATAAGTTGGTTGAGACGTATCCAAACTTCCCAAATGGGATATAACTGATGTGCAGCCTTTCTTCCATCTATCAGAAAAGAAATCTGACTTGTAAAATCAAAAGGCATATTGAAGTAAATGATTCAGAATCTCTCCCTAGATTTCATTAGCCTCACAAAAGCATTGACTTGTCCCGGTTCAGTATTATTCTTCCTTTCCAACCCATCATCTATAATTCGATACTTGAACCTACAGTGCTCATTCCCCCCACTGCCAGCCTATCAAAGATTAACTCGGGATCAGAAAATGAATTCTCAAGGTCTGAATTTGGAATTATAGATCTAACATCTCTTTTGTGTGAGATAGACACAGAAGGCTCCTCCCTCATATCCAGCAGTATGCTTCCTAATCTTATGAGGAGTACTAAGCATTAGAAAAGTTTCTCACAGCCCATACCATCACGATCATTTATAACATTAACCATGCAAGATAAGACTACCAGACAGCCAATCTAGGTCGGTGGACTATTCTGCAAATGAGTAATCTCGGATGACGATTCAGTTGAATTGGTTGAGTTCATGAAATTCTCCGTTATTTTCCCAGTTACAAATATTGAATAAAACCAGGATGAAAGCTAAAATCTCATTCTCTATCTTGGAAAGCCATATCGCCCTATTTTCCTCAGAGGAAGCTCCTGCTGTTCAAGAAACTTTTTTGAGGTAATTCAAACCACAGCTTTTTGGGTACGATGAAAGCCGAGTAGATTTCCCCATGATGTCTATCTACCTGGGTGGAGGCAAACCCAAGTGATTATGCCATCACCACAAGTCCTGAACCAGGCAGCCGCCCACCACATTGGCCTTTTAGGTGGATCGACCTTAAATCTAGAGTAAAGTCAACGTACAGAAGAAGCTCCGAAACTACGAATCATATATTTGCCCCCGACTAAGAGACCCCCAACATTAATAATGGAAAGGTAGTACGATTTTCTTAAAAAGGGAAAGTCAAGGGCGTTGAGAAGGATGCAGTTTAAGTGTAAAGAGTAGCATCTTCTCAGATCACTTTTGAGATGAGCAAGGAATCTCTGCATTGATAGCTCAAGACTGTTCTTTAAGAGTTAAATAAATATGCCCAGAAAGGACTATAAATATATAAATAAATAAATATAGAGTTGACTATGAAGATATCTGAGCGTGGGAGGTGGCCAAGTTACCTGCTGTAAGGCCAAACGAAGATGTTCCACAGGGGATGCCCGTTTTGCGATTTGTTGAACTGTTGTCTTCTTTAGTAACTGCATAATGGGAGCAACAATAGAAATAAATACAAGTCCAAAAATATATACACAAACTCTGAAGAACTTTCATCTACACCGCATCCCCTTGGTAATTCACACCCTAACTGGAGAATATAGGTTGTACATATGATGCTCTGAGCAATGGGAATGGGAATAGACTGGAGCAAAGTTGTAATCACCAGCTTGAGATTATGTGAGCATCAGTGAGATAGATGCATGGCAACCAGGGGAGCTCAATTGAGATAATTATAGAAAAGAGTCTGATTTTTTTTGATATCAGACCCAGAGATCCGAGCAATCTTCCTGTCTCAAATGCATTGGATGCTCTAAACAACGTCGAAATTATTTGCCCAGTGACGCACTCATTCCCCGGAGGCCAGCCTGCGAGATTATTAAAAATAATTATCTCCCCTGACCACCCGTAAATTTCTTCCGCTGTGTTGGACGTTCAGCCCCTGCTGTTGACCGATTTCGACTGAGATCCCACAGAAAGACTTCACGGATTTGATGGGCTCTCCTCGATCGATTCCACATGGAGTATCGTGCACATATTTGGCCATGGCTAATCCCGGGGATCGTCGGAATTGAAGCTACCGGTACCCAGATCGGAAGAAATGCAAGATATCACGACCAGATTGGCCGGCTTTTTCGGAAAAGACGCCCGTACCTTGTTAAGGAGGAAATTAGGGTAGAGCTGGCTGCTGGTGAGGTAGTGCCCGCAGCAGGGGCAGTCGTTCTTGTTGTTGAGGTGCGTCACGATACACATGTAGCAGAAACTGTGGCCGCAGGCCGAAAGGAACGCGTCCTTGATCATCCCCATGCAAATAGGGCACAGCAGATCCCTGTCGCAGCGATCCTCAGAGGACGCCGCCGCTCCAACCCCACTCCCGCTCATCCCTGCTCCGGCGGCCTCCTCCGCCGCCGGCATCGCCGCCGCCGCAGCCGCAGTCGCCGCCGAGGCCGCTGCTCCTCCTGCCGCAGCATTCGTCGACTCGGCCCTGGCGCCGCCGGCAGGGCCAGCCGAATTGGCGCTCCTGCCCTCCGTCTTCACCACGGACGGCACTAGGGCTCCCGAGGACGAGTCCGCCATGGCTTATCCACCTTCCCTTCTACAAATCCCGAGATAAGCGATCCCCAAGGGGCGTCGTCGTCCCCACCACCATGGAAACCATCGGGGAAGAGGGGGGAGCGTGGCCCTGAGAAGAAGTGGTGCAGCTGTGGAGAGAAGAATTGAGTGGCGAGGAGATTTCTGAGGGCAGGAAGCGCCCACGTAGAAAGTCGCCCGATCGACGGCGACGAGAGCTTCTACAGCTTCTCAGAAAACCAGCTGGCCCCCCCCCCTCTCTCTCTCTCTCTCTCACTAGGCAGAAAAGTCAACTTTTTTACGTGGGGCAGCTAACATTTTGACATTTTTGTCCCTAGAAGATGATAAGTCGCGCGGCCGTGGATCGGTCAAACCTGAAGGGGTGGGGCATATGGGCTTTATTTACATGGGCCAGCCAAATTTGGTTTCCGATCCAAAATAAATCGGTCCGGCCCATCATCTTTGGACTGTGCCGCTCGGGGCCCGCTACTTTTTTTTCGGGTAGGGTTCGGTCAACGGTATGATATTCTCACTCCACTACATCCTATAATGCCATGATCTTACTAACTATGGACCGTACACCTAGTCTAGCCGTGATATTCTCACTCTCTCTCTCTCCTGGCGGGCTTGTCCATCACTCCCTTCCATCCCTACTCTCTGTCCTGCCTTCCATCGCACGCAATCTCATCCGTCCGTCCACCCCATCCCCTCTCTGCCTCCATCCTGACCGTCCATCCCATCCCTTCGTGGCGCCCGCTCCCAGTTCTTCTTCCTCCGCCGCAGATCCCGCCGCCGTCTCTGCCATTTCCCGCTCATGACGACGACGGCGACGACGCCGGCGGTGGCGGCGGCGGCGGCGGCGGCGACGGCTACGGCAACGACGGCGGCGACTGGTTCCTCTACCGCCGTCGCGGACGGCGGCACCGGCGAGGGCGAGTTGTCGGCGGAGGAGGCGCTCGATCTGATCTTGCAGACGATCCTTCCGTGCCTGCTGCTCGGCTCACTCACCGTTGTCGTCTTCCCCGGGCGGTGGCGGACTCTGCGGGAGAAGCTCGAGCGCCTCCGTTGCTCCCTGTCGGACGCCGCCCGTTGCTCCGGATGGTCCCGCCACCCGCTCCTGCTGGACCTCCTGCCGCCGCTGCTCGCCATTCTCCGTTCTCTGTGCTCTCTCTCAGATCGCTGCCACGATCCGTCTCTTCCGGGAGGCAAGCTCCTCCTCCAGAGCGACCTCGATATCGGCGCCTCCTCCCTCTCCCTCCGTCTCCATGACCTCGATCTCCTCCTCCGCTCCGGCCTGCTCCAGCGAGGAGACCACCTCCACCGCCACCACCACCACCGATCGAGCTCCGAGGCTGCCGATCCGTCCACCGGCGCCGGAGACAACGCCATTGTGCTGCTGCAGCCTGGAGCGTCGGCTTCCAAGGAGGATTTGTCCCTCTATGTTCGCGACCTATTCATTCGCCTCCAGATCGGCGGTGTGGAGTTCAAGAGGAAGGCTCTCGACTCCCTCCTCAACCTCTTCGCCACCGGCGGCGGCGGCGGCGGAGAAGGGGACGGCGTCGCCACCAGGATTGCTGCCCTGGTGGCCAGGGAAGGGGACGTCGCCTTCCTGATTCACCTCATGGAGGCGTCCTGTGAGCAGCACGCCGCCCGTGAGCAGGCCGCCGCCGCCGTCTGCTTCCTCGCCACTGGTTCTGAAATCTCCAGGAAGGCCGTCTTCGAGGAGGGGGGTCTCGGACCCTTGCTCCGCCTCTTGGAGACGGGGTCCGCTCCTCTGAAGGAGAAGGCCGCCGCCGCCGTCGAGGCGATCACCACCGACGCCACCAACGCGTGGGCGGTCCCGGCCTACGGCGGCGTCCCAGTGCTGATCGAAGCCTGTCGGCAGTCGCGTTCCCATGGGATTCGCAGCGGCGCCGCCGGTTCTCTCCGGAATCTGGCGGCGTTGGTCGTCGACGCGCGCGCTGCAATGGCGGAGGAGGGGGCTGTCCCTGTGCTGCTCGAGCTCTTGTCGCCGTCTCCCGGCGGTGGAGGCGTTGCCGACGACAGCGCCAGGATGAAGGCCGTCCAGTGCCTCGGCATCCTCGCCACCACCGGCGGTGACGGCAGCACGGAGGTGGAGAAGGTGAGGTCCTGCATAATCCAAGAAGGTGGCCTCCACAAGCTCTTGCAACTGTTTCGAGAGATGGCGGCGGCGAGCTCGGAGCTGGCGGAGCACGTTCTCCGAGGGATCCTCGCCCTCTCTGCTTCGCCGTCCGCCATGAAGATCCTGTCCTCCTCCTCTGCGTTCTTCCTTCAGCTAACCGAGACGATCAAACACGGGAATCCGGCGATGCAGCAAATCGCCGCCACTCTCCTCTCCGAGCTTCCTCTCGGCGAGGAGACCAAGCGGTCCATGACCGGCGTCATGGCGGCGCTGTTGAAGCTGATGGAGTCGCCGAAGCCGGCGAACTCCCAGGAGGTCGCCGCCCGCGCCTTGGTCTCGCTCCTGGCCGTGAGGTCCAGCCGGAAGGAGCTCTCCAAGGACGAGAAGAGCATGACGAAGCTGGTCGGCCTGCTCGATCCCGCCAACGACTGGGTCAGGAAGGAGCTCCCCGTGGCCGTCATCTGCATGGTGGCCGGCGGCGGCGCCGGTTGCCGGAGAAGGGTCGCCGCCTGGGGAGCTTGCCAGCACCTGCAGAGGCTGGCGGAGGCGGAGGTCCCCGGAGCCAGGAAGGCGCTGCAGAGGATGACCGGCGGCCGGATCAAGAATATCTTCTCCTCCATCGCCTGGAGGGAGTGACAGCCACAGGTAAGCTTCTCTCTGGGAATCCGATAGCCCCTCACGATCTCTTCAGAATTGGAGAGAAAAAAGAAAAAAGTAACTTTTTCTGCGGATCCCCTGCCTGATCTTCCAATACCCATCACAGTTTGCATCTCCGTCCTCCAAACCGGTTCTGAATTGTCTCCTCCGTTCAGTTTTCTGCTCTCAGGCCTCTGCATTGATCCCCTCTGCGGAATCAAACCGATGTCTCTGGCGAGCGATCTTCCCCCAGCGCCGGGCGTGGCTCCGTCGAAGCAACGGCGGCGGCGACCCGGGATGAATGAAGATCACCACGCAGAGCCCATGGCGGCGGCGGAGGAGGAGGATTAGCGAGGCCCATCATCCACAGGTTAGTGCGTGATTAATCCGACGACTTGGATTCTATTCGCTGCCGCCGCAGCGGATTAGTGTGCAGGAGAAACAAGGATGCGGAGTTTTAGGGAGTATCCTTTGTATTTGCTGGTGTTCATCCTCGTAAATTGTTTGCTGTGTGAATTGGTCTTCTTCTTCCTCTTCTTCCTTGTTCTTCCTCCTCCCTCTTCTGCTTCCTCTTTCAGTTAGTCTGCTCTGGATTGGGATTCGGCGGGGCACTGTGGATCAGAGGCGTCTGGCCTTGGATTCTTCTAAAACTTGTTTATTCCCAAGGAAGGTCTCCTCCCGGTCTTATGTAACTGGGCCATCTCCCTCGCATCTGGGTCTGTAAAGAAGTGAACGTCCAGAGAGAGAAGGCAGCGGCACATGGGAGATAGAGGGAGAGAGGTGGTCTGGCTTGGTGGGTGTGTTAGTGATAACGTGGGTCTGCAGGTTAGTGGCGGATGGCTTGGGCCCCTCTCTCTCTCTCTCTCTCTAGCTGTCTCTCTCACTCTCTCTGTGAATGTTCCCTCTCTCTCTCTCTCTATCTCTCTCTCTATCTGTCTCTCTTACTCTCTGTGAACGTTCCCTATCTCTCTCTCGCTCTTTTTCTCTCTCTGCGGATAGCAAGAGGTTGGATACAATAAATGAGGAGGCATGGGCAGGCGGCAAGATTTGGCGCCTTCGCTCCCGTGATTGCCCGGTAGAGGCCACAGCGCTCGACAGCCTGGAAAGCGTCCGCCGCCGCCGGAGATGGCCGCCAGTCGCCGGCGGTGACCGGCGGCCGACGCTCCATAGACCCTGACTCAAACCCGTCATCGACATCTCGATTTACCCACAGTTCTTCACAGTGGCCTCAATACCAAGTAGACGTTAAAAAAATTATACCCGTACCAGTCAACGCCGGAGATTTGATAAACTACGAGAGTCAAAACCTGCCCCACATTCCATCGTCGTCGTCAACCCTCTGCGACTCTGGTTCCGGCGAGATCTCTGCAACCTCTGAGGAAGACGCGCCACACTGCGGCGCCCGGCGCGAAGGGCATGGAGCTTATCAGAAGCTCGGCGTCTTCCACTCTGCCGGAGCGGCAGAGGAGCTCCACCACGCAGGCGTAGTGCTCCGCCGCCGGCGGCACGCCGTAGCAGTTCTCCATGCGCCGGAGCAGCCAGAGTCCCTCCTCCGGCAGCCCGCCGTGGCGACAGGCGGAGAGGGCGGCGAGGAAGGCCACCCCGTCGGGGCAGAACCCGTCCTCCTCCATCCGCCGGAATGCCGCCAGGGCCGCGGCGGCGGCGCCGTGGAGCCCCAGCGCCGCCACCATGGCCGTCCATGAGACCAGGTTCTTCTCCGACATCTCCTCGAAGACCCTCCGGCAGCCCTCCATGCTGCCGCACTTGCCGTACATGTCCAGCAGCGCGTTGTGGGCGAAGACGTCGAAGGATTGGAAGCTAGCTTTGATCATCAGGCCATGGAGGAGAGCACCGAGGAGGAGGCTGGAGAGGGATTTGCAGACGCTGAGCAGACTCACGGCGGTGCTGTCGTCGGGAGCTCCCCAGGCGGCGTGCATGCGCCTGAACAGGCGCAGCGCGCCGCCGTGGTCGCCGCCGCGCGCGTAGGCGGCGAGCAGGATGTTGCAGGTGACGACATCCGGTTCCTCCGCCAGGAAAAAGGAGGAAGAAGAAGACAGGAGCTCCACCGTCTCCCTGAAATGGCGCCGCCGGTTGAGGATCCCCCCCACCGCGTTGGCCACGGCCACCGGCACCTGGACCGGCGAGGAAGAAGATGATGAAGAAGAAGAACCCATGAAGTGTCCAGCGACGTCGAAGGCGGCGTCTTCGTCAACGTAAGCGGCGGCGGCGGCGCTGGCAACGCGGCCGTGGCCCTGGAAGCCCATCTTGACGGCGAGGGAGTGGAGCTGGCGGAGCTCCGGGAGGGAGGACCAGCGGAGGGCGGAGGAGAAAGAGAACTCGTTGGGGGGGGAGGCCCGCCGGAGCATCTCCCGCAGGAGGGCGGTGGCGCCGCCGCAGCTTCGCCGGGAGAAGCCTCCGAGGAGGGCGTTCCAAGCGGCGGTGGGCTTCTGCTCCCTCGCCGGAGTTTCGCCGAACACCGAGCAGGCGTCTTCCAGGCGGTCGAACTTGGCGTACAAGTTCACCAGCGAGCTTGCCACGAAGTCGTCCTCCTGCAACCCGAGCTTGACGGCCTTCCCGTGCACGGATTCTCCGGCCGGCGGCGCCGCCAGCTCCGCGCAGGCACTGAGCGCGCTCGCCAGCGTCCTCCCGTTAGGGAGCAACCCGTCGCAGGAGCCCATCATGGAGAAGTGCCGCAGAGCTCCGACGGGCTCCCCGCTCCTGGAGAGCTCCGCGATCATGGTATTCCACGAAGCTGCGTCCCTCTCCGCCATGAACCAGAGCATCCTCTCCGCTGCCCTCACGCCACCGCCGCCGCCGCTGCAATACGCCTTGAGCAAGCTGTTAGCCACGGGCAGATGGGAATCCATGCCGGACTTCAGGGCCAACGAGTGGAGCCGCTCTCCGCCGGCGGTGGCGGAGAGAGCCACCATGAGAGAGCTCTCTGAGAGCTCCATCTCCGTTCTCAGAAGTTCCCTGAACAGCCGCAGCGCCTCCTCTGCAAGCCCCCGCCGGGAAAGCTCCGCCATCATGGAGTTCCAGGTCGCCGTACTCCGGTGACCCATCTCCCGGAAGACCTCGGCGGCGCCGCCAATGCTCCCGTGCCGGCCAAGTACACCGATCAGCGCCGTGCCGGAGAAGGGCCCGCTGTGGAGGAGCCCTGTCTTCAGGATCAGCGAGTGCAGCTGCTGCGCATGGCGGAGGCCCACCGGCGGTGCCGCCAGGATCCCGCCGACGGTGAACTCTGTTGGCCGGAGACCGGCGAGCATCATCTCAGAGAGAAGCCGGAAGCACTCCCCCATCTCTCCGCTCCGGCCGTAGGTGGCGATCATTGAGTTGTAGGAGACCACATTCCGGCGCGGCATTTTGTCGAACACCTCCCGAGCCTCTGCGATTCTCCCCGCAGAGCCGTACTCCGAGATGAGCCGGTTGTAGGCCGAGCTCGGTTCCGACGCCGCCGCGGCTGTGGCGGCGGAGATGGCGAGGTGGACATTCTTCCCGGCGAGGCTGTGAAGCATCCGGCGATCATCTCCGAGTCGCCGCCGCCGCCGGAGGGGGGGGGATTAACAATGATTTTGTGAAAAATAAAGAGATTAATGAAGTCAAGGTCAACCTAACGCCTACTTCCTGTCAAAGTAGCATCTAGAGCTTCGAGCTGGTCCGGGTCCAGCCGTGGCTCGGGCCTGAGCTGGTTCGGGTCCAGCCAGGCTCGAGCCAATTCCGAGGCCCCGACCCTTTGACTTTGGGAAGTGATAATGAGTTCTGGGAATGCATGTTTTGGAAAGACTTTCTGTGTGGAAGAAGTACGAATAAAGACTGCTGGGTGGGTGAGGGCGATTATGAGGGAGGGAATAAGGTTTGCCCCGAGGAGGGAAATTCGCGGGCCATTTCTTGCTGCGTCCATGGTCCAGGCGAAGCAGAAGAAATCCAGACCGGTGAGGAAGAAGCAGGCCGCCGTGAGTTCCTCCTCCTGTTCCGATCCTCAAATGCATCCTGTGGTTTCATTCGTTGAGGTGTTCTCGCATGTGGGTTCGAGCTTGATTCAGTCATACCGTTCGCATTCTGTTTTATCTTTTGGACCGGAGTACTGATGATGGAGTCCCGATGATCCGTTGTACTTTCTGTCCTAACCGAAAGGTGATCAGTGTTGCTCCTCAAGGTTTAGGGGCGTCGAGCAGCATGCTGTAGATAGCATGAGGAGGAAGTGGAATTTTTATTCTCTAGGTGGATTTATTTATCTTCAGGATACCATCATGAATAATCATTAACTACGTAATATTTCATGTTTTCTGGTGCACTTGTCCTCCTCAATGTATGCTTCTGGGTGATTACATTCATTCAGTCCAATATAGGTGATTGATTTTTTCTATATCATGGTCAATTTTGAATTTTTTTTTTCTCATCCCCACTTTTGGTGCACCTATCTGTTACTCTTCATAAATTTTTCTGTATACTTATAAAAGTCTCCTCATTTGATAGGTTAAGAGTCATGGCAAGAAGGGTGACATTTCACAATTTTGTTCGCAGCTTGATAGTTTGGGATTGAAAGTAACAGAAGTTACATCGGATGGTAACTGTTTTTTTAGGTTGGTAGAATTATCAAATTAAATGCAGAATAATATCAAGTTATTAACTTTGTGTTGTCTGACAGCAGCCATCGTTTTCATGTGTTTGTTGTTTTCAGTTTTGAATGAATGACGAAATATCTTTTCAGGGCTTTAGCTGACCAGCTAGAAGGTGACGAAAATGCTCATCAAAAGTATCGCCACATGGTGGTAGAATATATCCAGGTATGAATTCATCATTCACGGTAAAGCTAGTTAAAAAATAGCAATTGGATATTGTGATCTATTTGATGCAACTACTGTGCTATAAGTTTTTTCTCCTACATGGATAATTGCTCGCATACTCCATAAAATCCTTTATAATTTCATTCTTTAGGTTTTGTCATCCAGTTGTCAAATTGTCCGAGTATCCATGACACGTTTTAACGTTCAGTGCACAAATGTCAAACTAAGAGTTACAGTTTTTCCAGGCTTATTATTTTTCTTAGACAAATTTTAGTAATCTTGATGGTGTTGCAAATATCATTCCAAGCATTTTGGAGCCCTCTTTCACCTGTACTTCTGTTGTCATTTCTTTGTTTAATGTAACTTTACTATTTTGCATCAATCATACATCAAGAGCCTAGGTCAGAATGCTGCACGCCAAAAGAAGAACACGACTTATTGTCAACCAAACTAGGTGCACAGGTATTTTCCTGGCTGTGTTACTCTGGTAGGGTCTTCGAAAATGAACTCGTTTTTCTTAGAGTAAGCCATTCATTAGTCACTGTAGCGTGGTTACTGTTCGGTATCATTTTTTTACATTCAGATGTTTACATAAGTTGTTTCAATAGTAATTATTATCTATCAGTAGATGTGCACAAAATCATTTGGCAGTGCCATTGTCATATAATGTAATAGCATAAAAATCATTGGGTTTTTCGACACCATTATTTCTCCACTGTATTTTTGGCTCATGGTAATGTCTGAATTGTATTGACAGATGCACAAGGAAGACTTTGAACCTTTTATTGAAGATGAAGTTCCCTTTGATGAATATTGCAAGTCCATGGGGGAGGATGGTACGTGGGCAGGAAATATGGAATTGCAAGCAGCTTCTCTTGTAACTAGAAGTAATATTTGCATCCATCGTGTAAGCTCTTCATTTCTTAATGTATCCTCTGTGAAATTGCGTAATATCATTTTTCTGGGTCAGGTTTGATGACTTTATATATGGAGTTTGGTCTTATTCAGGTGTGGTTGTGATTTTGATTAGTCGGCTATACTGAAATTTTATTGTTATTTTCGTTGCAAAGGTTGGGTGTGATTGCAATGCAGTACCGGATTGGCCCAAGAAACGTTTACAAAAGTGAAACTGGAGATGACAAATATAAAGAGCTTCAGTCTTTGGCATCTTGTTTATTTTCTACTTCTAGCTCTTCTTTTAATTTTCCTATTTCTCTTTTTGTTCTTCCTTCTCTTCTTCTTATTCATTATGTTCGACATTTCTTATCTTCCTCATTTTCTTTTCCTTTTTCTTGCCTTCTCTGTTCTGCTTCGGATTCCTCCTTTTTTGTTTTATTAATTTCTTCTTTCCATCTTCGAACATAGCTCAACTTTTGTTCAAGAGCTGGACTAGTTGTATTCAGCCAAAGCTAAGCCAACCCCGGACTTATCTTTGGCAGGAACATCAACTGTAGCCTTGCTATGTTGCTGATGGTGTTATGGCTGTAAAGCATTGCACGAGGCAGCTCAGATGGCAGTCAAAGAATTGGAATTCTAGAGGAAATTTACTATGGGTCCTCTGGTATTTCCCCCCTGTTAGACGCTCTATCACAGAACAATCTAAAAGACCTCAATTACTGGCTATGATGAGCTGAAGACTTGATACATGGCTTAAGACTTGGTTCTCTAAGAATGTCGAGATAATGGTCTGATTTGTCGGAAATGAGAGCTTGAAATCCAATCTGTCTACATGGGGATAAAAAACAGTGTGTATTCCTAATATAAAGCATTTTCGTGATGTTAGACCTTTTTGTTGGCCTTGACATGGAGTCAAAGTGTGGGTGAAACTCTTTTCTAATTAGGGCTGACAGCACTATTTGGAGACTTCGAGTTTCTAACGAGGCCAACTTCACCTTAGAGTATGACAGTTGTAGTTTTATGTGTTTTCTTCACAGCATGGGAGAGTTCCGGTTCATGCACATGCATTCTTTCTTTTTTTTAACTTGATCCTGTCGTACTACCCATTTTCGGAAAAAAAGGATTAGATCTGGCAGCTATCTACTATGATAAGCCAGTTGACCTAAAGAATCAATTTAGGGTCTAACCTAGGAACCTTCGGCATCTCATTAAAGGTTAGGTTAATTTCAGAGGTAGAAATTGCAGGATTCACGTAAGCTCGTGGTTAAGTCGGAAATTACCAATGAAATTTCATGGTAAGTCAGAGCATCGTTAGTGGCCTAGTGGTAATAATGCCCTTTCTCAACAAAGTTTGTTTCAAGAATCAAATGTCCTGATATTGATGTTAGCTTGATCAACTGATTAAAATATGCATGTTTGACAGCTGGGATCCTTTCGATGTAATGATTGACCTCAATCATCTTATATTTGGAAACAAAATTCTGTAAAATTGGGGTGATGATCATAAAAAGTATCTCTTTCTGAGTTCAGAGAGCATGCAGCAGGTTTTCTGAATTCCACAAACGAACTTGCTGTGACGTTATCATCGACCATTTGAACTGGAAGGCAGTTCTGTCTTATTATTCTTGAGATACGGTCTAATGCATCCGTTCAGGGAAAACCATTATGAACATTTTTTCTAACGGAGAAAACTTTGGTTCGCTACACTCTAGAAAATGGACAGTTACTTTTTTTACTTGCTTAGGAACCTCTTTCACTCTGCTGCGTATCCGTTCAGGGAATCACTTTCTTTTACATGCCTGAGAAACGTATTTGACATAAAAAATCACGCACTTATTTGACAACTAAAGTAATGCTTGGGGTCTTTCTTTATTTAAAAACAAACTGGAGGTGATATAATTATCAAAACCTTTGTTGACATACTGTCGGTCACCTATTCTTATTGTTTAATATCGTGTATTCAAGGAAATTAGTTTTGAACTAAAAAACTTTGCCCTGGTGCGATCCAGGAAGCTAAAGGGAAAATATATTGTTTGAGCAGTAACCATCGGAATTGTATTGATTTCCTGCCTGTAGTGCATAGAATCTCGGTCTGGAAACTGATGACACGCATCTCGGGACCAACAGCTTACTTACTTCTGGCTGATGAACATTCAATTACTGAAAAAGTATGCTAACTGATCATTCTCATAATGTGGAAGCTACAATCATTTCTTTTTGTGATGCAGAGTATGTCGCCACGTTGGTATGTAAGAAATTTCCATGCTCAGGGCTCAAGAATGGTTCACATGTGAGTCAGCTTGATTTTCTGTATATTTCTCTTCGTGGTTTTATTCATCACGGTAAATTTTAAAAGCATGCATGCGTCAAAAATTTAAGTGCCTCTTATACTAGATTGCTTTTATTAGCAAAATATTAAAGAGTTTTTTTTATCATAAAGGGGTGTCATTTTGAACCCTATGATGATTTTGATTACGGTTAACGCTCTATTTTTTGTTTCTATTTTTCACCTTATTTGTGAGACAATCATATGGCTTTTGAGAGAGGTTTTAGTTGAACGTTTAGAGGCCTTAAGACAATCATCTAGATGATTTCATGGTGGGTTTGTTCCTGTATTTTTCTGCTTATGATCCAGCATCTTGTCTTATCCTCTGTTAGGACTAATATAGTAGTAGTAGTCATTGTCATTTTTAGTTCAAATACTGTCTCTTTTCTTTTCTGATAAAAGTTGCTGTTCCAGATCGTATCATGATGGTGAACACTATAACAGCGTTCGACTGAAGGATGATCCTTGCACTGGACCTGCTAATCCTGTTACTCTTAAGGTACATGTTGGTGCTCTTCTCAGTCATTTGAATCGTTTAATATTTTTACCCCATACAGTTTTACTTTGCTCCCGGGACTTAGATGAAGATTATATGACCTCGTGATCATTGATCTGACAGGTCGATGCAGATGTTTCATTGACATCCCATCAAGAAAAAAGTACGACTAACAAATCCAGAGGGCTCTCTCGTGAAAATACCACTAACATGAATTCAATTAAATTGGTTATGATTGGGTCAGGATGCAGCGAGCTTAGTAAAGTTGAACAGGTAGATATTCAGTTAAAGATTTCTGGGTGTATTCCTTTTTCGTTCACTAAAATTTATCAGTTCGACCTGAGATCATTAACTTCGTGGGACAAGGACACGGTGGCTATAGCATTCTTATGTTAATGATAAGTATGATCAATTCTGTTTTCTGGCTTTGTAATCAGGTTTTACAGGATGTAGATGGTGATGTTGATGCAGCTATTGAGTATTTGATAGCAGAAAAAGAAATGATTGAAAATGTTCATATTGATGATCAACTTTCTTCTGTGAAGGAGAATGATGCTGTTGGTAAGGTTTTATTTACTGTTTTGACAGATTATTTGTACGTTGGTGAAGAAAATATACTGGGTAAAAATGTATTGTTGATAAGTATACGGAAGGTAGTTTTAGCATACTAGATGAATGCTTTTATTTATTTGTGCTCTTTTGATCAATTAGTATGAGTCATTTCATCTCAGAAAGGCAATCTTAAAGACGAAGCTATAAAAAAAAATTAAAATGTTTTTAATGAAAAATTATTTACTATGCAGTTTTTTATTTTCTGGATAAACCTGCTTTGATTTGCCTTGCGTTATCAGTGAGCACATATCTACCAGTAAATGTAAAATATTAATTAGGAGATTTTTAAAAGTCAGCAGTAATTCGAAATCTTGAAATAAAACTTTTATGAAAGCTCTCACCACCCCCCAACGCCCTCCCCGCCACCACAAAAGGAAAAAAAAGGAAAGACGAAATCCTGAAGTTTGTCCCTCACCAATATCGTGTAGACAAGACTTTATCCCTAAAGTCCCCAAAACAATAGTCATCCCCTTCCACAATGCGTAGAAATCTCACCCATTCTTTCATACCAAGTTGCAAGACCCTCCCTTCAGAGGATGCGCCTGCTCCTCTCTGGCTGTAAAATCCTTTAGATTGCATGCAAAATAATTCACGAGACACTCTGAACCACATTTCTCATCCAATGTTGATCCTATCTTAGAACTCATCATCTAACATGGGTACTGCTACTGTATACCTAAAACTTAATTCAATTTCTAATGAAAATTATGACCTACACTACCCTACCTCATTATTGCCAAATTTAGCTCATCTTGTTTCATTTAATAACATTCACAGATAGTTTACAGCAAGAAACAGATGAATCTTTATCTCAGAACTATCAAACTCTTTGCCTTTCAATGGTTGCCAGAATACTCTATCCAACATGTGCTCTTCTTACCTGGAAATATATTTGTTACCTTTTTGAAAGCTTATTGACAATGGGAAGGAACCAACCATAGTTGAGTGGATACTACCAATGAGAGACATTGGATAAAAGAACATACATTGAAAAAGAGTAAAGATTGGAATGGATCCCAAATTTAAAGGTTGTAGTATTCTGTTGGATTTCTGATCTCATATTGGCGATCATTATTTTTCATACGATTGTGTATTTCGAATTCTTGATTGGATGCCTTGTTAGCATTTCGAGCCCTGAAAACTTTACTATTTTTTTTTTATCATAACCATTGAAACGATGAACTCTTTCTTCCCGACTTTCCAAAAGTGCTTTTCATAATACATCCCGTAATCTTGGATAGGAGGTAATGATGGAAGTTCAGAGTGCTCTCAAGACATGAAACATGGAGACAAGATATCCACCACTGACATTGAATCGGTTCACGATGCCAGGACTCAGCATGATGATAAGGTTTTGTCTTGATGGAAGTTGTTTAATTTTCACGATAGGGAGATTTGATGAACAACATCAGTCTTTCCTCTCCTATGACAGGTAATTCCGAAAGATAGGATTTCCCTTTCTGAATCAAGAAATGAGAGAGGAAATGCATCTCGTGCTTCCGAAAGGAAATGCCCAACAAGACCTGCGACAAGATCTGTCAAGTAGGATGCTTTTCTCCTTCTTGATCATTTAATCATCTTGTTATCTCTCCTCATAATGATGTGCATTTATATTTTTTATTGTGATACAAAGTCATGAATTTTATATTAGGTTGATTTTGTGCGCGAGTTTGCGACCAATTAAGTACAGGCTTTAGAGGTGCAACAAGCTCAAAGCTTGATATCTGAAAGTTATGGAGCATGTTTTGAAGAATTATCCAATATTCTACTTTGAATATAGTCTTGAATTAGTGTCCACCTTGGTGAAATTGTCAACCAAAGTATTGACAATCACAGACCAAACAACTTAACTTGTAAAAGTTCTCACGGTTGCTCCAGTAGTGGTCAGGTCTAGGTTTGGGGTTGACTAAAAGACTACATAGAAACCTCTTCAATAACATGTGATCGCTTCTTGCCTTTTCTTGATTCATCATGGAAGTCGAACGACTCATCCCCCCATCTGATTCTGCAGCTCCTATTATAATGGCTCCAATCTTAATTGCTGATTTGGCATTGATTTTGTCTTTGCTTTTTCTTGGCTTGAAAGATTTTCTGCCTCGAGAAGATTTTTGGTTTCATCCCACAAACTTCCCGGCCAATCCCGTTGTTCACGTTCATCTTGTTCTGAAGATGCTGCTTTAAGGGCCTTTTTGGTGTACCTCACGATTGATGGCATCTGATCTTCAAACCATCAGTTTTTCTTCTCGCCGCATAGTTTGTGCCGAGGCGTGAAGAATTGACTCTTGAAAACACATGCAGGAGTAACATCTCGAGCGTGAGTAGGAGCAAGAAGGAGAGGAGGTACAGCAAGAAGGGGGAAGGCAGGAGGCCTGCACAGGAGTCCGTGGGTCTGCCCGATGTGGGCGCCCTTTGTATCTGAGCCCTTTCCCTCAGGTACTTCACATCCCTCTATGGCTTCTTATTTTCTGCAAGAGTTTGATCCGCACAGGTGGTCCTTTTCAAGCGTGGGCATGCCCAATCCGATGCTTACAACACCACCCAATCTCCCTTTCGTTGCCAAAGAGCTGCAACGTTGGTCTGAATGCTGAAATCTGCAGGGCTTTGCCTCAGAGCAGTCCCAAAGGGCCGGTAATCAGAAGAGAGCTGGAGAACAGGTACATAAAAGGTTGGGAAAATGAATGGAAAAGGCCCAATCTTCTCCTAGTCTTCATGACTCCCCGATGTTAATTCTTAGGGTTCTAAGAGGTTTTATCACCGGACCATTTTAAGGCAGATTCTCTCCTAATTAAGGGGAGGAGTTACTCTCCACTCGAGGGTCATCTCTCTTGTGTTGTTCCTTGAATAGAAGGGTCGACCCAGGTGATAGCTGCTGTGATTTTTGTCAGCTGTGCTGCTTTTATAGCTCCATGTGTTTAAGCATTGAACAAGTCTGAGGCTCCACAGATGATTTCAAGGCCCAACTGCTGGTCTCTTGCTAACTAGTGGCGATGATCAGATTCATGGAAGTGTGATGTAGAGCGTCACTTGTTTAAAAAGAGGGACGAATTTCTTTTGACATCTGGCCGAAAATTGGTGGGCAAGAGCAGTTTGAAAGTTTGACAGATGATGGGCTACAAAGATGGAAAAGGCCCAAAATAAAATTTGGTCCAAATAAAATTTAATCTGTCAGATTTGTTTATTTCATAACGATCTTACTATTTGGTTGTTTTAATTATTATTATTTTCATATATAACGGACCTTATTTTCTAGGAGAGTTACCATTGATTTGAGCCTATTTAGAGACCCTCACCTTATTTTGGGTTATTATGAGTCTACTCTCTTCAAGGTTACTACCATCTACCTGCTTCTGGATTTAAGCACCTCCTCAGAATGGTTGCTAAGGATTTAAGTTTCTAAATTGTGTGAATTCATAATCTACTTTCTTTATTCAAAATTTGTGCCTTGTGGATTTAAGGCTAGATTTTGTTGTATTTGTCACACTTTGTTACATCAAGTATATCAGAACAAGATTAAAAAGCCTTTTTAATAACAATGATCTTTATGGTCCTTGTGGATTCTGAGATTGAGGGAAATTTCTGCACTCTATAATTCCACTTATTTTGATATTTCAAGGATTCAATTGTCTGGTAATTCATCAAGAACAGAAATTTTGAGATTTATTCTCCTCAAGGAGCATCTCAACAAAAAGGATTCAACCCTTCTGAAACATCCTTTTTGAGGTATAGATGATACAAAGTTTATCAAAGATATTACTCCAAACTTTCTAGATATACATGATACACGTCTCATTAGACCAATATAATGTGAGTTATAATCCAAAATGATAAAGAATTGAAGGGTTCCATTTACAGACACCCAAACGAATGAAAATTCCATTTTAGAATTTTTTTTATTGGATATGGTAATATGAGTAATAGGTTTGAAAAGAAGTTTATGAAAGGTCATAGCAAAGAATTAAATTCTAATTTTCAGAACGGAAGATGAATCTTGAAAAGAATATAAATTCACACAGAGGACGAAGAAGAAATGTTAAGGAAAGTGCTGAAAATAAGAATTATTGATCCATGTGGGTTACATGCAAAAAAGAAAGAATATAGTTTCTACAATCCACAACATCATGATGATATCTTTTTCACATGGGCTCAAATTCCAAATATTTCAAAGTCCAAATTGAGGGGAATGGAAAACTGTATACGAGAAAGATGAGACTTGATGAACTGTTGGTGCATTTTAAATCTCTTAGGATATGGAACCAAGTACTTGAACCCAATATTCAAAATTTTGTTGTCACATTTGAATACAATGGTATAGAAGAACGTATGTCTATTTAGAGGAATTATTTTCTTTGAATTTGCAAGCAGCCCAAAAACACCTACTAAAGAAAATTTCAAAAGCTCCCCATACCTAGGGATATCAATCAGCAATGTGTGATGCAGGATATTGGTTCTTAAAAAGGAAGGGTGAAAAGTTTTTGACCTAGGTGGCCCAAAATTCGTTGGCCGGAAGCTCTGAAGATTGAAGGATATGATTTAAAGGTCTGAAGACCAAAAATAAATAATTCCCAACTATCATCCTTTCCTCTTTTGAGGCCCTTTAAAAACAACAATGGGAAGGGTAGTTATCTTGATTGAAGTGGCGATGCCACTGAAGGGTAGTTATCTTGAGTTCAAGATGCTGTTTAAGAGAATGGTGCAATACTATTTCTCAATGATTCTGGACATACGCAACATAGGAAACTACCACTAAAAGAGAATGGTGGGCGTGGAGCTGTCCATGGAAAATCAAAGCTCATTGCTCAAATTGAATCTTCAGAGATGTCTTTTGGCCCACACCATCTGATGGTTAATATCATTATAAATAAAATGGCAACAAAATTTAAAGCCCATGATACCGTTCCTTAAGGTACAAGCCATTGGATGGCTCTTTTCAAGCAACCTGGTTGAGGGATTGCCCAGCACTATTCACATACATGACATCCAGTTCAAGGTGGCGAACTCCCCTCAGCTACAAGTATCGACTCTCTACTCTTCCTCATCCGGGCACTGCTTACCTACCTGGTTCTCAATTAGCAGCTCATGGATATTCCCCTAGTCTCTTCCATCCGCCCAACAAGTGGTTACCGCTTATGGATGACCTAACCAGTTGCTACCCTCTCCTTGACCACTGCCTAAAATATCTCGGAAATCGTGTTTCCGTTCAGAGGCTGCTGCTTGCCCGCTAGATAATATTTTCTTCCTCTCTTCCTGTCCCTTACTCCTCATCCTACTTTCTCCGCCAATCTCTCTCTCTCTCTAGACCGTCATTGTATTCTCTTCCTCCCTCCACCTAGACCCATCTCAGGATCTAGAACCCCATGTGCCTCAGCTGCACCAGGGATTCACCTTGACTTAATGATTCATCTTGATCTAAAAATTTACCTGGGCATCTATCTGAGAGAGGAAAAGAGAGACTGAGCAGGAAGAGAGGGAGTTTGCGAGAAGAGAGGAGATGAGAAGAAAATTAGAAAAAACAGAAGAGAGAACTAAGGACATGGATATGTTAACTCCCTGTTAAAAACATAATTGTGTTATTAATATCATGCTTGAACATAACTTTAAGAAAACTTAAGTTTATTAATGAAAATACCAAAGGGTTCTAGAGGCTGCAAGAAATATGAGATTATGCACGACATCATTATGTAATGAAAAGCAAGAACACAAATCCGAAGTGTAGGATGACTTAAGTTCAACTAAGTAGAGAAGACTCTAAAACATTATCTATCACTCCTACTTTCCTGGGTATGTATTTGGCAGATGTATGAAAATCTCAAAATGGTGCATTTTTTTCATGTGCATATCTGATCATACGATTCAATAATTGACAGGGTATAACAAGTTAGACGTGGGTCTATAAGCCACGCAACACACATTCAATGGCTGAACCTTTTGGGGAAAAAAATAAAATAAAAATCAAAGCACAAGCCTAAGTTTGGCTGACATTGACAATCCGAAGCTTACATGATATTTGTGCGTCACCAATGATCAACGTACAAGCTGTCAGTCAACATAATTTTACAATAATCATTTAAATGTGCTTACGTTACAGCATGGTTTTGGATTATCCACCTCACCTATTTCAATTTCGATTAGATTCCGAAATGGCCTGTAATATGTACAGACTGCTTTAGGAAACGATTGATTCATCTTGTCAACACACAAAGTGATGAAGAATGGGCTGATTGATAATTAAACGCAACTATGATTGAGGTACATGCAATCTGCACATATCAAGTCCCAACAACTCCTACCATTCTTCAGTGTCAGCATGTTGTCAGATCATTTTCCTTTGAAAAAACTGGTAGGACCATGTAATCTTTGAACTATGGAAAAGTGAGATGCACGTGAGATGTAGTATGTATTCTTGTCATAGAGTGGAAAGGACATGATAAGTATTATGACAATTTACTATGCAATCGTTTTTATGACAAACTTTAGACTTTAGCTCATATCATTACAATGATAAACATATCTTCACTGCAACTGACGCAGTGTAAGTTGCAAAAGGACAGAAATCAGGCCCTCCACATGGCATGACATCTTCTAGTCTTGAGTCTACCATGATCGATTATGAAGGAAGAATCCTCGAATCTAAAGGGATAAAAAATAATGTCTCTTGAATCCAAGAGAGTTTCTTGAATAAACAATGAAAATTGAAATCCTACATAGAGAATAAAAAATCGTATACATGATTCTCCCAGAAATTGCAGAGTTCCAACTTTTAAATAGGCGAAAATCTGTTCAACTGTCCTTAAATTTCAGATTTAACAGAAAAATGATTGAAGCGAGTAAAAAGCAGAAAAGTTCAAATCCTACAAATATACCACGTTTTTCACTTTTTTTTGGGTCTGATTGTTTCAATCTAGCGCCCAAAATACACTTTGGGCCTTCAAACGTTTGTAGTCCATGATTTTATGTTTGAAGGCCACGTCAGCCAAAAAAAATTCGCCTTTCTCAGTTTTTGAAGTGATGTCCTACGGCAGTCTCCCCTACTTGAAAAAAGATTGCCCTCGAATCTTCATCAGTCTCTGTATAATAATTGTTAAGATGCACAACGTTAAGATTCAAAGATATGACCATGTTGACAGTCTTTGGCTTGAACTTGCCATAGCTTCCCACTGGAAATCTATATCTCTGCTAGTGTGGAATGATAAAACCATCAGTTCTAAAAAATATTTATTCATCATTTCGGATCAACTGTATCTGAACAGTTCAAGTAACTGAATGAACAATACCACTTCCACGATTGATATGATGTGACATAATATCAAAGTCCTACTGCCCTAGTTTATCCTCTGAAATGCAATGAATCAAATTGTGGAGCGTCTTATTTACCACCTCACTTTGGGAGTGACATGAACCAAAACTTTTGCAAAGACCAAATCTCATTATTGCTTCTATCTAACTGAAGTTTCCCTTCTTCATACATTCAGTGATAGGTGTGATAGTAGAACAAAACTCTTGAAGAACTCTGTGGTAAAAAGAGGTCAATCTATGAAAACTATGCACCTGATTGAAGATATGGTATATGGCTATTCTTGGGCACCTTCAAATTTTTCTAAGTTGACTCTGGATTGATCACAAATTCAAAGAAAATCATCTTTCTAATCACAAAGATACATTTTTTAAAATTTATGTACAACTGATTATATTCTAAAACTCTCAGCACTTCTTTCAAATGAAAGATAAGTTCCTCTGTACCATTACAAAGAAATGTACTACCAAAACAAGAGAACAAAAAATTTCTGATATAAAGTTGCAGTACTTGGTTCATCATCCTCATATACAACCATTAGACAAAGGAAATGACACCAATGATTCATAAAAACTTGCACTTGTCATATAAGAAGTTTTTCATTCCTCACGTGTAGAGATTTGGGTTTCAGAATAACCTTAAATCAACTTTTGAGAAATCCTGAGAACCGTAGATTATGTCAAACATACCATCCAGTCGTGGATTGTGAAACCTATGTTCTTTCTTTCGCACATGTAATGCATATGGATTCATACCTTGTCTATTCAACCCTTTTGTTAGTAGCTTTTTTACATGTTCATACGAATTTATATTCTCTTTAGCATTTTTTGTTCAAATTGCATAGATCAAATACTTTTGATCTCGGAAATTAAGTCAATATGCTGCTCAATATACTAATCAATATTGATTGTATCATAGTCAAAGTGACTGTGATACAAATTTAAAACAATATTGGACTCGGACAAAGCATTTGGTACTAGTTTGATCAGCGACATCTGAAGTCTGTATGGTGCCATCATCTTTTCTCCCTACAGATGGTTTTTCTGATTTTTGATCCGAACTGTTTTTGCCAAACAAGTTTTTATGATTTTTGTCTTAAAACATTTTTTGATTAACCTGATTTTACAAGGATGTGAGTGCATTTTAGTTTCTATCCCTAACTTTCAAACCATAGTTGAAGAAACAATATTTTTACTACTGCTACTATTAGTAATAACGTCATATACTTTTTTTACTATCTATGCATCAAATTCTGAAAATATTGTGACGTTGGGGCTCTGATCCTCTTCCTCCATTGTGAACATGAGCCTCTTCACGACCAATAAATGAGAATGTAGTTCTATACTTTCTTCTTCTATGTATTCCTCTCCAAACCTATTACTCATATTACTAGATCCAAATAAAGAACGAATATATGTGCCCATAAAATTTTCATAAGTTGTCTGTCAATGTGCAGGGTGTTTCAACTCACTATTTTTCCGACTGATACTGAAATAAAAATGTTTTAGCGCGGTAAACTTTGAAAGAAAGAATTTGTTTCAACCCATCATGCATATCTTGAAAGTTCTGAACAATATTTTTTTCAGAATCAAAACTGTCTGCCCTAGATAGGGCTCCTAGCTCTCGAACTAGCTCCTCAGTAGTATTGGCTCCTCATCCACTTGACGTCTTCACAGGGATGAATTTGAGACCCAAAACCTTGCTCTGATGATACTTGACGCAGCAGAAATGTGAATAATAGAATTCAAACCTTGAATCCACAGGCACTTATTTTCCCTGTACTTGAATCCACAAGAATTAAAAAATGCACCATGAATCTAAAGCAAAAGGAAACTCCCAAAGAGAACAAAAATGTATTATTGATCCTCCCTAAATTACAGCGTTTCATCCTTTAAATAGGCCAAAATCGTGTCAAACTGTCTTTAAAACTCTGACCAGTTAACACAAACAAGATTAAAGCGAATAAAAAGTTTAAAAGTTAAAATCTTACAAGTCCAACACGTTTTCCACGCTGTTTTGGGCCTAACTGTTTGAATCTGGCGCCCATAGTCCTTTTGAGCCTCCAAAATTTTGTAGTCTACGCTTTTATGTTTTCAGGTCAACTGGCTATTTTTTTCCCGCCTTTCTCGCTTTTTTAAGTGGTGTCCTATGTCAGCAACTCATGATCATTATAGATGAATACAGAAAAATTCAACGAATAAATGATCATTTCAAATTATACCCAAGCTGCCTATATATATATATAAGCTTACCTAGCATGGACTGGCGTAAAGACATCAGATAAGGCCTCTCAACATACTCAAAGACGTGCGAAGTTCAAGTTTTAGTGCTGCTGAACACGAATTGTAAGAGTTGCAGGATGGAATTAGATGACAATATATGAAAAGATGCGTTAAGAAGAAACCGATCACAACACTTCCAGGAATGTTCTGTTAGAACCATACCTTGTAGATAATTATCTACGCAGTGTTCAACCAAGATGGTTCCATGCAATAATAGGTTCTTTCATGAATTCTGACAAATGAGTGGAGTTTAAAGTTGATGTGAAAAAAAAGAAAGAATCAACGTGCATAGTATCTAATATAACCTCACCTGCATGTCAACCATACAAAACTCTCTCTAAGTCATTCAAACAAATTCCGGTGATACTTGTTCCGCAATTAGGAATAGATAAGGATTCACTATTGTCTGAATGAAATAATTGAAAGCATCAAAGTGACGGAAAAGGCTTAATCCCTCTGGCTGTTGATGTATAAGATGCCATTTTAGCACTTGTTGGATACTACACTGCAATCAAGAACGCTAAAAAAGTCAAGGACAGTGGTGACCGAGAGTAAAAATAAAGAAATAGGGTTTGCTAATCAGAAATTTATTAATCCCTTCGACATGTGTATGGACCATTTTCGTCAGTGCAATAATGAAAACATAATCAGCTAAATTGGACATGTCAGAAAGGCTTTCGAATAATTTATAGGACATTACATTGTCTAGAAACTGTAGAAACAAAAAAATGAAGACACGAAGCGGTATAGATCATATAATTTTAAACGAATTGCAGGAATAAGGTAAATTTATGACCAAACATGAAGATTATATATGAATTAAGCATAAAAGGTTTAGGCATGATAACATGAAAATGTTGTCTTAACCCTCAAATAAGTCGCTTATCAACCTATTCAGACTTCAATTTGGAATACGGCAAAGTATACTAAATATGTGATAAATAAGGAATAGAAGCAAGAAGAAATTTTAATTTATATTAATCTATTTTACACAGGCTATTTTTTTTGGAGAATCGAGGTTAGGGGCCTTAAGCTGATCTTTCAGTAGCTCCATCAAACATGCATTTGCACAGGGTCCGCCAGTTGTTTTCTATGGAGAAAAAGAGAATCTTGGAACGAAAAATATTGGCCATCTTCTCCAGTGGACCAACGCCAAAATTCTTTCCAAACAAGTACATCCATAAAATATACAAGTGAAAAGGAGACACTAAGTGGGATCTGTGTAAGTGTGGTCTATTAATCCACAAATTTTACTTTCAGTGGAATGTATTTCGCATTCCAGTGGGTTTATTGATCAATAAGAGCTGCCCATTCCTTCCCTGGGACTGATCCGAGTTAGATTCGAAAAAAGAATCACTCCTTGCATTCCTTTCACGTATTGCACCCTTCTACTTGCTTACGAAAATCTCTTGAACAAAACTATACATCTTGGTAAGGAAGCCTTGCGTAGATGAGCGATCTTATTGCACTGAGAAAGCGCGTCTAATTTCCACGAGTTTGCATCCAAAATTCGGCACATCCACTAATGTCAGATAAGACTGGCTCCATGGAGAGCATGGTGATGGAGCCCATTGATGCGAAGCGTTACTCAAAACATCTAAAGTGCACCATCATACAAATTGTTGGCATCCTCTTCGTTAATGTGAAATCGATTTGAAGGATCCAAACCTAGGGCATTTAGAGTGACCATAAAAAGGATTCATTCCGAGCTATTTAGAACCTAGATGGAGGTTTTGAAGTCGGCAATAATGTGCTCATTCCAACTCAGCCAAATTCGGTTAACACTCTAACCCTCAAGGATACATCATATAGATTCCTGAAACCCTCAAATTACTAATCTCCGAACAATGACAATTTCAATGTTTGGATGCCCATTTTACCACCTACATCCCCTAGGGTGGAAATGAACAAAACAATGGAAGATTCTTCAGGAGATATTGGGCTGTGCGACAATTTGAAAACTTCCTTCAAAGGGGATATCATATGGTAAGGGAGACAGTGAATGCACCAACACTCCTGATAGTCATATAAACTAAGACGACTGATTTCCACTAAAAATGAGAAAACGGATAGTATTCCAAGGGAACTTCGCATTTTGGTAGATGCCCATAACATATACCATGAGGAAAATTTGGGCGAAATAAGCATTAATTAACCAGTTTGACAATCCCACAATTTATGTTGCATCGTAACTGACTTGCGTAATAATAAAAAAATAAAATGAGACAAAAACTAGGTTATTGCAATTTGGATTTATACCAGTTGAGACGTGTGTTGAGACACGTATAATCATAATACCATGTTTAAAGCAAGGATGCACTCATGGGATTTGCAAAATAATGTTTCCTGAACATTGCAGCTTCTGTCAATTTTCCTTCCGGACGAAAAAGACCTCCAAAAATTGAAGGGGGCCCACAACCAGTGGTCTGATGCATCTTCTTAATAATGATGTGATTATCAAGAATCATCAGATCCAACAGCTGTTTGCAGCTCTGCACACAATTGATTATAAATAAGAGAACAGAGAGAGAAAATAAACACTACTTTGAATTCAAAAGAGAAAGCTTGCAACACTTTTACCATCTTAACAGAAACAGAAATCTAAGAGAGAAAGATGAACGCACCTGAGGATTCAATACGATCATTCTATTGATGATGTCTTCCTGCCATCGTCAAAAGATTGAAAAAAGCAACCAATTAATAACTAGCCCAGTAATGTCTTAACTAAATGGCCTACAATGACGTGTACGGATGATAAATATGTACAGTGACCAGTATACATTAAAATTCGTTTGTCAAGATACCATGGTGTCTTAGATTCATTCTCTCGACTTAGATTTAGAAGCAATCTACAGTTAAGATCAATTTGCATTTCATGAAATAATTTCAATTAAAATCTCAACACCAAATTTATCCCCGTCAGCTCTCTAAAATGGGGCGGCCCATTACCTCAAATGCACAATTCTGGGAGTAGAAATTAGTGTTCTTCATTTGATTGGGTTCCAAGAGGACCTCCAATGATTATTAGAGAATGGTATCTATATAAAAAAGTTCATAAAACACTTCACTAGATTTTGGATGGTATGCTGATGAGAAAAACTTTGAGCCTAAATTCACATATATTGGAAACTAAAACATTCAATGAGTATTAAAGAGTCGTGCCTATCAAATGATATAAGGGATTTATAAGATTGTTTTATTTAATATTTGAATTTTTCATGAAGCCTATCTTAAGAGTGTTTGGGGGAAGAATATTTTAGTCCGCATTTGAAGGGCTTTCAAATACGTTTAGGGTGCTAGCAACCTAATTCTTACTGCACAATAGATGAACTCCATCTTGGTCACAATAAGATACATAACAACTGATAAGAGTATCAGAAAAATGGAAAAATCTGACAGTGTGTGATAGCTGGTGCTTGATTTCTAAATTCTACAGAACCTTCAGAAACAGAACATTACACTTTGTATAGTCTAGTAGCCCAAAGGACCAGAAAAAACAATGTAATTTGACTTTTACCACAATACAGGATCTTCTGCAACAATTTAACAAAATACCTGGGCGTCCTACATCGTTTATGTTAGGGACAAGTAAAGTTAGTATTTAATTAAACCAGCTGCGAACACTCAACAAATATTTTACTTGATTGTTGACCAGTCCTACATGAAAAAAAAGCAGGACAGTGACATACCTCTAGGATACCAGGGTTCTGCATTACAGTCCCAAGGATTCGGCGCACTAATCCTCTATAAACTGTGTCATTTGTGCTGCCATCACCATTTATCCATGGTAAAATCGCTTGACATCTACGAGTTTCAACTGGAGCAAGAAATTTTATCGTCTTTCCGAGGTCTCCCTTTGTTACAGAGGTACCTTTATTCAGACATACATCAGTTGTGATGTCTTCTTCAACACCTTTGTTGCATGTCTCTGGAGGTCCTTCCCTAGAATGAAAATGTGACACTCCATGTCCGTCACATGCGTTCACATCCCCAGAAGTACGATTATTTTCAGGATTTCTCAATAGTACGCGAGAGATATCATAACTAATCTGTTGAGAATTCTCCGGAACAGAATCCTGTCTGTTTTCTTCCAGTGTAACTACGAAGTACTTTGATTTGTAAGAAGAGTCGACCACACGAACATGATCATATGCATTTACCTGTGAGCATCACAATTATAGACATTAATAATATCTACCACGTAATAAAAAGGAACTAATGAACAAAAGGTGAATTTAGGGACTAAATCAGAAAAAAAATACCATTATGACAGTATAAGTGCTAATCAATTGATAGTGTTCGAAAAAAAGTGAATTTCTGAAAAGTTTTCAAGTACTTAGAAATATCAATGATATGTACCTTTACTATCAGTTGAAATTCTGCAAGTGTGTCCACAGCGATCTCAGCTAATTCATTCCCTGAAAAAGCAAGGACCAAGATCAATATAACCTCAGTATTTTCATTTTTCTTTTAACAGGAACTACATAAGAAAATAAGGAAAAATATGTAATCTACCAAGCATGAGAATGTTCTCAGACAGTTCCACCATACTCAATCCTTGGTCACCGGCATGATGAATGGCACTATAAACATTTTTCATCAATCTGGGAGAAATAAGCCCTTGCTCTCGTACAGAATCTGTTGAGGCCAATCTTGCTGCATAGGGGGTCATCGATTCCCAGAGTGAGTCATCTAGAGAAACATTCAACAAATTTGTGGTCCGACCAACTTTAGAAGAATCCGAAAAAGTTTTAGCATCCAAAGGTTCTTGTCTTCGTTCTACATGTGGCAATGGAGATGATTGGGAATTGTTTTCTGGATGAAATGACAAAATCTCTGCTGTTGAAAATACTTTACGTTTCAGGAGCATTTTTACACCAGGAAATCCTTTCTCTCGACGATTACAAGGTTCACTTTCTTTTCTCCACCATACCTTCTGCTTCATAGTTTTCTCATCACTGTTCACTTTAGCGTCAGAAGTTTCAGCTATTGAGTATTTTGGGTCATCAGCTTCACCAACACCTTCGTCCGGCATGCATGGTTCTATAGAGAGACTTCCAGACGAGAAAAGAGCTAATAGCTGGAAAACTTCACCACATTGCATATCCAAATTAAGATTAACACCATCTCCAATTAAGTTTTTATCCTCATTAATAAGCCAAGCTGAGAACTTAGTAGCTCTCTTTCCAGAGTCAAGAGGAAAAGGAGAAGAATATGCATTAATCAAGAACCTTTGGGAAAGAAAAAGCTGGTGATTTCCATGTCCATGTTCCTGCCATAATTTAACAAGATAGCTCAGTTAGCGCCACTTCTAAATTGATTTTAATGGCATTTTAATTAGCACAAACCCCTGTGAAGGGAACTACCTACTTTATCACATCCACCTGATGGCTAGTGTTTGGTAATATCATAATTTAAAAAATATAAATATGTATAGAAAAGAGGTTATCTCTTAACAATTTCAAGGGCTACTGCTATTTAGATATTTATGTTATGCTGTTTCAGTTTTCCATTTTAGTTAAGGCTTAGATAGGTGAGCCTATTGGAGTCTGCATATGATATCGAGAAATTTCAATAACTCAAGGAAATTTTGAGATGATTACAAATAGTAAATGACTTCATATCATTGTTTTTTCATATGCTACTTTGTCCTCAATCAGCATTCTACAAAAAAATATGTCAAGCTAGAAAAATAGGCTTGACACCACTGAAGAGGGCATGACATTGGAAACAGATTAATTAGGATGAATGACGGAAGCAAAAATTAAAAGCAGCATAGAAAGGAAAACAGGAAACCATACGAAATGAAAGCATAGAGTATGGGAGATAAATAAGTAGAGAGAAAGACATGTTTTTTACTTTCTCATTCACTTGTTGCACTTATTTTCAACTTGGATGCGTAAAAAGGCTGCCAGTATAAAAAAAACAGTTTTACAGTGATAAAACGATGTTACCACTGGTTCTCTTCATAGAATTTTAAAAAAATTAATCCATCACCATAGCCATATGATAGTTTCATTTGTCAGATGATTCAAGACTACTTAATTTAGTAAAAGAATCAACCGTTAGTTAACAACAACAAAGATCTGAACTGAAAAAATAACATCATAATCAATAAATCAAAGAAGACTCAGCAAATTAAACTTTAAATCAGGGTTTTTACCTGACAAGAAATTACTTTCAGGTTGAATGATGTGTTTTAAAAAGTTATACGACTATATACCATAGGAAATTCAAAATCTGGAGTCAAATATGGGTTGGAAAGCCATATTGGTCCAGGATCGACTTCTCATTAGTTGAGCTACAACAAAACCAGTTATATTCAGGAAAGAAGAAAAATCATCCTTTCAACCAGATCAGGAAGAACCAAACCCAAACTTCATTGGTACACGTGATTGATACGTTAACACAATGATTAGAGTTTCAGAAACTAACATGAAGAAAAACCAGATCAAATTAGCTTGAAGATATAGTTTAATAAATGAGAAAGAATAATCAGTCGTGAGCTTCGCTGATTTTGAAAACAAAATGGTTCAAGCCAAAAAGCAAAAAAGAATACGTCATACCATCAATTTCATTTCCTTAAGATAGTTGAACGCCATTGTCAGATCACGTTCGGAATACCACTTGAGAGTCTCTGCCAATAGCGATCTCACTTCAGGGGCTGTTGATGTGCTCAAAAATACCAGCTTGAATAGTTCCACAGCATTGGCTACTGACATGGATTCACACACGTGTCTGCAGATAAGGACAGATCCACCATTTGAATGACTGGGAAATTCATTATCACAACTTGTCATACTCCCAGCAGCTGATAATAAGATTAGGTCATTTTTTTCCGAAGGGGCCTGAAAGCATAAATTGTCCATTAGACAACACCAAAGTTCTTCAAGGAAATAGCTGAATTGGATGAAATCAATACAAAAGTTGTTTATGCAGAATTAACTCAGTGAACTCCACAAGTTGACGACTTACATGAACAGGTACATCTGCATTAGGTGTGGGAGTAGCAATTGCATTCGTTCGATATTTTGATTTAACTTTCTTGTTGTATTCTAAATTAGCCATACTTTTGAAACGAAGCACTTCATCCACAGCCATTTTCACCTCAGGATCATCAAAGTCATCCCAACTTTCCTTCCTTGAGTTGCCATGATTTAACATTTCAGAACCATCACGACATCTGACTTTCTCCTCTTTTGATTTCCTTAGAAACTTGGTATATCTTGAACCAACAATGTTACACAGTTTCATCACTTTTTTTCTGACTGTCTTGTTACTGTTTAACACATACATTCTTCTTTTGCAAGCATCTGGATCCGCTGGAAGGTCAGTGATTGAAGTCCAATCAACACGACAAAATTTTGCCCCAAGAGGTGCCCTATACTTGACATATTCAATTATCAACTTTCTGTGGGAAAAGGAGACAGAAACATGTTCAATAGAATCAGCAATCGAACGATGGCAGCAAAGAATATAACATCAGAATCTATCTGACATTCCGCTTCTGAAAAAAATGTGAGTTTCAAGGTGGCATAATATCTGTACCTGTCCAAGTGGTGGCTCCAAGAAAATTTTCTTTGACGCTTAAACTTTTTCCTGGAGAGAGAATGCTGCCTGAGGGAATCTAAATCTTTTCCACCAATGGTTGCTCTAGCATCCACAGAACCCTTCCTATTATCATCTTGCTCACAGAAATGAACGTTAATGTCATGCTTTGCAGAAGTGAGATCATAGCACATTTCATCCATGTCTTCCTCATCATCATCAGTGATCCTCGATGCTCTCAATAAACCTGTTTCTTCAGTTTTTCCATTGGCATGAACTAGATCCAGCGATGTGACCTTTGCAGGTCTCTTTCTTTTACGTACAACAGATCCTAAGTTCATTATTTCCTGATTCAGTTCCTGTTGTATGGCTTCTGAGCTTTTAGGAAACCTGCGACGACGAGTTTGTCTCATACCATAAGAAACGCGAAGAACCTGCAATAAACGGGTTAATGATGGAAAATCACAGAGGTAAGTATGAAATAAAATTAAGAAAAATGCAACAAAAGATGTTATTAGAATTCTAAACGTGTTTTCCGATCTGATCGCACGAAAAAAATAATCAGCCTGTCTGGAAAAAAATCCAGAAGGGAAAATTATCTTCAAAATGATAAGATAAAATTGCGTAATTATTACTAAAATCAAAACTAAACTTTTACCAGCAAGATAATAATTATCCACTATAAGTGAGAAAAACTGTAGCAAATATTTAATCATTCACAACTATCGTTAGAAAAATAAATTCGAAAAACGATTATCTTATGGACATATGAATAGACGAATGTCCTGACAAAAATTCAAACATGAGCATATGGACACTAGAAATAAATTCCCCACAAAAGAAAATGGTTCGATGTGAACCTGCTCTAAAGTAAGATCTAGCTCCTTAGAAATCTTTACACACTCTCCAAAAGGAACTTTTTTGTCTGGCGCATAAGTTCCCAACCGCTCAAGCAGCTCTGTGTTTTGCTCAGCAGTCATAACTCGAACTGAAGTCCAAGATCGAGCCAGAAAAATCTGAAAATCACGATTCAAAGTAACATTAGTTACTGCAGATAATAGCCACTAAGTATAATTAGAAAAAAGAGAGAAATGATCGACTTCTAACAGATACTGAGACAAGGACATTTCCTCAATGAAACCACTAAGGCACAAGGTTTTCATTAATCAAATTTAAATAATTATTGTCGCAAAAAGAAATCGAGGCATTGAATAGGTTAACATGGAATTGATGAGTGTAATTCAGAGTAAGAAATAAAAATATGCTACCTATAATTTCATCTCACGTTCTAATACTAAAAGGACAACAAATCTAGTTTAAGATGAAAAGGAAAAAAGGAACTCATCCATTTACACTATGATTTCTTTTTTGAGAAGAAATTATAACCTCCAATACACATTGGACTAATCATCCAACAGAAAAAATATAACGTTTTTCTTCCCTCATAGAGAAATAATTCCAGCCCCAAAACGAAAAATTAGACTCTAGATAAGTTGGTTAAATATTCTACAAACTTCGCATACCTCTGCAAGGTCCAGCCATTTGTTTTCAGTCTATCAACATCAGAACTTATGTTTCTATTGAAAAATACAGATAGTTCTCAAAGATTAATCCTAAATTAATTATCTAATAATAAGGCATTTTGTTTCTGAAAGTTGAAAAATTAATTACTTGTTTTAAGGGTTACTAAAACTCGTCACACCTTCACTGACCGTTCCCAGACTACTCTAAGACGCTATCATTTTGCCTCTGCAAACAACCTTCATGTTTCTTTTCTCCTTATCCTCTTGTATTCGTTTTCCTCTTGGTCTGTGATTTGTGCCTTCCAATCACCTGTCCAGTGTACCATAACAGCACACATAAAGCTTGTGATTGCTGATTTGGTACCAATGAAAATCATTTTACTTACCACAATACCAGAGAGTAAAAAATAATTAGCAGAATGTGGAATGGAGAGCTACGCTTCTGAGAATTGTTTCGACTTTACATCAAGTGGCCAGTACTTGGTCATATAGTGCGTATGTTAAAGAAATGGTAACAATCTCTCATCCTGACAGCATTTGGAGATAATGAGGACAGAAATTCATCAATAACAAGCAAAATTCGGCCAGAAAACGAGCTGGTAAATCACCATTCTCTCATCCTGGGATTTATCATGCCAGAGTGGTAAATCACCACTCTATTATCTGATATTGTTCATCGAATGGATAACCTCCCGCATAAGGGATCTGATTTTACTTTTAGTCCCATAATTGTCTGATAACCTGAAGATAAATAAGATTGCTTTGCACTCAACCCCATGATCAGCATGAAGTCTTATGAAGGGATATGAAATGTGATGAGTAGTACTCTTTCTAGCAACAAATAAAATGCTACCTTGACCAGCTCATTGCACTCTAGATGTTCTTGGAAATTATGTTTCCAGATTATCCTCATCTGGCATGTGCATATTTAGTGTATTTCTAGCAGCCAGTGTGCTGTCAGGAACTCAGCCATCTCTTTTCTCTTAATTGTTTCTCACAAGACAAGGAAATATTAAATTGTAATAGAAGCAGAATCCACATTCATACGGACTACAAAAATGAATTATTCTTAATCAACGATATTGACGCAAGAAACACATTCGCAATTAGCAGTTGTCGGTGTTTCAAGCTCATTACCTTTCAGCAAAGATAATGAAATGATTCTTACTTCCCTTAATTCATTAGGGCCAGGCATTACCCCAATTAAGAAATGTAAGACACGTTTGGAAGTATGCCTTTCACAGATACTTCAAAGACTATTAGGTTTTTTATGTAGTCCTAGAGTCACTTGGACAGTGTTCCTCCCATTCAAAGAGAGCTCGTTTGGCATACTTGAGGAAAATGACGGAGACCTTCCTTTGAACGAAGGTTAGCCCTCTCTGTAGTTGTTTTAACCCAATGATCTTTCCTGACAGGGGCATCTCTTATTTCTGCCTGATCAGCTCTAAGTCAATCTCGATTCCTTGTTATTCAACAATGAATTTCAGGGAGTTTCTACGGGTGATTATGAGAACACGTGCCATCATATTTAATTGACCTGCTGGAATCATTTAAAGGCTTTATTCATGAGAGGTACTTGGTCCTGTCAACTCTAGGTTTTTACTTCCCGCTCCTCCAAGTAGCACTATACTTTTGTGTAAAATTTCATTCAGAACAGTTCCCGCCGCATGCTGGTGGGGCACTATCATTATTCAGAAGAAAGATGATCCTTTTGTTAAAAAGAAAACTTTTCGTGTATTTGAAACTATGTAAAACGTTCACTTATCCACCTTTCTTATGTATAACAAGATGGGTAGTCCATATTCCATAAAGCATAAGGCTTCATATTTTACCCAATGTAGCCTTCCAGTCAAATCTCTATGTTTGGGAAGGTTAAAATGTCCTTCGGGTTGAACATTACTCAGATGATGAACGAAAAACCAATTCATTCTCCACATTACATTATCCAACCACAAAGCTACAGGAATTTAAAACATGGCATCATTCACTTTTCAAACCCCGAGTTGTCTATATTTCAAGATTTCGTATATTCACATTAAATGGTTGAAATCCATTTGCACATATTTTAATTAATTTCTTAAAAGGTACTAGAACTTAACTGTCTCAGGGTAGTAGAACTTCTAACTAGATATTTATATTTATTTACTAAAGCGAAATCCACATTCTTGAATCAGTTGATAAGAATTTTGTTTCTTATGCAAGTAAGAGATACAGAGACGTCCCCAGCATTTTGATAGTGATTAGTGCTGCAGGCAGAACTTAGAATCGCACAACACAAGAGGTCGATAATGCTACCACAGCACCTTCCGTTGAATAACCCTTGGGATTTTTTTGTTGATCAGTTTAATTCGTATTCCAGGGACAGTCACGTAATCTTTACTTTTTTTTATCTATGTACGGGGGGAGAAAAAGATAAGTAGGGGCTGTTTTATATGCTTCATTTGGCATTAAAGCCATTTGCAATGACAAGTCATGAAATAATGAAATAAAAAACTATATATTTACAGTTAGAAGAAAGATCTAGAACCAATGAAGACAGAATATCACAACCAAGAAAACAAAAATTGAGCCAAACACAAATTTTGGGTGAAAGTATCCTTAAAAAATAGATAATACAAGTATACAAAACCAATACATTATATTCCGCCTGTAAACATGTCGGAAGCGTGGGGAGAGCAAACCTCTTTAACAGCTGACCCAGGGAATGCCTTTAATGAAGAATTTCGATCCGCTGAAACATGGCAATACTCCAGGGTTTGCCAATAAGAATCAACAGCCTCCCTATTTGTCAGTAGAAAATCATGCCTCAGTCTTGGAGGACAAGCAGGAGAAAGGACATCAGTAGATGGTGAGCTTCTTGGCACTTCAATAAATGGTTTAAGCTCCAGAGAATATGTTGAAAGACAATGGGGAACCATGTTTGTGCTAGCTACCATTCCTTCAGTTGCCAGCTGAATTAACTGCCCAGAAAGGTGACAAAATCGGAAAAATTAGTGTATTCCAGTATTTGTTCGATGATTCACAGTATCACTAACCGTGGAAAGAAACTCAATCATGATTGAAAAAAATACAGCTATTCCCTATTTTAGGTGCAACCATTATAATACGTCCTTGTTATGCAAGCAGATGTACACGGAAGAAGAGGAATGCTGGAGATTACGAAAGCTTCCCTATTCTTTTAAAATAATATGGGATTAAATTGTGGCTCCTCCAACTGAAAAGTGAAAAATATTTTTACGAATAAAAATGGGGTGGCACATGTTTTTGTTGTATGGTAGAATTTATAATAAAATAATGGTTCTTTCAGATCGTGAATTAAGTGCTATAGACTTTACCAGGACTCGCACCAAGATAAAAACGAGGATAAGCTGAATTACACAAAATGGAGCTTTAAGATAAATCGGTGACATTTCTCAAACACATGAGCAGCAATAAAAATTCTAAATTTATATTTCCAGAAGCCAGAAAGAAGTTTATGCGATATGATTACCTTCAATCGGTATAAGATATCTATCACACGGGATAACCGTCCAGTTGCATGAGTATCCATCAAACCCTTATATTCATGGACAGGAAGATCAGAAAGTCTCAACCCAAGCCTGCATTTCTGAACCATGTTATCAATACGCTTTTCAGACCCTACAACCTGTAAGAACAATTCAAATGGCATATTCTCCATTGCTGATACAAGTGAAAATGATTTGAGCATGCTACGAGGACTTGTACAGTCATATGCGTCTCCAACAGTCATCAAAGTGTCATCCCATTCAGGCAAACCACGAAGAAAGCTCCACAGGAAGCTATGCAAAAGCTTTGCACGAACCATGATTGCAGGAACATAACCATTGATGCGCATATTTTCTACCTTAATAGACTGAAGTTCAGTTGCTCCACGATTCATGTGCCTCTTCACATCTGTTAATTCAGTGACATCTACACTTTCATTCTTTGGGCGATCTAGTCCTTGTCCATGACTCTGCATATCAAAGTCTCTTAATCTTTGGTGAATTTGGCCCAGAAGTTCTGAGGAAAAAGTTTCTATTGACGGATGTAGAATGACCTCTGCTGCACGACTACGGTTACAATTTGTCAAAACGGGTACACTGATCTGAATACATTTGCAGTACCCTTCTTGCTGGAGCCTTTGCAATGATCGAGTCAATGTTTTCCTAGCCATTGTTGTCTGTTTGTCTTTTTCCAAACCATCAAGCCATTTATGCAGCTCAGCAGTAAGCAAGAATTTCTCATTCTGCATGAAAATGAAGCAAACACTTAATGGTACAGGCAAAGACTGGATAATACCAAAAAATAAGACAAAAAATTGGTAAATTATCCATGCAAACATCCATAAAACAAACAGGAGGCATTTATCTTTCTCAGGAGGAATAAACAGCTTCAACACGTTTTCAACTTCATTTTTCTTTTACAGATATTGCCCCTGATCATACATGATTCGATTGATCACACACCTATCTCTATTTAATTTTTTTAAATTGCTAGATATTCCACGTTTTGTGTGCAAATTAAAAGCGTAACCAATCATAAATGAACTACTCGTTCATGATCCTGTCAAAACGGCATAGCTCAAAATAAACCCTATCCACAGATTTAGAGGGAAAATGATAGAAAAACGCTCAAACTAGAGTAAGTCCTCTGTTATCACTGAAATATAGATACATTCTCAATCGTGAAATCCTCTGCAGGCAACCATTGCAATCCTTCTGTCTTCGAACATAAACAGATTTCATCTAAATTATCACAGGTCCATCATCCTTCGCATGGCTTCATGCATTAAAAGAACGCTTACTCTTCCAGGCATACGATCGATGTTTTCAAGAAAACAGAATCCTAAAATATATTTATGATGAAATCAAAGCTCCATAGAGAATGAAACAGGAAGCACACTCCGCTGAAATGAGAAATATGTGCTACCAGAGCTGAAAATAGAACTAGTTTAACCAAGACGTTTCGAAACTCTACAGCAGTAGCAGTATCAATAACCAGAAAAATAAAAGCTGATGTTACAATCCCCTATTGGAATAAAAATATGATACATCAAATGAAAGAAAAATAAAAGAAAAACTACAAGAAAATAATCAGAATAATAGGACTAGTGACGGAACCAGAGATACCTTTAATCTTCTAAGAATCCTTTCCTCCCTTTGGGCACTGTCCATGGTCACAGCCGAAGGATACTTCTTAAATGAGGGAACCTTTGATGTTGGTCGTACAAGAAGGGAGCATTCTGATGGACTGTCAATCATTGGCATTGCCTTACCAGCTTCAACGTCTCTTGTGTCATAATCTACACCTTTGACAGCGACCACTTGACTCAGTGCATCTGCTTCTACAGTAATAACGCCTTTATCCTTTACAGCACAAATGGGTGAAACATTAATAAGTGCATATTCAACTTGTCCACGAGGCATATTCTCAGAAAGCAGATCTTTGGAGCTGAAATCTGACAGCATATTTTTGCCAGATGACTGGTCATCTGGAACTCTATCCATCTCGCAATGGCTAGAAATGTTAGTTATCATCAAATCGTTTTCACAGTTACTCGATGTTCCACCCAAGGAATTGCCCTCAAAGTTTCGAAGTGTCCAAACTCTATAAACCTTTGTTCTGTTATAATTTTCAAATCTCATATGCATTGGAAACCTCTTTGGCATCCTCCAGCACATATCACATATTCGCATTTCAGTCCTCTTGCTGCTGAGTCCAAGCCTTTTGCTAACCTGCTCATCATAGGAAGATGATATCCGTATTAGTCCATCGTCAATATACTTCTTTAGATATTAACGTCTTAGTCTAATTTAGAATCAATGGTTACACCAAGAATTTGACAATTAGTCAAAAGATAGCTATCACTATCACTCAATACAATGAAATTCTTCCATCCACTGAGCAAGTTCAAAGTTATGTGAAACCATGGCAACAACCTCTGCCAGTGTTTATCTTGTACTGTCACTGCGTATGTCTAAGATAATCCATCTCCACAATGAAGGAATGAGAAAAAAACTTCAATTAGAAAACAGAAAAAAAAATGCCATCAAAATTATCATACCTCAGATATAGTTAGTCCTTTGGGGCCCTCACCATCAATCATATCATAAATTCGGTGTTCAATAGGAAGCTCAACAAACTGATCAGTAATTTGACCCCTTCTACTGCATCTCTGAAGATGTTCAGAACGAAAACTTTCATAGCCACACGTAATACCCTTGGGCTGAAAATCCTTAGGATTAAACTTCTTCAACAAGCGTAAGCACTTGACAACCTGAAATTCAAAAGATCAACTACCAAAAAGAAGAAAGAGCTTCTGCTAGATTCACACTTCTCTAGTTTTAGAGGTTAAAATTTTAAGTTAGGAGTAGGAAGAGATCGAATATCTCAAAATAAAGTTATAAAAAGCTACAAATTCCAAAATGTGATCGTCATTCAGCAAAAACAACCCATGCAGTTGACGGATCATCAGAAAAGAAACAACTTAATTAAACCGTCCTTAAAAACTCAAACTCTAATTTAATTAAACCGTCAACCCAAGCAGTTGACGGGTGCACTTGAACCTCCTGTGGCACCACAGTCAAATAAATGATATGTTTCAGGAATGAAGAAGATGCATATTCTTCTGGCACATTATTAGGTACAAATTTAACTCAAGCTCGTTCATTAAAAATATTATTACTACTCTAGGTAAATAAAAAAGATACGACAAGTACAGTAGAATATTAGACATTTTTAAGATAGTCTCAAGGGTAATTTTCATAATGTATAGCGAGCTTATAAAAAATGTTTCCAGGGAGTAGATGAATCATTTAAAACTAACAGCATATATTCTTCAAAAAGTGAATAATGGTATGCCTAAATAACAACGCACTTCAAAATTTTGGCTAGTAAATGTTATAATTAGTTTATCCATGACAAATGTACTATTATGGCACTTCCCTGGATATAAATGTAATATTAGATTCAGGAAAAACATTAATACAAGTGTGATAGGAAAGCCAAAAGCAACTAATGTGAAGCCATACGACAAATTGAAAATATGAGACGCACCTCTGAGATAACCAAGAAGACAGAAATAATGCTAAGACGGCTAACTTTCATGGTCATCACTCTAGCAACTAACCACCAGGCAACAATTTTTTCTTCAAAAACTACTTTCACCACCAGAATTACCCAAGTGCACATGCCTCCACAATAAACCTAGTGTAAACAATGATTTCTTCTCTATCCCATGAATTACCCTCATCATATAACTATCCCACGATGGTATCATATAGATAAATAGCACCATCAGAACATGCTAATAACGATTCTCGTTTGGCTTAACAATGGGCAAGAGCTAGTATGGGAGGAAGAATTTTTTCACCTTGCTTGCTTCACTGGACTGTATCAAGACATAATTAGACAGAATGCCTAGACCAGGTCTACTCTGATTGGCCAAGAATTGCCCATGAATCAGGCAATGCTATGAAACATATTTCAATTATATCCATGTGTTCTAGTTTCAAGGAGGGCGTGGACTGGTTCTGAACTGAATCAAACAATCTATATATGGAATTCTTCACACCATGGTGAGCAGAGGCAACTAGAGATTTTGAAGTTTTCCTCTCTCCGCACAGCCTGACTTCTGGCATTGTAGCAGCGTCAGTGGCTATTTTGGAAACATTTCTCTCTTTACGAAGCCCTGAGAGAGCTCAAGGGTATTTGCATCATTTTCATGGGAAATCTTAGTGAACTTTCCACGAATATTCTTCTTTTCGCTAGGGACGAAAGTACAGCATCTAGAAACCTAATAATTACTCATTTTTATTCTTTCAAAAAAAATATGTAAGTTCCAATTGGTGTGATTTAGTGTTTTCCACTATCTTCTACTCGTTCTTATTTCCAGATATTTATACCTATTTATTTTTTTTAAAACAACACAAAAAGGTATTCAATTAATTGCTTGTGGTTTTCTCGACTTATCTATCTAGAGTGATCAATTTACAAACCAACAGACAACGTGGGGCTGTATTTCAATCTCCTACATGCGAAATATGAGGGAGAGGGGATTCTTCAGAGATTTCCCTTGGTTAATTCCTTAAAAAGGCTGACACCCAGAGCCTTAGGGTTTATTGTCCCTTGAATTCATCGTCATCAACTGGGCGCCAGTATAGCAGAACAGGATACAGTGCTCCAGGGTTTGAAGGGGTTTTCATAAGAGACAATAGTGTTTTGTTGATGCCCTGAATCAGCATTTCTGTTGAAACATGCTTTGTTTTCTCCACCACTGCTGCCAGACTGATGGGTGGCAAGTTCGTTCAGCCAACTCTCAAGAGAGAACGCTCTTACCAATCAGACTGATGAAAAATCAAAGCATAGTATCAATGATAGAATACGAAGTCTTGGTTTGACAAAATGCTAAAAGGTGGCAGCTGACCTTAATATATGGTTAGATGGAAAACCTGTGGTGCATACCATTCATATAATGAGATACACTTCTGACTTAGCCTCATAACAGGCTAGAGTCAGGAGCAGAAGGAGCTCCTACAACAAACTCCTACTTCTAGCTATACCATTTGCATGCTATACGCATGACAATATAGGATGGGCCACCATTTGGTTATCTTCGAAACCTTAGGGAAAATATTCTAACTATATGTTTGACGCTTTCAAATGAAGGTGGATATGATTGTGACATGGTCCCACTTACCCGCCCATCTGCTTAAGTTGTCCCTTGGACAATGCCACACATTCCAAGATCAGAATCTGTAGCTTCCCTCTTAAAGCATCATGTAGCCTACTCAAAACTAGCTGAAAATGAGTGGAGACAGGAAAGTTCCACAGCAACAATGAAAATCACCTGAACCAATCGGGTGTAGGCCCATTAATTAGAAGAGAAATAACGACAGATGAAGGAATTTATAAGGGATTCTAGGAAAGGAAAAAATCGAAAGAGATTCTGAGAAAACATAGTGACCATAGTGGAGATTTCATGATATACCCTTTTGTTTTTCAAAAGCAACAGAAATAAAAGTACAGGCAATAAAAGTGGCGAATAAAGAGAGATGGAATGGCTCCTAATTGTCTGGAAAAGAAATCCATAATAAAAGTTCAACTGTCCGAAATTGAACATTACCGGAATAGGTAGTCCAAAGTAGGTCGATAAAAAAACTCTTGAGAGGATGCCAGATTTTCTATTTTCAATTCAAGGCAGAAGTATCCAAAACTACATTAATGAGAAGAGAGAGTAAGGTTTGATGGTGCCAACTTAGCTAACAGGAAAAATCTCCTCAACATCAATACGGCATTATAGGGCTGATCCTCAGGGGTATGCTTTGCAGATGGGAGGCAATGTTATCTTTTTTGAAAGAAACGCACAGATAGAAAAGCAAGAGAGTGCCTTCAAAATTGATTTTGGTGATAACTTCATGAAAAACGAAATTCAAGCTGTAAAAGTCAATATTTTAAGGCATACCACAGAAAAAAAGCCCAATAAGCCTGAAAAAGACAGGTTTAACACATCACATGCCCTTCTCAAAGTGCTTCACATGTTACGCAAGGATATGCTGTGCGCCTGGTATAAATAGCATAGCACAAACTGTGGTTTGCAATTCACATGCATTCGTGTGAATGTGGCCCACACCATGCCTCAGGCAATCAGAGATGAATCACACATGCCAACTTAGCACACTGTTTGGCAAAAGCAGGCATAGATGCAATCAGTGAATTGTACTCAAATGCGTGCATAGAGCCAGGTCAGCCAAATTCATCAGGGATGCCAAAACCGATAAAAAATAATAAAGTATTAAAAAAGTACAAATCATGAGAATTCATAAATGAGACAAAAATCAAATACAACAGTCAAAGAAGGTAATAGAATAAAACCTTCTCATGTCCCATATGTGTTTATCAAAACCGTTGAAGGTTTCACTCAAGATCATCAAAGTTAATGGAAAACTGAGGCCGTACCAGATAGATCCATTTAAAACTATTGTATTCTAGAACTAAATAGATTACCAAGAGGATAACAAGAACACATTAGAAGAGACATGACCAACTAGGACAAAAACATTGTCACAAAAGAAACAGATTTATCTGAAGATACACATAAATTGCGATACAAACTTTGTGAAGAAGCCATTTTAAGTTCATAGCATGAAAATCTACCTTGCCATTAACTTTTCCCTGAAACTCTTCAACAAGGGAAGCATCTTTCATTCGGTTACATATCTGTCATTGCAACAATAACAAAAAAAAAAGGCCTTAGTTCAAGAGCAAATGGGGAAAATATTTTATTTTAAGTAGTGACTGACATTTCTCCAAGTTCTATGACCGGTTGTCATCCTGTATCCTCGAGCCAACTTGATATCGGATACAACAAGGACCTTTAAGAAATAAAATCATTAAGACTGAATCAGAGAAACGAAATTGATAACTATCACATCAAACACCAATGTTGAAAATGCCAGTGACCTTTCCAGCCGATTCCTCAAGCATATTGCAGATGGCACTCATTTCTGGCAGGTAATCCTTCACATTCACATCCTCCTTTAAGGGTTCCCCATCAGTCCCTTCTAAATTACCTTTGCAGGGGTCTCCAGAAATATGTGGCACATGTGGTGCTGTAATCTCAACTCGTTGCAGGGAACTCAGCCGCTTAGCATAGCGATAAAGATAAATCAAATTGGTATTCACAATGGCAGTGTCCTTCATCTCATCGTCCCTCTTTGCAGATGCTTCCTTCGTCCTCAAGAGTGTTGATTGCCGCACAATTAATCCCTGGGATTCAAGCCTTTTCAAATAGTAGAAGAGCTTGTTCTCCTTCATCTTGAACTCTTTGCTAAGCTGACTTTGGGCTATTCCATTGCTCCTGCAAAAACATGAAGGGACTGGTGAGATAAACTCCGCGAGGTGTGAAATGCGGTGCTGTGTTGAACGTATTCCACATTCCCAATTTTCGTAAGACTAATGGAACAAAATAAATGATAGACCTGGCAACAGCGAGCCGCTCGAGAACCTGCTTGAGCACGGGTGTGATCTCAACATTGGCGGCTTTCAGATCGTAAATCCCAAGGAAGCTATCCCTAAGATGCTCGTCTGCTACTACTCTCAGCCCCAACTTCTCCGACTGATCTGGGGACTTGATGGCCGAGTCTCTCGAGGTAAACATCGCAGATGATGATTTAAACAGAAGATCTGGAAGGGCCAGGAGACGTCTCCAGATCACCTCCTTGACGGCATCATCCATCAGGAGACCGAACGACTCGACAGAACTCTGCAGGTTCCACCAAAGCTTCGGCAGAGGGATCCCGGCGGGACCCTCCGCGCAAATCTCCTCGAGGGCGGTAGAGATGAAGGAATCCATCGAACCCGCCGCAAAGAACGCCAGCTCCGGAACGCGGAACTAGGGCTTCCCTCTTGGAATCCCAAACCATGAGGGAGTTTCAACAACCCGCAGGGGCCGCGCCTGGCCTGGCCCCAAAAACCCCAATCCCGGCCGGAAGACGCCCGAAACCGGGAAAGCAGCAGCTGCCGACGCCGTTCCCGCAAGCAGAGACGTCAGCGTCAGGGTGGACCGGCGGCGAGGAAAGGGAGGGAGAAGGAGCGACTTCCCCCACGCGGGGTTCCAACTCAAACTGGAAGGGCCACGAACTTCGAATTCTATCTAAACGAGCGTCGACGCGCCACTCCCGGCCCAATGCGCACCCGAAAAACTACAAGGTGAATTAGGGGGAGGAATTTTATGAATTTTTCAGGTATAAAAAATATTTTTCCAAGATAAAGAGGTTAAGAAAATCTCACAGAAACAGATTTGATAAAAAAAAATTATAATGCTTTCGTTTCCAATATTTTTAGTTCGAAATAATCATGGTTTTTTTCATCAGAAGGTTTTCATAATAAAAATGCCCAGGATTGAAGGTAGTAAACATGTATTGATGCTCAAAAAGCATGACATTAAAATATATCTTTTTACTTTTTTTCAAATATAAATTTGAACAAAAATAGAGGATAAAACTGTAAATAAAAGTTCTTTACATAGTGCCCAACTCTTAAGTTAATTCATATGAAAACCAGAGTGGTGCTTTAACAAACTTGACTCTTGACTATGTTGATCTAAAGTTAGGACAGAATATGTAGCAGCAGAAGGAGAGTGAATTAATTTTCTATTATATTTTTAGTATTTTTTATATGTTTTCTGACTTTCTCTTTCAGTTTTGAATGTAGTGGGTTGATATAATCAATTATGGGTCAGCATAGGCTGTTTAGGTAGATACAAAAAGTTTTGGGTCTACACATTAAATGATTTTGGTAGGTCAAACATCATATTTCGATGTATAAAATACCAAGATGTGTATGTGGTTCATCCTTTCTCTAACCTACATCCACTTTTTAAGGATTCCTACCCTTAGTTTCTGCTATTTTGTTTGAAAAACTTACACTTAAAATTCACATGTTTAAAAAATCCCTCACATTAATGTGGTATATAACTCTATCACTTTTAAACAATGTGTAGCATTCAAATCTTAGTAGTTGGAATTAAAATCTTCAACATGTGTTTGGTCAAAGTTTGTTTGGGTCAACACGTGAGTTGACCAACTAAATAGACTACCATCATGTTGCCAATTTAGAATTTAAATCTTTGAAATTTGTTGGGTCAAATATTTTTTTGGGTCAACACATTGATTGATCCACTAAATAGACCATGCCATCACATTGCCAATTTGACCAGCCTTTTGACCAAGTCATTATTTAGGTCTGTCAAGAAAAGATTTCTGGCTCTTCTTTAATTTTTTGAGCTGTTATGATACATTGCCTTTGCCAAAGATCTTTTGCACATGATAGACAAGTTAGATTTCCTTGAAAAAGTGTTTTTTACCTCTTTCCTTGGATTTTGTTTAGCTTTTTGGTTTGACGCAATTTTATAGGAGAGTCAAGGTTGATATCTTTGTATATGACTTAATGCTATACGATTGTAAAGTATACCCAGCTTGTATATTAGTACATTATAATTTTTTTGCAAAGTAATGGAATGGCTGTTTCCAAGGTTTTAATCTTTGCCTACCAACTATGTTGGCTGGATGAGTTATTGAATAGTCATCCTGCGCCATGCAGTATATTTTGCCCTAGTTCCATGCAAGTTGTGTTACATGCCACTGCAACTATCATTTTTTCAAATTCATGTTTAAACTCTGCAATGTCCATGTACTCGGATGAAATCAGTAAATGAATTTGAGCATCACATCCAACACTACAACGACAAAGATTTAGGATATCTTCTTTTGTGGACGAAGAATAAATTTAACTTCAATACCTAGTAGGCTTGAATTTAACGGGATGCGTTTGCTAATGCAATGTCGAGTTAAATAGAACCAGTGATGAGAATATATTAAGGCCAAAGGAACAAATGAAGAGAAAAAAGAGACCAATCGTATACTACTCTCTGCTTTGGGAGAGTAGTTTACTGTGATCAGTGTCTTGTCCTTCACTCCAGTTTACTTAATTGTAGACCTTGAGCTTCGGCGGACGGCATCACCGTCTCTGTCAACTGAAGTCGCGTAGCGCCAACTGATAGCTAATAGAGCAGATAGAGCGCGGAGCCCCGTTTGAGTCTAAGCGAGCAGAGCCTCTCTCTCTCTCTCTCCCCCTCGTTCTCCCTCCCGGCCTGCTGGAGCTGATTGCTCCCGCCAAATGGACTTAAAGTGTCTGGTTCTCTCTTCGAATTTCTTTCATCTCAGAATCACATTCAATAAAATATTACATCTTCTTAGAAGAGGCTTTAACATTTTGACAGGTAAGCTGGGAAGGGTGATCGTTTGAACCTCAGAGGCAAGCCATGGGAGCCTAGACGAGAAGCAAGGAACAAATTAGTTTCCCATACACAATCATCAACTTCTTTCAATGGAAGCTTGAAAGGCGTAAAGTTACTGTTTAGCTACTTGTTATTTGATTTTTTGGTAGGTTTCAGTCGAGTAATTTGATTGCTGATGGCTGTTAGAGATCAAATATCCAAACCCATCCTACCCTTCCTTATTCTCCTCTCATCATCCCCTACCTCTGAGCAATTATCTATCTTACAAGAACACTCGCGTGACAAGTTGGCTAACCTACTTCTGAAACTATCACAACTGTATCGAAACTATCAGTCTCAGGAGGGAAGCTAACCGGCCGAGCTCTGGGCTCGTTCATTACCCAATGACTGCATGTTCCCCAATGTATTAAAAACTAAGTGCAGATCGATCCCTCAGAAACGTCATTTTGTGTGTTGTCATAGCATATGAAGTCAAGAAAGCTGGAAGAGGAAATCTGCTATGTTTTGGCCTTCCCGAACGGAAAGCGTGAGCATTCAATCTCAGTCGACGGGGAACGCCACAACCAGCGACTTTAGAACGTTCTCTTTCTACTCTCCTCTAGTCAAAAAGTGATTTCTGTAGACATTACACGAGATCAAGATTCGTCGCCAGAGGAACGGCGCCAGAATACTAATCGCCTTCGAATTATCTTCGTCCTCTGTTCGTGTCTGCCGTAAAGAACACGACCGAATGAGCCCTTTAATGCGGGGCATCTCTCACAAGTTGCTGCAAAAACCATGAGCTATTGATCCAACGCGTATTAGTATTCTCCCGATCAAAGAGGACGCCCTTTCTCCACTAGTATACGCTAAATTGTTTAAAAAACTATAGCTAAAATCTCCCGATCAAAGAGGATATTAGAAAGATTTTGTATGTCACATTAAGGATCCAAACTCTGAACATGTTCAAGCTGTTTACTCCCTAAATACAATGACCCAATAAATTACGTGAAAGGGTGAGAAGAATCCATTCAAATTTACATATGAGGCGATTAAATGCCGCCCATTAAGAGTTTGAAAATGAGATGAGCTTGGTTGGACTACTTAGACGTGAGGACTTGTCCATCGACTTTCCATGCAGGAAATTCCAGGCAAGTCGTCGTTCGTCTTTCCTCGACTCTGCCATCAATTATAACTAAATATGGCATTATTATGATTTTCATGTACCTATGAAATTATATGCCACTTGGATCTTCAAACTCTCCTTATAAATAGGCATGAACATCCTCACTCCATTCCCTACCAAGAACTTCACATCTCCCACTTCTTTCTAGACAATGGATGCGAGCAAGGTTTCTCTCCTGGCGGCCACGTTCATTCTCGCCGACCTCCTGCCCGTCGCACTAGCCGCTACTGGAACTGCGACCTTCTACAATCCGCCCTACGTCCGTAAGTTGTTTCCTTGGCCTAATTCTTCCATTAGAACACGTTCACTTGCGCCGAGCGGCTATCACGACCTTCTTCAGCCTTGAACCTCGTTACTCTACGATTAGGGCATGCTGTACTATGTGTGCGCTTCACAGGAAAAGAGATTCATGGCATGCTCTTGTTGTGAATCTTCCTTTGCAGCTTCCGCCTGCTACGGGAACCAGAACAAGGGAGTGATGATCGCCGCAGCCAGCGACGCCATCTGGGGCAACCGCGCAGCCTGTGGAAGGAAATACCGCGTGACCTGCACGGGGCGGACGAACGGGGGCCCGTGGCCGTGCAACGGCCAAAGCGTCGTGGTAACGATCGTCGATTACTGCCCGCCGGGATGCCAGGGCACCATTGATCTGTCCCGGAAAGCCTTCTCTACAATCGCCAACCTTGATGCGGGGAAGATCCAGATCCGGTACAACCGGTAAGTCCATGCAGAATGAGGATCATGCGTGACGATGAAGGCGATAGATTTTTCAGCACTCAGTTACAACTTTGTTAATGCTTTTCAGCGTTTAAACGAATTCCATGAGATCTTCACTCGTCGGCGCTGCGTCTACGAAGATAGCTAGAACATGAAGCCAATCATGATCAATGGAGGCTCAATAAAATACGCTGCTGCTATTGTTATCAACGATTTATAAGCATGCAACGTTGTCAGTGTTATATTGAATAAAGTAATTCCATCGTATCCAGGCGTTCGAATTCGCTCTCCATTTTCCACTTGGCTTCCCCCCCTCCCTTCATCTCTCTCTCTCTCTCTCATAGGGTTCCTATAAGAGGTGTCAGCATGGACACGGAAATAAGCCACCATATAACTAAGTACGAAATGTCAAAGTGAGCTGTACTAAAGCCCATTCTGCTCGGAAGGTCATACTATTTGTTTGATGTGTAGGTTAGCATTGAACGTCATGTAATGTGGAATTATTCATTGTTGAAGAGAAAAAAAATAAAGAATAATTTTTACTATTGGAAATAGAGAAAAACCTTGTCATGAAGGATAGAGGAGAGAACGATGAAAACCACCTCTATATTTATTCACCTCTAACCCTCATTATGTACTGAGGTATCTTACACAATTTTGTAAAACATTGATAATTTTCATTATCATGAGTTAATAATTAATTAATAATATATTTTTAACATTAACTCATGATAAATAGACTTATATTTATGTTAAACGTGAAAAAAGTAGTTTTTAATTGGTTAATGTGAATTTTTGACTAATTATGTAATTTTATGAGAATTTATATAATTTTTAGAATTCTATTTTTGAGACAAATGAAAGAAAATAAGATAAAATAAAAAATATAAAAAAAGAAGACTTGTTGGCCAACCGGCTTGCAAGTGGGTTAGAAGCGCAATCAAGTGGACCCGTGAGCAGTGGGCTCAAGCAGCTATGGACAGATCAGTAGGGGGGACACGTGTGCATTGCTCCCCTTTCACATCACTAGTGGCCAGCCGAGTGTGGGGCAAGGAACGGTCGTACACACACGAGAGATAGGCTTATTGATTGTTAATCTTATGTTATTCATGTTATTATATATACGTCTCAAAACTCATAAAATAATTGATGTGGGACTAAACTAGTTCTCAAAGATTTTCGATGGTTTTAATAACTAATATACCCCTTATTTATAACAACGAGATACTTAGATGACGTCACTATATAAGTGTATTTGAGTACTTATTTCACTCTCTCTCATGTGGACAGTAATCAACGAGTGTTCGAATCCTACTAGAGTTAAAACTCATATTTTTATCTAATTAAATCGTAATTTTCTTGCATATTGCCAACAAACAATTAAGCCATTAGAATCGCTTAATCAATAAAAATATCGTCAATACGATTCACGGAACATCGTTACTAAAATTATTAAATGATTTTAGATAAAAAGATCGTGAATCCATCAAGTAAATCATCTCCAATTGATTGACGAATAAGTCATTGTTAGGAAGAAAATGATCCATTAAGAGATGAGTTACCACCTCTTGAGAGCGTACTAGATGCGATGAAGAGCCTCCTCTTGCTACACAGACTTGAAGATGAAACTCTCTAAGACATGCCCCACCTCCATCTAGTTCATTTTCATCCAGTGACAGTCGTCAAAGAGTTGTAAAGTCGTCATTTTTCCGCTCCACCGGGTGACAGTCGTTGGAGACGGCTTGATGACCCATTTCATTGATTTCTAGACTTCGCAAGAAGATCTAGAGATTGTCCACATCGTCCTTATCGAAAGAGAGTCTTTGAGGTCATAAACATTGCACGACAATCTTCTTGAATGTTCAGGATTCCAATGTATTACTACCACAACGTCAGAACTATGTTTTATCATTTTTAACTAATTTAACTTTCACTATCATTTTCTAGACTTCAAAAAGGAGATCTAATAAATATCTAGGTCATCCATGTCCAAACAGAGCCCTTGAGGCCATGAGCATCGCACGATAACCATTCTGAACACACAAAATTTTGACGATCGCTATTGTGAGGTCGGAACTCTATCTTTCCTATTTTAAACTTAATTTTTGCTTAATTTAGTAATACTTTGTGTGATTTTAAGTTTTGAAACTCTTCTTCATTTAATTACGATTCTTCTAGCTTTTAAAGAACTTATTTGACCCATTAAATCATCTATAATCGCTTACATAAGAATCGTCAGGTAGAACTCTATGTCCACCTGAATCTTGTTCCTCAAGGCGTTGACATCATCTTAATCTCCACACCCTTATTTTCCTTTTTCGTGAACTTTTAAATATATTTTATATTCATTATTTAGTCTAAAAATTATATAAATTTTATTATTTTAAAATAATTTTGAAATATTATTCAATATTATCTTACATCCCTATGATCAACTTGAAAATTTATCACTATTTTTAGAATTTTTTATTCAATTATAATTGATTTATTTATTTTGAAATATTTTTAAAAATCTAAAAAATATTATTTTTTAGTTTTATAAATGTTAAATTTACATGATTTATTATACAATGACTAAGTCACGTCAAACGCCCTTAGTCTTTTACATAATTTTCTTATGACCTAAAATTTGCAACTCTCCGTCAAGACAAACGTTAGAAAAGTTCATCTTGACTAAGTTGGTGATAATGAAAATCTTATTGTGGTAGCAACTCTTCCTTTGATGGTAGTCAAAGATGATCACTACTAAGGTTGTGAATTCGCCGACACCTTTGGCTCCTTTGATGCATGTCATGTCCCAATGATTGCTCACCTTAAATATGATAGCACCAAACACATGTGACTTGATCATGATGCTTGCTATGTCTCAGGGCTCTAGAAGTTCCCTTGAAGTCATGAGGTAGTTGACGAGGTGGCACCAAGAAAACGGAGAGTATCCCACTACTCAGAGATCTACATAGTGCCAAGATCTGATCCAAAGGCTCTCAGCTATGATGATTGATGTGATGATGGGACTTAGCTCTCAAGAGAGGTGCAGGGGCAGCAATCCTCCCATGGATCGATTGAGATTGAGATGAATGAACTCATGGACAAATTGGATGGTGTAGGCCATTCCAATTAAGGTAGAGGCGAGTAGACTACACCAGGCAACATGAACTAGAAAACTTTGGTTGTCGAACTACAGAAGACATAAGACTAATGTAGAAATAGAGAAAAACGGACTGAGGAGGATGAAGTACAATATTAGACTAAGACAAGAGGCTGATTTTACAACTCTCAAGAATGTTGATGAAGATGGAAACAACAATAATGGACCTAGATATTTCAACGTCTAGATAAAAAGCTTCACGTAGACATAAAATGATGCCAATGAACTTGATGATGTTGTTGACAAACTTGCTATTGATAAACTCAGATATATTGTCAAATGATAGATGAAGATCACAATTGAAGAAATGAGACAAAGCAAGATCAATACTCTCTCATTGTAGAATTATCTCACTGATAGAGGACCTCACTAGAAGAGGACATCATAATAGACTCGTCCTTAACTAGAGGACCGATGAAAGTAGAATCACTCTGATTGGTGGAAAGAAAACCTACCCAAAATGGCAAGATATCATGCCTATAAATGGTGGAAAGATAACATGCCTCTAATGGCAATTATAGAATGCCTTGTTAGAAAGGTACTCGATAGAGGCAAAATGATTCACTAGAAAGGTACTTAGAGGTGGAATGCCTCGCCGAAAAGAATTTTGGCAGAGATTGAAGGCCTTGTCGAAAAGGTACTCAACAAAGGTGGAAGGCCTCATTGGACAAAGAGGGGTTTGAAACCTTAACCTGTAACCTATATGTCTCTAGATGCAAATTATGTTGGCATCAACGCTCCCCTAGACAAGAAACATTAAGTAGAACCTACACTAAATAGAGGCGATAACAAAAGATAGGAGACGTCAAATACTACCAAACTCTGATGGTGCAGCGGTGCTCCCCCAAATAATAGATGTCGGACATAGCTGATGAAATCCTAAGGGAATAAAACCACTCTAATATGATATCAGAAATGGAGAAAAACCCTCGTCATGAAGGACAAAGGGGAGAATGGTAAAAATCACCTCAAGATTCATTCACCTCTAACCCTCATCATATAGGGAGGAACCATACACAATTTTGCAAAACACCCTCAATCTTTTACATAATTTTCTTATGACTTAAAATTTTCAAGATTTACAAATAGAACAAATATTGAGAGAAAAACTAAAGGGATTTTTGAGAGTGGGACCTATAAAAGATACATATAGACTATGAAGTAAGCTTGAGGAGTTGAACCATTATAAATTTTCCATCTCTCCTATTAGTCACTTAAATCATTCATGAGAAGTTGACCTTTCTTGAAACTACTTATATCATAAAAAGAGTACTTGATAAGTCTTCATTATCATGAGCTAATAATTAATAAATAATATAATTTTAGCCTTAACTCATGATAAATAGACTTATATTTATGTTAAATTATGAAAAATAGTTTTCAATTGATTAATGTGATTTTTGGTTAATTATATAATTTTATGAAAAATTATATAATTTTTATAACCCTATTTTTGAGATAAATGAATAAAAATAAAATAAAAAGATTGAAAAAGGGGGGAACCTATCGGCTAGCCGAGCCCACAAGCGGGTTGAAAGCACAGTCGAGGCAGAGTCGAGAGTAGAGGCTCAAGCAACTGTGGACTGATGGGGACATGTGTGCACCACTCTCCTTCCACGTCATTAGTGGTCAAGTAGTTGTGAGGCAAAGAGTGGTAGTACATATGAGAAAGGGACTCATTACTTCTAAATCTGATATTACTATATATTCATTTAAAACTTTGATGTACAATCGATGTAGGATTAAACCCATGTCACACCTTCTCTGGGATGATTTTGTTTATTTTAATACCAAAAATACCACTTAGTTATAATAGAATTATACTATGATGAGATCACTTTATAAGGGTATTATAGTACTTATTTCAATCTCTCTCATGTAGGTGGGTGACCAGCACGAGTTTGAATTCCACTAGAGACAAAACTCGTATTTTTATCTGATTAAATTGTGACTTTTTTGTAGATTGCCGGTGAAGGATTAAGCTGTTAGAATTACTCAATCATCAGCAAAAATCTCGTCAACGTGATTCGTGAAGCATTGTTATCAAAATTGTAGAACGATTCGTGATAAAAAGATCGTGAATCTATCGAGTAAATTATTTTCAATTGATCGACGAACAAGTCGTCATCGGGAAGAGGACGATTTGTCAGTAGATGAGTTGCCACCTCTTGAGAGTGTACCGGATGTGATGAAGAGCCTCCTCTTACTGTGATGACTTGAGGATGAAGCTCCCTAACATATACGCCACCTCCATCTAGCTCATCTCCATCACGTGATAGTTATTGGAGAGTTGCAAAGTCGTCGTTTTTCCATTCTGTCGGGTAACAACTATCAGAGATGACTCGTTTCATTGATCTTTAGACTTTACAAGAAAATCTAGAGATTGCCCACGTCGTCTTTATCTAAGGAGAGCTTTTGAGGCCATGGACACAACAATCCTCTCAAATGCTCATAATTGTGGTGCATCGTCAACACATCACTACCATGACGCTGGATCTTTTTTTTTCTTACTTTCAACTTAATTTGCACTTCATTTAGAGATAATTTGTGTGATTTAAATTTTCTTAACTACTTTTTATTTAATTATAATTCTTCTAATTTTTATAGATCTTAATTTGACGAATTAAATCATCTGTAATCATTTATGTAAGATTCACCGAGTGAAACTTTGTTGTCACTAGATTTGTGTTCATCGAGCACTGATGTCATCTTGATATATGCACCCTTATTTCCCTTTTTTGTGAATTTTAAATATATTTTATTTTCATTTTTTAATCTAAAATTCATAAAAAGTCTTATTCTTTGAGAATATTTTTGAAAAATTACCTAATATTATATTACATCCTTGTGATAGATCTAAAAATTTTCTACTATTTTTAGAACTTTTATTGAATTATAACTGATATATTTATTCAGAAATACTTCTAAATATCCAAAAATTAGTATTTTGTAGTTTTATAAATTTTAATTTATGTGATTATTATACAACGACTAAGTCACATCAGTACCACTATATTCCTAACTTGATTCCTAAGTGGCCACATTCGACTCGATAATATCATATTTGATATAATTTGTTATCATGCAACCTTTTTTCTTGGGCTACACATGCTAACCCTAGTAAATATTGGTTGTCAAATCAGCTTGTCATAGTTGGATGCTCAAGGTCTCTATATCTAAAAATATCATAGAGGAATTCAAAAACTGACAATGAACGAATAGTCAAAGCACATGGCGTAGACTCGATTAATCCACATTGAAGTTTCTAGATAGAATTTGTACCCATTTGTGCTAATCCTATCTAGGTCCTTCATAAGAATGAGGGGGGCAACATAAATACCTTAGACAAGAGGAGTCATATGCTGGCTAGGCTGCTTATAGTAAAAGAGTACGATTGACGTAACCAAGAGAGCTTCATTAATACTAGTCACAAGATGGATACTCCAATTCAAGATAATCCATTCTCTTTACCAATGTTATTAAATTTTGTAGTCTGTATGAGCATTGTTGAAATGAGATCTTAGGATAGTTTTGATCAAGCTTCATGATAGGATGGTCAAGAAGAGGTCAGATGTTAATTACTTAGAGTCTTAATGTTGGATCCTTCAAATTGTAATTCATAGAGGCTTTTATGTGAATGATATTCACGAGTCTAACTTCACCAATGTCGTTCTTGAAATGCCTTTCTCAAGCAAAAGAATTAAGGATAGCTCCACCAAGTACGTGACAACCAATTAGATTTTTCATGGTTGCGCAGCTTTCAAGAATCGTGGCTAGAAAGAAGACAACGAGAAACTTAGAAAAGACTAGTGCATTTCATAGCATGTTTTCGTGGTGACTTCTTTTATGAGCTTTACTATGTTGACCCAATAGTTCAGTTAATTAATCCTTGTAAATGAGTGGGCCAAATCAATCTAGAATACTATTCGTGGTTGTCACATGAGCTACTCCAAAATAATATATGCATATAAATTTTCCTCTCAGGATATAATCATGAATTTGAACTCCTACATCATTAAAATATGTGTTTATCATAAATTTTATGTTGAATAATATGATTTCTCCCAGCCCAAGTAAGGACTACACTAGAGGAAAATGACAACATGGTGATGTGGTCTATAGGGACAAGCTCTTGGACAAGATGCAGGAGTCACCTATGTCCACTTTAACGGCTAGCTTTATAGTTTTGAGCCATGAGGACGTTATCATGCATAGAAGAATTTCCATGGTCCACAAATAAGACGTATTCTTCTAAGATTTCTATGTTTAGAAATCAACATTGAAGATTATAGTTTGATATCAGTGACATGTAGATGAAGTTCATCTAAAACAACTTCTTGCTTTTAATGGAAGAATTCTATCAAATCATTATTTTTAAAAACAAGGAAAAATTATTTTATACCAAGAAGAGCAAAAAGCTTTGTTTTTCCATTTTTTACTCATGAAGTTATGTAGGACATGACATAAAATTGGCACTGAATTCATGGAATATTTCTATATTATATTGTGAAAAGGCTTTAATAGTTAACGAAAAAGATTTGACAATTTCTTTTCAAATTGAACCACATTAATTCAAGCAAAGTGTTGCATTAATCACCCCAATTATAGTGAAAAGATAAAACCTAATCATGAATAAGAGATGTTGTGTTATCTATTAAGATTATTCAATTAAATGCTTATAAAAGATATAAGAAAATCCAAGGTACATGAAATATCTCAGTCCAAAGACATTAACTCTTTTAAAAAACTTTCCTTAATTCAGATTCAATCATAGGTTTTGACCCAATAACTTTTTTGCAAATCAATAGTAAAGCCATTATGAAACAAATAATCATGAAAATAATATTATTTATGAGAATTAAATACCCACCCTGGTCTATCGGCAAAGGCTCTATTAAGTATAACAAGTCTTCTATATTAGGCTTTCCTTCTATTTTTCTTTTTGTCCTCTTATTATATGTGCTTCCCTTTTTTGTGTTTCCATTATTAGACCTTTCCATAATATCGAAAAGGTTTATTAGATGCCAATATAAATATTGGCGTACTGCCTTGAGAAGGGCTAAGTGAGTTTTTCCTTTTTCCTACTTCTGTTGTATCTCATAACATGGTATCAGAGCTTTGTCTTTGATCCTACATGAAGATCGCCGATGGAAGATCAACCAACCTTGGTGGCGACGACGACTCTACACTATAGGTAGTGTCACCTAGTGATCTTCTTCCTATCTATGGTACCTAAAATCATGAGGTTTCTTGGTCGTAAGTAGACTAGTGGATTCCTTGGAGAGTCACTACATCATCGTTAGTTGATTGTGGCAGATGTCTACGAATACACCATCGCCATTTCTTGATGGTGGTGGACGTCTACAAATACATCATTGCCATTTCTTGATGGTGGCTATCATCCTCAATTTCTTGACCATAATTGTTATTCATACCACATCAAGGAATCTCTATTTGAGATTTTTTCGGCTATTTGGTCACAACTGCAAAACATGGAGACAAAGGTTAGTGAATCTTCCTCCTCTAGCCCAAGACATTCATTTGAAGTAATTAAGGTATGTTAATACCTGCTTAAAATTGTTAAGAGATTTTGATTTGATGGAATCAATTTGTTCCAATGGACATTGTATGTGGAACTTATTCTACATGGAAAGAATCTGGATCATTACTTAACACAATCCTCGCAAAGTATTTACAACCCAGGATATTTTTGGTAGAAAGAAGAAGAAGCACTGATTCAATATTGGATGCTGGACAATATTTCACTAAAGATGAGTGATAGATTCCTTTTTCTGAAATCTATGAAGGAATTATGAGACAAAGTTTGTTGTGTTCACTCTACTAAACATGATAAATCCCAAATTTATAGATTAGTATAGACATATCTAACTTTGGTATAGGGAACATTGACGATTCTAGAATATGCTTGTAAATTGGTGTCCATCTAGAGAGAAATTGACCATTATAGACCAATCAAGAACCGTGATATTCAAGAAAGAAATTATATCATGAAAGACAGGTTGTATAAGTTTCTGATGGGGCTAAATTTAGACTATGAGACTATAGTAAATCAAATCCTTGCTCGAGAAGTAGTACCAAATATTGAAGAGGCAATTACATTAGCTAGACAAAAAGAAAAAACTAGAAATTTGAGGAATGATTTAAAGACAAAAGATATGGTATTTAGAGCTCTCAAGAATAAAGATACCTTTGGATTTAAAAAAAGGGTGACAAACCACTATATTATGATAAATTGCATTTGGCTAATGCTCAAAATGAAGATGGTGTTGAGCCCATGATACAAGGAGGAGTTAGTCAAGACGGAACTACTTTCTCTCAACCTTTGTAGATTAGAAAACTTAGAGAAGAAATCAAATAGTTGATGAGCATAATCAGTTCCACTTCCCTCACACATGCTAGTAAGTATTTTCCTAAATGTTTTCCATTATACCTAAATACATCATCATTGGCATCACCTTCACCCCAAAAAGTGTCTTAGATCATTGATTTTGGACCTACTAATCATATGACACTATATACATCACTATTTATAACATATGAGGTATGTATCAATAATTGGAAGGTTATTACTGCAAGTAGAGATTTATTACCTATTGACAAAAGAGGAAAACCCTGGAGTTCATGTAATCTCAAAAGATAGAATACATAACTCTTATATAGGAGAGAGAAGAGATGAGAGAGAGATAAATAATGGGTCATAATGGGTTGAGAGTCCGATACTACTATCGAACACTCTCCCTTAAGTTGAAGCCTATAAGTTAACATGTCCAACTTGGTATACGTGGTGTCGTAAGAGATGCCGACAAGACTCTCCGTGAAGACATCTGTAAACTGATGAGATGATGTCACATGAAGAGTAAAGATAAGTCTAGACATAATCTTATCTTGAATGTAGTGACAATCTATCTCAATGTGTTTTGTATGCTCATGAAAAGTGAGATTGCCAGCAATGAAGATAGCGACTTGATTGTCACAATACATGAGTATTGGAGAGGGAGAAGTAATGCCGAGATTGTCGAGAAGTGATCAAAGCCATATCATTTTCTACGTTGTCCAACCATGACTTGATACTTAGATTCCACATTGAAGCAGGACATCACCCTCTATTTCTAGGACTGCCAGTTGACTAGGTTACCCCTGACGTATGTGCAATAACTTGTAGTAGACTTTTGGTAGCCTTTGTCATCTGTATACTTGGCGTTAGAGTAGGCTACAATGTAGAGATGATCGTGTCATCGATAGATGAGCCCTTTCCCTAACGATCACTTGATGTATGTGAAGACTCGTAGAGCTCCTTCCCAATGAATTCGTCGAGGCTCCTGCATGAGCTAGCTCAAGACACTAATCGTGTATACAACGTCAGGACAAGTGACGGTGAGATATATCAACTTGTCCAACAATCGCCAATATTGGTTAACATCCTCAAGTAAGGGAGATGAAGTATCCTAGAATTATGGGCGAGCTTCAATAGGCAAAGTCTTCGACTTGCACCTAAGAAGGCCTATCTCTTGAAGCATGTTGACAACATACTTCCATTGAGTGAGGATGAGCTTCCCGTCTTGATATGCAAACTTAATCCCAAGGAAATATCGTGGAGTCCTCAAGTCACGAATATTGAGGCATTGTTGCAAGTAAGTTTTGATAGTAGAGACGTCACCTCATCACTTCTAGTCACAAGAATATCATTAACATAGACTGTAAGGATGATAAGGCCGCCCTCTATTTTCTTCGTGAGCATGATTAGGTATGTAGTGCAGAAGGTGAAGCCAAAGGTGGTGAGCAAAACAACTAAACTTGACAAACCAAGTGTGTGGACTATATGCTTGAGCACATAAATGACACGCAGCAAGAGACACACCTTTGGTGACTCCCCATGAACAACATACTCAGGAGGTTGCTCCATGAAGACATGCTATGTGAGGTCATTGTAGAGAAAGACATTAGAAACATCTAATTGATGGAGATACCATACCTGATTGACGGCAAGAGAGAGGTGCACGCGGATAGAGTTGAGGTAGACGATAGGAGAGAACATCTTAGTGTAGTCGATCCTATATGCCTACATGAAGCCCTAAGCAATCAGACGAACTTTGTGATGAGCAATGGAGCCATCTGAGTAATAATTGATGGTAAATGCCCACTTGCATGTCACAATATTGGTATCAGTCGAGTGTGAAATCAAATCCCAAGTCTCCTGAGCGACCAATGCAGCTACCTCTAAATCTATGGCCACCTTCCACACAAGTTATTGTGCATCCTCAACATACGACTGTGGAAGTGACTAGGTGGCCATGAGAGGGCAAAGACACAAAAAGAGGAGATGAGATTGTGGTCATACGACTGTGAAATGTGGTCATAGGAAATAAATTGGGAGATGAGATGGTGGGTGCAAACGTGTGTACCTTTTGGAGGGTAATAGGGAGATGAAGGTCATCAAGTGGAGCAGTGACCAAAGGCATGGAAGGGATCGTAGGAGAGGAAGAGGAGGATACTGCATCTAGAGCAGAAGAAATCATGGGAGACAGGCCGAAGAGAGGCGGGTGCAAATAATGACTCCAAAAAGAGTTGATAGGAGGGAAGAGAAGAGGGAGGGTCTGCAAGAACCACCAAGGGAGGGAACCTAGGTGGAGGAGACATAGCGGCTCAAAGAGGAGTCAAAATAAGGAAGAAGAAATGAGACTCATGGAAAGTGACGTCGGTCGAGATCAGATAATGATAGATATTGGGGAAGTAGACTCGATAGCCCTTTTGCATGCGAGAGTAGTTGACAAAGACCTTTTTAATAGCATAAGGGATGAGTTTAGAAAGAGAAGGAAATGAATCCTAGACGAAGGCGGTGCACCTAAAGATCTGAGAAGGAAGAGAAAAAAGAGGAGAATTAGGGATTAAGCGATGGAGAGGAATGCTCTCCTAAGAGGAGCGAAGGGAAGTCGATTCTGGAGGTAAGGTAACACCATTCTATTGTGAAGTGTGAGGATAGGTGGTCTAGTGGAGGATGTCATGATCAGCGCAAAAGGTGCAAAAAGATGCTTGGACAAACTCAAGTGCATTATCAATACGAAGAATCTTTGGTGTAGTCGTGTATTGGGTGATAACTTTGGTGATGAAGTGGGTAACCACGGTGATGACCTCAAAGTGGTCGCGGAGGAGGTAGACCTAACTCACAAGAGTGTAATCATCAACAAAAATAATGTAATAGTGATGGTTTAAAATGGAAGAAGTACGAGATAAATTTCATACATTGCAATGGAGAAGGTTAAAGGAAGTAGAAGATGAGATGTGACGTGACTCAGTCGTTGTATATTAAATCACGCAAATCTAAAATTTATAAAACTAGAAAATACGAATTTCCGGATATTTAGAAGTATTTATAAATAAATATATCAATTATAATTCAATAAAAGTTCCAAAAATAGCGGTAATTTCCTAAGTCGATCACAGGGATGTAATATAATATTTTGTAATTATTCAGAGTTTTTCTCAATGAATACGATTTTCTATGAATTTTATACTAGGAAATGAAAAGGAAATATATTTAAAATTCACGAAAAAAAAAGAGGAAATAAGGGTGCAGACGACAGGATGACGTCAGCGCCCGGCGAACGCGAATCGGGCGGAAACAGAGTTCCGCCCGGCGATTCTTACGTAAGCGATTACAGACGATTTAATTAATCAAATTAAGATCTGTAAAAGCCGGAAGAATCGTAATTGAACGAAGTATAGTTTGGTAAATTAAAATCACACAAAGTATCACTAAATAAAGTGTAAATTAAATTGAAAGCAGGAAACCAGAGTTCCGGCGTCGCGACGGCGATGCGTCGGCGATGCACCGGAATCCTGAGCGTTCGAGAGGATCGTCGTGCAGTGTCCACGGCCTCGAAGGCTCTCCTTGGACAAAGACGACGTGGGCAATCTCTAGATCTTCTCACAAAGTCTAGAGATCAATGAAGTGGGTCGTCGAGTCGTCTCTGGCGGCTGTCACCCGGCGGAGCGGAAAAACAGCGACTTTGCGGCTCTCCGGCGGCTGTCACCCGACGGAGAGGAGCTGGATGGAGGTGGGGCGCGTGTCAGGGAGCTTCATCCTCAGGTCCGCGCAGCAAGGGGAGGCTCTTCATCGCATCTGGTACGCTCTCAAGAGGTGGCGACTCGTCTCCCGGCGGATCGTCCTCTTCCCGACGACGGCTTGTTCGTCGATCAATCGGAGATGATTTACTCGATGGATTGCGATCCTTTTATCGCGAATCGTTCAGCAATTTTAGTAGCAATGCTCTGCGAATCGCGTTGACGAGATTTTCGCCGATGATCCAGCGATTCCGGTTGCTTAATCCTTCACCGGCGATCTGCAGGAAAGTCGCGATAATCAGTTAAAAATATATGAATTTTGACTCTGGGAGGATTCGAACCCGCGGCGGTCGCCCGCCCCTGAGCAAGGTGTGACGCGGGTTTAGTCCCACATCAGTTGTGCGCGGATTATTCGGGCGAATATATAGTAAAGTTAGCTTTCTAGGCAAAGTCCTCTCGCGTGTACGACCACTCCTTGCCCCACAGCCGGCTGGCCACCGGTGACGTGGAAGGGGAGTGGCGCACACGTGCCCCTATCGATCCAAGCAAGCCGCTCGAGCCCCTGCTCGCGGCTACTCCCCGACTGCGCTTCCGACCCGCTTGCGGGCCCGGCTGGCCGGCGGGTCCCCCCATTTTGCAATATTTTTATTTTTATTTCTTGTTCTTCATTTATCTCAAAACTAAGACTGTAAAAATCGTATAAAATCACATAATTACCCAAAAATTCACGTTAATCAACTGAAAACCACTTTTCATGCTTTAACACAAATATAAGTCTATTTATCATGAGTTAAGGCTAAAACTATATTATTTACTAATTATTAACTCATGATAATGAAGACTTATCAGGATGCCATCACGACTAAGATAAGAAGCACGGTGATATTTGCCCAACTAACAATACTCACATATAAACTTAGAGAGAGAAAACCATGGTAATTTTTTTTATAATTTAGAGAAACAAGAATAGCTTAAACGGTGATGCCACAAAAGAGAAGAAGTGGCCATAGAAGCAACAAAGAGGGTCCGAAGGCCAGATGAGAGTTCATAAAAAATGAGTTCGTAGACACCCTACCCATTTTCACAACCCAAACCAATCCTCTGTCCGATATGCAGATCTTGAAAAGTACAATGAAAGGGAAATAATGTGACTATACAAAGGAGGATATGGGTAATAGCACTAATGAAAAGAAGGTTAGTAAGAAAACTAAGAACGAAGAGAACTTGAATAAGGTGAAGGGAGGGAGAAGCCGAGGTGGCACCATGACCTTTGACCAGATAGGTCCGACCATTGACAATGATGATAGGGAGATGGGTCAAGGTAGGGTGATAAGAGAAAATAATAGTGGGGATCTCGTTGCTTAAGCATCCATGTGATGACAGCCAACTCGAGTTGCGATCATGTCGTATATGAGGGGTCCTGAAGGCCGGGTGGGTCCTCCGAGAAGTGATGGAGGAGAGTATGAGATTTGAGGAAAAACTCAAAGCCAGATACCCATGACACATAATTACAGCCGTTGAAGATGTATGCTGGTTGAGTAAGTTGCGCCATGATGGAGTGGCGAACCAAAGGAACCACTGGAGAAGGGGGAACATCAGCTAGAAGAAGCTCAGAGGGCTTAGAGGTAGGAGACGGAGGGGGATGAAAGGACGCCATGAGGCTAGTGGGTCTGGGTTGGAGGGATAGGTGGTGGGGTGAGCAGGTTAGGGCCTGACAAGTCGTTTTGGAAGGGTAGGTAGAGCTAGCTGAGGCTAGTGATAAGTCTTCATTATCATGAGTTAATAATTAGTAAATAATATAGTTTTAGCCTTAACTCATGATAAATAGACTTATATTTGTGTTAAAGTGTGAAAAGTGGTTTTCAATTGATTAATGTGATTTTTTGGGTAATTATGTGATTTTATACGAATTTATATGATTTTTACAATTTTACTTTTGAGATAAATGAAGAAAAAGAAATAAAACTAAAATATTGCAAAATGGGGGGACCCGCCGGCCAGCTAGGCCCGCAAGTGGGTCGGAAGCTCAGTCAGGGAGTAGCTGCGAGCAGGGGCTCGAGCGGCTTGGACCGATAGGGGCTCGTGTGCACCACTCCCCTTCCACGTCACCGATGGCCAGCCAGCTGTGGGGCAAGGAGTGGTCGTACACGCGAGAGAAGGGACTTTGCTTAGAAAGCTAACATTACTATATATTTGCCCGAAAAATCGGTGCACAACCGATGTGGGACTAAACCCGCGTCACACCTTCCTCAGAAGAGGCAGGCGACCGGCGCGGGTTCAAGTCCTTCCAGAGTCAAAAGTCATATATTTTTATCTGATTATCGTGACTTTCCTGCAGATCACCGGTGAAGGATTAAGCAACGAGAATCGCTGGATCATCGGTGAAAATCTCGTCAATGCGATTTGCGAAGCATTGCTACTAAAATTGCTGAAGGATTCGCGATAAAAGGATCGCGAATCCATCGAGTAAATGATCTCCGATTGATCGACAAACAAGCTGTCGTCGGGAAGAGGACGATCCGCCGGGAGATGAGTCACCACCTCCTAAGAGCGTACCAGATGCGATGAAGAGCTTCCTCTTGCTGCGCGGACCTGAAGATGAAGCTCCCTGACACGCGCCCCACCTCCATCCAGCTCCTCTCCGTCGGGTGACAACTGCTGAAGAGCTGCAAAGTCGCCGTTTTTCCACTCCGCCGGGTGACAGCCGCCGGAGACAACTCGAGGACCCATTTCATTAATCTCTAGACTTTGCGAGAAGATCCAGAGATTGCCCACGTCGTCCTTGTCCAAGGAGAGCCTTCGAGGCCGTGGACACTGCACGACGATCCTCCCGAACACTCAGAATTCCGATGCATCGCCGACACATCGCCGTCGCGACGCTGGAACTCTATTTTCTTCCTTTTAACTTACTTTACGCTTTATTTAGTGATACTTTTTGTGATTTTAATTTACCAAAATATAGTTTGTTCTATTACAATTCTTCTGGCTTTTACAGATCTTAATTTGATTAATGAAATCGTCTGTAATCACTTACGTAAGAATTGCCGGGTGGAACTCTGTTTCTATCCGATTCGCGTTTGCTAGGCGCTAACATCATCCTGACGTCCGCACCATTATTTCCTTTTTTTGTGAATTTAAAATACATTTCCTTTTCATTTCTTAGTATAAAATTCATAGAAAATAGTATTCTTTGAAAAAAATTCTGAATAATTACCAGATATTATATTACATCCCTGTGATCGACTTGGAAAATTACCGCTATTTTTGGAACTTTTATGGAATTATAATTGATATATTTATTCAGGAATACTTCTAAATATCTAAAAATTCATATTTTCTAATTTTATAAATTTTAGATTTGCGTGATTTAATATACAACGACTAAGTCACGTCAGCCAGCTAGGGCCAACCAGGCCAAGCTAGGCCTATAGATCCACACGGGGCCGGCGGGTCTGGCTGGGCCAGTCTCAAGTGGGCCGGCCCAGAAGAAAACTACCGGCTGGCTCATCAAGAGATGGGTGAAACCCTAGCTGTCACAGCCAGACAGTGATGTCGCCCGTGACGGTGACGGCAAGGGCTGAGGCGCAATGATGATGGTGAGGGCTGGGGCATGATAGTGATAGTGAGGGCTGGGGCACGACGGCAACGGCGATGGCGACGGCTAGGGTGTGACGGCGAGGGCGAGGGCTGGGGCATGACAGCAAGGGAGCAATGACAAGGGCGTGAAGGCAAGGACACGACGACAAGGAGGGACCTTGACGGCAATGGTGACGCCCTCGGCATGTGAGAACAATGGCGCCCATAATGGCGCAACAATGAGGGCGTGGCAGCAAGGAGGGGCCTTGACGACGATGGCGATGGTGGAGATGTCGGAGAAGAGGAGGAGAGCAATGGCACTGGTGAGGGGTGATGGTGGCAAGGAGGGCGGTGCTGAAAGGAGAACAAGAGCGATAGTAGAGATGACGATGTTAGAAAGAGAAGGAGAGCGATGGTAGAGACGATGACACCGGAAGAGGAAAGTGTGGCGACACTAAAGAGCCGCCTGAGGAGGGAAGAGGACAGTGAGGAGGAGAGCGGCATGCTGGAGATGGGCGGCACACCAAAGAGGAGGAGGACAACGAGGGATATCTAGGGTTGTGATACCATGTTGACAAGAGAGAGAAAAACCTTGGAATCTATGTAGTCTCAAAAGATAGAATACATGACTCCTATATAGGAGAGAGGAGAGATGAGAGAGAGAGATAGATAATAAGCCCTAATGGGCTGAGATTTCAATACCACTATCAAACATTATCTATAGCTTGCATTAAATCAATTTGTCTTGATAAATTGGGGTTATTAAGATATGTTCTTCATGCTCCAAGATTGAATGCACATCTATTGTCATTGAGAAAATTGAGTAAAGATGTGAATTGTTTGATATTATTTGATGATGATTTGTGTTTTTTCAATGACAAGACCTTGGGCAGGAGGACTATGCATGTTAGAGCATGGGATTGACTCTAATAACAGGGCATATGGACAAGACATTGTTGATGAATTCTTATCCAAACATTTTCACTTTTGCTTCTACTCCTCTCTTGAAGAAATTGTTGTTATTGCATTGTTGTTTAAGACATCCATCCATAAAAGTACTTTGATACTTGTTTTCAAAACTATGTCATGCAATTGGTGAATTTACTTTCATATGTTAACCTTGTCAAATGCCATAGTGATAAATTTCATTTCCCCTCTGTTGGAAATACAAGTGAATCCCCTTTTTGCAAAATACATTCTGATATAGATGATTGTTAGGGACTTCAGATGGTTTATCATCTTTGTAGATGATTGTACTAGGTCCACATGGATTTACATAATGAAAATAAAATCAAAAGCCACTAGTATTATTCAAAAGTTTCATCAAGCTAATTCAAAATCAGTTCAGCATAACCCTTAGGAAATTCTAATCAAATAATGCTAAGAATTTCTTCAATTCTATTGTCTCCAATTTTTTTGTTGAGAAGGGCATTATTCATGAATCTTCTTGCCCTTATACACTCCAGCAAAATGGGGTAGTAAATGAAAGGTTGGATAATTGTTAGAAATAACAAGGGCTATCATGTTTAAAGCCCAAGTGCTGAAGTACTAATAGAGTGAGGTAGTACTAACAACTACTCATCTTGTTAATTGTCTCTCATTAGAAGTATTATTATTTAAGACCCTGAAAGCCTTATTGTAGGGTCATTATCCGACTGTGCAATATGAACTAGATTTACCTCTTTGAGTGTTTGGGAGTATTGTATACATCCACCAATCTCAAAATGATCTGTCTAAAGTTACTCCTAGAGCCATGAAGGCAGTCTTTGTGGACTACTCCAATACATAGAAAGAGTATAAATTTTGTGACCCAAGATTTGAAAAAATATTATAACAATTAATGTCACATTTGATGAAAGTAGCATATATTTCCAGCCGATAATAACTCAAATATCTAGTTGTGATATTCTTATGCTAGAAAAATATGATTTACAATTGAGATTCTCAAGAAGAATGAAGCTTTTAAAACAATACCTGTACCTCCAACTCTATCAAATGGATTTGGTCAAAATTATTATCAAAGAAAGTCAAAGACAATCAAAAGGAACCATGAGCATGATTTATGTGATGTAGTAGATGCCCATAAATAGGATCTAATTGAAGCAATAGATGTCCATGAATAGGGTCTACCTAATGTTGTAGATGCCCATGATTTTGTTATTGAATGTGATAGATCACTAATAGATGCCCATAAATAGAACCTTCATATTACTTAGGGAGATAAAATCTATTGTATTGCTCTTTGCAAAGGAACTAAAAAATCTACAAAGAAAAAAGTATATCCATCCTGCAATTATGTATCCTATCATTGCCTATCTCTGCAATACAGGTCATTGTTGTCAGCTATTGATAAACACGATACTCCTCAAAACACTAATGAAGCTTTAGGAAGCCCCCTATGGAAAAAATTAATGGATGAAGATATGCTAGCTGTATGAAGAATCAAATTTGGGAACTCGTGTTGCTTCTTAAAGGGAAGAAAACTATGAGTTGTAGTTGGGTATATACTATTAAGTATAAATCTAACTAGACTATTGAGTGTTTTAAAGCTTGGCTGGTAGCAAAAGGCTTCACTCAATGTTATGATATTTATTATATGGAGACCTTTGCTCTAGTTGTGAAGATGGGAATAATTCAAATATTAATACACTTAGTTGTGCATTATGGATGGTCCTTATTACAATTTGATGTGAAAAAGATACTATTGTATAGAGAAATTTCAGAAGAAATATGTATAGATCTTCTACTAGGGTTATAAAGACCCAAATTATACTCTAAAATTATGTAGACTTAAGAATGTATTATATGGTTTAAAATAATCACCAAGAGCCTGATTTGACCGCTTAACCAAAACAATGAGAGCTTTGGAGTTCAATCAAGCCAATAGAGGTCATACTTTATCTTATAAGTGATAAGTCTTTATTATCATGAGTTAATAATGAATAAATAATATGGTTTTAGCCTTAAATCATGATAAATAGAGTTATATTTATGTTAAATTGTGAAAAAGTAGTTTTTAGTTGATTAATATGATTTTTTTGGCTAATTATGTGATTTTATGTGAATTTATATAATTTTTATAATCTTATTTTTAAGATAAATAAAATAAAATAAAATAAAATAAAAAGATAGAAAAGGGGGGATGATAAGTCTTCATTATCATGAGTTAATAATTAGTAAATAATATAGTTTTAGCCTTAACTCATGATAAATAGACTTATATTTGTGTTAAAGTGTGAAAAGTGGTTTTCAGTTGATTAATGTGAATTTTTAGGTAATTATGTGATTTCACATGAATTTATATGATTTTTATAGTTTTGCTTTTGAGATAAATGAAGAAAAAGAAATAAAAAAAAAATAAGACAAAATGAGGGGGACCCGCCGGCCAACCGGGCCCGCAAGCGGGTCGAAAGCTCAGTCGAGGAGTAGCCGCGAGTAGGGGCTCAAGCGGCTTGGACCGATAGGGGCTCGTGTGCGCCACTCCCCTTCCACATCACTGGTGGCCAGCCGGCTGTGGGGCAAGAAGTGGTCGTACACGCGAGAGAAGGAACTTTGCTTAGAAAGCTAACATTACTATATATTCGCCCGAAAAATCGGTGCACAACCGATGTGGGACTAAACCCGTGTCACACCTTCCTCAGAAGAGGCGGGCGACCGGCGCGGGTTCGAGTCCTTCCAGAGTCAAAAGTCATATATTTTTATCTGATTATCGCGACTTTCCTGTAGATCGCCGGTGAAGGATTAAGCAACGAGAATCGCTGGATCATCGACGAAAATCTCATCAATGCGATTCGCAGAGCATTGCTACTAAAATTTCTGAACGATTCGTGATAAAAGGATCACAAATCCATCGAGTAAATGATCTCCGATTGATCGACGAACAAGCCGTCGTCGGGAAGAGGACGATCCGCCGGGAGACGAGTCATCACCTCTTGAGAGCGTACCAGATGCGATGAAGAGCCTCCTCTTGCTGCGCGGACCTAAGGATGAAGCTCCCTGACACGTGCCCCACCTCCATCCAGCTCCTTTCCGTCGGGTGACAGCCGCTGGAGAGCCGCAAAGTCGCCGTTTTTTCGCTCTGCCGGGTGACAGCCGCCGGAGATGACTCGACGACCCATTTAATTGATCTCTAGACTTCGCAAGAAGATCTAGAGACTGCCCACGTCGTCCTTGTCCAAGGAGAGCCTTCGAGGCCGTGGACACTGCACGACGATCCTCCCGAACACTCAGAATTCCGGTGCATCGCCAACGCATCGCCGTCGCGACGCCGGAACTCTGTTTTCTTGCTTTTAACTTACTTTACGCTTCATTTAGTGATAATTTTTGTGTTTTTAATTTACCAAAATATACTTTGTTCAATTATGATTCTTCCTTTTACAGATCTTAATTTGATTAATTAAATCGTTTGTAATCGCTTACGTAAGAATTGCCGGGTGGAACTCTATTTTCGCCCGATTCGCGTTCGCCGGGCGCTGATGTCATCTTGACGTCCGCACCCTTATTTCCCTTTTTCGTGAATTTAAAATATATTTCCTTTTCATTTCTTAGTATAAAATTCATAGAAAATCGTATTCATTGAGAAATATTCTGAATAATTACCAGATATTATCTTACATCCCTATGATCGACCTGGAAAATTACCGCTATTTTTGAAAGTTTTATTGAATTATAATTGATATACTTGTTCAGAAATACTTCTAAATATCTGAAAAGTCGTATTTTCTAGTTTTATAAATTTTAGATTTGCGTGATTTAAAATACAACGACTGAGTCACGTCAGGGGATCTATTGGCCAGCTAGACGTGGGGTAAGGAGTGGTCGTACACATGCGAGAAAGGGACTCATTACTTCTAAATGTGATATTACTATATATTCGTCTCAATATTCGGCATATAACTAATGTGGGACTAAATTAACAGTCACACTTTCTCGGAATGTTTTCAATAATTTTAATATTTAAACTACCCCTTATTTATAACAACAATATACCATGATGACGTTACTATATAAGGGTATTCGAGTATTTATTTGTTCTCTTTCATGTAGGTGGGCGACTAACACGAGTTCTAATCTTTCTAGAGCCAAAACTTATTACTTTTTATTTAATTAAATTGTGATTTTCTTGTAGATCGCCGGTGAAGGATTAAGTTATCAAATCACTTAATCATCTACGAAAATCTTATTAATACGATTTGCGGAGCATCGTTACTAAAATTACTGAACAATCTACAATAAAAGGATCGTGAATTTATCGAGTAAATCATCTCTGATTGATTGATGAACAAATTGTCATCGAAAAGAGGAAGATCTGTTAGGAGACAACTTGTCTCCTCTTGAGAGCATACCAAATGCGATGAAAAGCCTCATCTTGCTCGCGGATTTAAGGATGAAGCTTCCTAACATGCACTCCCACCTCTATCTAACTCCTCCATCGAGTGACAGTCACTAGAGAGCCGCAAAGTTCCTATTTTTCTGCTCTACTAAATAGCAGCCGCCAGAGATGATTCAACGACCTATTTCATTGATCTCTAGAATTTATAAGAAGACCTAAAGATTGTCAACATCATCCTTATCTAAGAGAAGCTTTTGGGGCCATAGACACTACATAATAATTCTCCCAAACACTCAGAATTCTGATGCATCACTGACGCATCACCGTCGCGATGTCAAAACTTTATTTTTCTTACTTTCAACTTAATTTTTACTTCATTGAGAGATAATTTGTGTGATTTAAAATTTCTAAACTACTCTTCATTCAATTATAATTCTTTCGACTTTTACAAATCTTAATTTGACCAATTAAATCGTTTGTTCGCTTATGTAAGAATCATTGAGAGAAACTCTTATTTTCCTTTTTCACAAATTTTAAATATATTTTATTTTATTTTATTAGTATAAAATTCATAAAAAATGTATTTTTTGAAAAAAAATATATAAAATATTACCAGATATTATATTACATCCATGTGATCGATTTGGAAAATTACCACTATTTTTTGGAACTTTTATTGAATTATAGTTGATATATTTATTCATAAATTCTTCTAAACATCTAACAAATAGTATTTTTTAGTTTTATAAATTTTAAATTTACATGATTTACTATACAACGATTAATTCACATCAAATTTTGGTGTTGTCGTTGGGGATGTATTACATAATATTTAGTATTTATTATTTTTCTCATAGAGTACAAAAAAATACTCTTGTTTTTATTTTATTCTTGTAGATAAAAAGAAAAGAGAACGAAAATCAACAAGACAAGGATTGAAGCATATTGAAGGAGGGTAATAATTATTAAACTTTTTTCTTGAATTTATTGATTTTTATGCATGATATAAGATCCTTACATCTAAGACTAGAAAATCTTTTTATTATTTCGTCCAAAACCAAAAATTTGAAAGAAAAATCAATTTTTATGGATCCTAAAGGTAGTACATGCCAAACTAAAAATAATTCCATAGCCATGAAAAATTATTATATCCTTCATTCATATCAACGAGCATCTAATATTAAAGTCCTATTAGCACCCATGATTAAATTCGAAATAAATCTATTTTTTTTTAAATGCTCTTTAATTTTCATGTATTACCTTTAAAAGAACCTCATCAGCATTTAATTTTTTTTCATATGATTTGTGATTTAGTTAATCTCCCTCAAATTACATTAAAAATTATTAAGATGAAATTATTTCCTTATACACTTAAGGATAAGGTTAGTTATTAGCTATTTACATTAGATAGAGAATTAACTAATTGGAAATACATATAATAGGTCTTTCTTTAAAAAATTTCTCTCTTAAAAAAACTCAAAATATGAGAAAATATATATAGAGTTTTACTCAAAGGCTAAGAGAAACTTTGTATGATACATAAGAAAAATTCAAAAATTTACTTAGAAACTATCCTTATTATGCTATATTCAAGTGGCATCTCAATAGAATTTTTTATGATGAATTATTAGAACAACATAGAAATATGATTGATTCTATATGTGGATGAGCTTTTATAGAGAAAACTCTTGATGAGATTTATAACTTTTATGAGAATTTAAATGAAAATTTTAGAAATCAAGCTCTTTTGAGTATATGACAATGAGAAGAAGATAAGAATTTATGAATTGCATTATGATGATAATTCTAAGTAAAGAAATGAGATTAATTAGATTAATTAAAGATTAAAAAAATAATTATTTATTGACAATATTAGAAATCCTCATAACCTTCAATTTAATGCATATAGTATATGTCCTATATATGATGAAAATGATTATTTCTGAATTTCAATGTTATAATTTTGATCAATCGTTTCAACCTAGGTAAGAGCAAGTGCAAGTACCCCACGATTTTAGTAAAAATAGAGAATATTTTTTTAATTCTTATAATCCTAATTGAAGGAAGAATTTTTCGTGATGATACCTAAATAATATTTAAAATTCAGAAACACTTAGACCCAATTCAAATTCTGAATTTTGTTCAAAATAGGAACACAAATTTCAAAAAAATCAGCCCTCTCAAATTCAACTTGATTTTATAGATATGATGTAGTAAATCAACCAAATGATGCAACAAATAATGAATCAAATGATATTGTAGTAAAAATAATTTATAGAGGCTTTTGAGAATAAGGGAGAGGAGTGACATCTACCTAATCAGTCCATAAAAAATTCAGAAAACTGTCAAATAATAAGATTTCAGTAAGGAGAGTCTAGTTAAACAAATTTAAGAAAAAATCTACGAAATAGAAATATTAGGACAGTGAATACATTGAGTGAGAATATTTTACTTGATCTTTATTCCTAATTATTAGAAGAAATAGATGATCCATTAGAAGTAAATGAGAATATTAAGACTAAAAATATAGTAGCAAAATTTTTGAATAAAATCATTTATTATTCACAATTGATAACTGAATATAGTGATGATGATGAGGAGAAAGAGCCTTTATATGAAGAAATAACAACTGATCATGAAAAAATCATTTAAATTTTAGTAGAAGGGAGTAAGGACAGAAATGAAGAAAAATAAATTTCAGGTGAGGAAAAATCAATTGATTTGAGAGATGTAGGAGACGAAATTAATAAATCTAATCAGTATTTTGTAGTCATAAATGTTGATAGCAAGAATAATGATGCATATTATATATCGAAATTAGAAGATAGCTCTTGAGAAGATAAGGAATTTGATGAGTTCAGAAAAGAAAAACTAGATAAAAAGAGTTGATTCAACTAATAAGGAGAAATGAAAATAATAAATATGAATATAGAGATAATTTTGGAAAAGAAAATTTGAATTTTAATGAATTCATTAGATCTGAGATTAAATTAGGCAATTCTTCCATCCTTCAAAACCCACAGCCCATTAGAATTAAGTCTAAGCTTGAAATATTTCACTCCTCACAAATTGAACAAATATGTAGGGAAGATAAAATAGAGTAGGGGAAGATTATGCAGATAAAAAAATATATTAAGAAATGGGTGAGTGGAAGAATTAAGAGCTAATTTGAAATTTTAAAAATTATATGGCCTGATGACATTTTATGGTTTATTAATATAAAGTATTTACTAATGAATGAGAGCCTTAAAAAATGAGATAAAAATGAAGAAATGTTATTTTCAAAATAGAAATATTATTTTTGAGAAAATTTTATTAATTTTAATTTTTTTGGTTGAAATTATGTCAAGATATGTATATATGAAGCACATGAATTTATGTTAAATCTGGAAAAAAATATCATGAAACTTACCTTGGGATAAAAATATATTTTGATGGCTATAGATCATCTTATATGATCTAAGAGCTGTCCAACTAAAGACATGAAATTCAGCATTGTATGGGAGGCAACCCAAGGTTTTTATTTCATTCTTTTTTTTTAAGTTCTATTTTTCTTAGAATTTCGTAGTATTTATTTTTGTATTTATTTTTTTTCAAAAACAAAAGTGCAAGATAAGCAGTGTAAGATGAAGTAGAAAATTACAAAACAAGGTGAAGGTGATGTCTTTCTGAGCTTTATCCTTTATGACAATATTTTTTGTGCTTAATTTTAATATATGCATGCTTCATTTGAAAATTATATCTTCTGCATATTCTATTTTGATTTTTCTGTGTCATTGAGGACAATGTCAATTTTAAGTTAGGGGGTGAAGTATTAAGTCTTAATTTATACTATAAGACGATTAAGAACATGTGTTTACATTTGTTTTCATGCTCACCTAGAAAAGCATCTAAAAAGAATTCGAAAAAATAATAACATTTGTTTTTTGATTTTCTATCAAAAACAATATAAAATAATTTACAGACTATCAAAAATAGTAGAGAAAAAATAATCCAAAATTTGAAATTCTAGAGACCATTTTCTCACATTTCAATCCCCTAGACATATATTGCTGAAATTCAAAATTATAACTATAAAGAGGATAGTTTTGATTTATTTTTGACAAATTCATTATTGCTAAAGACAAAACTGAAAACAAAAAATAGAAAACATCTTGTGAATTATATCTATGAGTGAAGAAGTGATAAAGATGCGAATAGAAGAAGTGAAGTCTAAATTGTTATTCCAAGGAGTGTTTAAATATTTAAGTGCTTGACATCATTTTTAAATACTAGATATAAGAGTCCAAAATGTCTAGAGGTACATCATTTCTAATTATATATTTTTTTATGCATTGAAGTATGATGTTTGAGATTTGTGAATTTTTATTTTCATAATTCCATTGCTAAGAGACTATCAATGATTTAAGTTAGGATTGTGATAAGTTTTTATTACCATGAGTTAATAATAAATAAATAATATAATTTTAGCCTTAACTCATGATAAATAGACTTATATTTATGTTAAATTTGAAAAGTAGTTTTTAGTAGATTATTTTGATTTTTTGACTAATTATGTGATTTTATGTGAATTTATATATATATATTTAATCTTATTTTTGAGATAAATAAAGAAAAAGAAAATATAGGTATTACGTTTTCACAACATCCTATTTCCATAAATGAAAAGAATCGTCAGGTGAAACTCTATTTCAGTCCGATTCACATTTGTCAGGGTGTTGACATCATCCTAACATCTGGACCCTTTATTTCCCTTTTTTGTGAATCTTAAATATATTTCATTTTTATTTCTTAGTATAAAATTTATAAAAAATATATTCTTTGAAAAAACTTTTGAAATATTACCAGATATTATATTACATCCCTATGATCAAATTGAAAAATTACCACTAACTTGTGAAACTCTTATTGAATTATAATTAATATATTTATTCATAAATACTTCTAAATATCTAAAAATTAGTATTTTCTAGTTTTATAAATTTTAAAGTTACATGATTTACTATACAACAACTAAGTCACATCAATAAGTGATATAATTCAAGAAAAATGATGATCTTACTAGTATATGTCAATGATATAGTTGTCACTAGAGATGATATGCAAGAAATAACTTATCTTCAAAAATAATTAACAGTTGTTTTTGATATCAAAGTGTTGGGACAATTAAAATACTTACTGAGAATTGAGGTAGCTTACCCTCATGAAAATTTATTCCTATCTCAAAGAAAGTATATTACTGATTTACTCAAATATACAAGCATGAGTAACTGTAAACCAGCTTGTATACCAATTGAAGTGAAGAATTATATTGAGGCTTCAAAGGAGAACAATCAAATAGATAAGGGGTCTTACCAATGGCTAGTGAGAAAATTAATTTATCCATCCCATACTAGATAGGATATTGCTTACTCAATTGGAGTGCTCAGCCAAATACATGACCCTAGGGAGGTGCATCATCAAGCTACTCAACGAGTCTTAGTCTCTCTTAAGGAACAAGTGGCATGAGAATCTTGTTTAAAAAGGAAGATTTTCCTATAGTAGGCATCTATATTGATGCTGATTATGCTGGTTCAGTTGATGATAGGCGCTCTACTATTGGGCATTATTATCTCATTGGAGGAAATTTAATCACTTGACGAAGCCAAAAATAGAGAGTTGTGGCTCGATCAAGTGCTGAAGTGGAATTTAGGGCTATGGCTGTTGGGATTTGTGAAGGCATTTGGATAAAGAGTATACTAAATGACTTACAAATACCTATGGAAGGTTTGATTACCTTGTTCTGTGACAATTAGTCTGCAATAAGTATTATACATGATCCTATTTAGCATAACAAGATCAAACACATTGAAGTAGACATATATTTTATTAAAGAAAAACTTAAATCAAGGATGTTTTGCACAAAGTATGTCTCATCTACAAATTAGTTTGCTGATATATTAACAAAAGGCATTTCTTCAATAGAGTTCTACAAACAAAGGAGTAAGCTAGACATGAATGATATCTATGCACCAGCTTGAGGGGGAGTGTTACACAGAACAAGTCTTCTATATTAGGCTTTCCTTCTATTTTCTTTTATGTCCTCTTATTAGATTTATTTCCCTCTTTTGTGTTTTTATTATTAGACCTTTTCTTAATAACAAAAAGGTTTATTAGACTCCAATATAAATATTTGCGTACTGTATTGAGAAGGACTAAGTCAAAATTTCCCTTTTCTTCCTTCCATGGTATCTCGTAATAGGCCCCATATCAAAAAGACATATTGGCGTACTTCCTTAAGTTATATTAATGAACTATGCATGACTCTTAAAGTAGACTTAAGAAATCTAGAGGAGTTAATTAAGTTAGATCTAAGTGATTCAGTAAGAATTGAAAAGGATTGGATCGATGCAATTAAAGAATTGTTAGAGATTAGGGTGCTACTATAGTCAAGAAATTGAATAATGTGAGTCAAGTGGGTTCTCTCTCTTACTCTATCCACCAACTATGTATTCAGGGAACCTATCTAGGGTCACTCCATGACAATAGTGCAAGAAAGCATACTAGAAGAACAAATAGGTCATAAATGGAAAGATAGAGAGTTTAGAAATAACCCGGATGCTGAAGCAGACGACGGTCCAATGATAATTCGAGGGCAGAAGCTGCATGTTGCTTGACCGACTCAGTCCAGCGTTTGGGGCTGATGGTGGAACGGCGGAGGTGGAGTTTGGGGCTGATGGTGGTGAATTCGTGAGGTTGGCAGGGTTGGTGAGGATAAAGGCGTATGGGTTAAGATGCAGTGATAATGATGAGTACGTCGTATGGTACTGATGGAAAATAGAAATGGTGACAGCTAATGGTGATGATGAGAAGGAGAAAAGAAATGGTGAGGCGGCGGAGAAGATAAGGTGGAAGGAGACAGGTGATAGTCTCACGACCTTTCTCTCATGGGATGATTTGCACGACCTTACGGTCGCCCCTTCACGGAGCGGTGATGCACAGCCTTTACAGCCTCTTCATCGCGGAGTAACAAACAGTAAAACCGTTCTCGCAAAAAAATTCTCTCTTTACATACTAAAATTAGGAGAATATTTATAGAGTTCTTAAACAACACAAAAGACGGAATTAATAATAGAGAAAATAACTCCTAAATGTGCCTCCGGCCGGTGCGCTGTTGACGCGGTCGCAAGTTCCATCTCCTGCGCTCCTCATTAGGTTCATATTCTCATTTTGTGTTTTCTTGCCGTGGTTTCTTCCGGCCTCCCTTTCCTCCGTGTTTCTCAGTGGCCGTCGGTTTGGAGCCAAGAGAAGGTGATCTTACTTTCGTCAACCCTCTCAATTCTTAGAGTTATTGTGAGAGTCTAGTCTTAGTTTCTTGTTTAGGTTTGTTTGGTCCTTTCATCAACCCATCCTGCGTCATATTAACTCTTTTAAAAAACTTTCCGTGGTTTAGATTCCATCACGGGTCTTGGCTCAATAACTTCTCTACAAGCCACTTGATCTGCATTTAAACCTTAGATAGGTCAACTCATCTCGATCAATTTATAGCTTATGGAGTGCCCTGATCACAAGCGATTTCTTAAGCGTGTAGATCCATTTGTTTGAAATCTTGCTGGAAAGTAGTTGATCTTACTTTAGTCAACCCCCTTAATTCTTAGAGTTTTTGTGAGAGTCTACTCTTAGTTGATTGTTTAGGGTTGTTTGGTCCTTTCATCAACCCGTCCTGCATCCTGTTTTAAAAAACTTTCCGTGGTTCAGATTCCATCACGGGTCTCGACTCAATAACTTCTCTACAAGCCCTGGTTTTGGAGCCGAACTTATACTGTCGTGGTTTCTTTCAGCCTCCCATTCCTCCCTGTTCTCAGTGGCCGTCATTTTGGTGCCGAGAGAAGGTGCATCATGCGTTCGGCAAAGGGCGTTGTCCGCATCTTGTTCGAGCGCATCGTTAAGCCCCGTCCAGGAGCGGCTGTGGGAGGTGAAGCTCCCGCGGATCACCCTCGTCGCTGCGAGCTGTCGCTGTGGGACTTGTCTATGCTTTCGTTCGGCTATATCCAGAAGGGTCATCTTTTTTCCCTCCCTTCAGGCGATCCTCCGGTCGAAGTTATCGTCGAGCGCCTCAACTCCTCTCTGTCCATCGCGCTCTGGCACTTTTACCCCCTCGCCGGTCGCCTTGCGACTGAGATAGATGCCGATGGGCGGGGGATGTTCGTTCACATCGACTGCGACGACCAGGGGGCCGGATTTCTCCTTGCCACTGCCGATGGTGTCACCGTAGCTGATGTCCTGGCCCCCTCAGAAGACGTGCCCAGCTTCGTTAGCGATTTCTTTCCGATGGACGGGGCCATCAACTACGACGGGCGGTCCCTTCCCCTGCTTGCTGTCCAGCTGACGAAGCTGGAGGACGGCTTCTTCCTGGGGTACTCTTTCAACCACTTGGTCGGCGACGGCACCTCCTTCTGCCACTTCCTCAACGCGTGGGCCGAGATCTCGCGTTCCAAGGCGGATGGCAGCGGCCACCTCTCCAAGCCGCCGGTGCTCGAGAGGTGGTTCGCCGATGGTAGGTCCCCCATCAGGTTTCCCTTTACTCACGAAGATCAGTTCATCGAGAGGTTCTCTCCTCCGCCGCTGAGAAAGAAGATATTCCAATTCACGGGAGCGTCCATAGGCCAGCTCAAGGCGAGAGCCAACGAAGAGCGGGGCACGGTCAAAATCTCCTCCTTGCAGGCTCTCGGGGCACTGATGTGGAGGTGCACCACCCGGTCCAGACGTCTCCCAGACGATCAGAAGGTCGGATGCAGTCTGGCGGCCGAGAATCGGAGAAGGCTACGGCCGCAGTTGCCGCCGGCATACTTCGGCAACTCGTTCTCAGTGATTGCCTTCACGGCGACGGCCGGCGAACTTCTGGCCAACGACCTGGGCTGGGCGGCGGGGATGCTCAATCACGTCGTGGCCTCGCACACCGACACAGCTATTCGGGGAATGGCCGAGGGGTGGATGGCGTCCCCTTGGGTGTACCGAATCTCAGGCCTGGACCGGCACAGCATAATCATAGGGAACTCGCCGCAGTTCGACATGTACGGATGCGACTTCGGGTGGGGGAAGGCGGCGGGGCTGCGCAGCGGGAGTGAGAACCAGTTCGATGGGCTTATCTGGTCGTACCCCGGCCGAGAGGGTAGCGGCAGCATCGATCTGGAGGTCTGGCTCCCACCCGAAGTCATGAGCTCGCTAGAATCAGACGTGGAGTTTGCGCAGGTTGTTTCTACGGCGGGAAACGGTGAATGACTCGAAAATCTACCTCCCGTCTGTGGTCTCCGTGGAGTGGTTCCTGTTGGAAGTTCTAGGTCGTAGGGAAATAATGTAATTAGTTAAGGGTGTTTTGGTAAAAGTTGTGTATCGTTACTCCCTATGTAATGGGGGTTACAGTTGAATAAATGTTGAGGCGGTTTCCGTCGTTCTTCCCTCTGTCCTTCGTGACGAGGTTTTTTTTCTATTTTCAACAGTTCCATGGATGCCTCGTATGAACAATGTGTCTTCCTTTTTTCCTGGAAATATTCTCCTTTCTGAAGTGTTTTTCCTTTCTATCTCTTCTCCAACCTCTTCCCTACTTCTATTTTTGATTTTAAGTCGATCTCGCATTTCTCCGATTTACAAGATAATCGGAGAAAAGCTAATGCGGTTTCGATAAGATGTCTCTAGTTTCTTTCTGCTGTTCCGTTTTGTTCTGCTGTGTAGGGACAGGAAACTTGAAGCTGAATACCACATTTTTTCAAATGATGGTGAAGAGATTGAAACTCTCCACCCCAGTCAGATTGAAAGGCAACAATCTGAGTAGAAAGTTCTCTTTCTTTGCTGAAAGTTAATAAAGACACAACTTCATTTTTTACGTCTCTCCACACGAAGGACGTACAATCGGCGGTGATGCTGTTAAGTGGAGCTCCTGCAGCTCAGTTGAAGGGGCCTAGCCCCTGATCGGGCCCCCCCCTGCTGCTCCTGCTCCGTGGGGTGCGCCCTGATGGGCGGAGAATCGAAGAAGGCTACGGTCGCAGCTGCTGCCGGCGTACTTCGGCAACTCGGTCTCAGTGGGATTGTCTTCACGACCACGGCCGACGAACTTCCGGCCGACGACCTCGGCTGGGTGGCTGGGATACTTAATCAGAGAGTTGCCTCGCACACGAATGCGGGCTATTCGGTGAATGATTGACAGCTGGATGGCGTCCCCATCGCTGCACCTCGTCTCAAGCGTTGACAGACAGAACGTATTGATGACAGACTCGCCCCATCGCTGCGGGAATGCGAATCAGTTCGATAGGAAGGTCACGTCGTATCCTGGCCGAGAGGGTGGCGGCAGCATTGACCTGGAGGCCTGCCTTCCACCCGAAGTCATGAGCTCGCTAGAATCAGACGTAGAGTTTGCGCAGGTTGTTGCCATGGCGGGAAACTATGAATGATTCGAAAATCTACACTCCGCCTGTGGTCTCAATTGCCTAGCAGGCTCTCTCCGTGGAGTGGTCCTGTTGCTGCATCGTGTTAACAGGTTATCATATCCCTTTTCAGCCCATCGTCATCAGCTTGGGGAACATAAGTTTATCAATATAATTATCTTTAACAAAGATGAATTTTAAACATTTGAAATGCTGTCAAGAGTAGTAGTTGGTGGCATCCATCTGGCAATATTCGAATTGCTGCCGGTTAGTTGTATGGATAGTTGAAGCAGCTGTATGAATAGTTGTTGTGACTAATTTATTGTAAGGCTATCATTGTAAAATTTCCCCGCTTTGAGTTAAGCCATTTAACCCTAATGAGGGGGATGATGAAAACAACGGTAGCAAATCGACTTTCTCCTCTTTTCTCACTCTCAACATGGTATCAAAGTAGTATGACCCGTTGCCTTGATTATATTGGAGTATTAAAATACATGATATTTTGATGATACCAAATAAGTTTAAGACTAATTAAAAAAATTAAAATTTCTTAGTTCAAGATATATATGATAAGAGATTGAACATGAAAATTATTGATTATAATGTGAAATAATATTAGTAAAAGTTTAGATGGGAATTTATCAAGTATATTTGTGACTCATGATGTTAAATTAGTTAAACAGACTAATTACAATATGAAGAGTTATTACTTTGTATATTGTTATGGAAATTGCTAATATCTACAGAAACTATCACAAAAAGAAAATGAATCATTTTACATCATAAGTTGCCAAAGATTTTGACTTGAAATTAATAAAGTGTATGCAAACTTTACATAAATGTCAAACATGATTTTCTAGACAATAATGATATCACTTTGATCATTACAAACAAAACAATCAAATTTGAAATAAACTGAATTCAGAATAATAATTAAAATAAATTTTACCGAAGTTAGATTGTCCATAGGGATGATGATCAATCTCAATATGATTTTTTTATTCTAAATAATTTATTAAAAAAATAATAAATAAACAAGCATTAAAAAACAAAATAATATTCTCCAAATTACTTGAGTTCTAAATCTTCGAATTTTGATATGTTACCATATTCATGATTGATAAATGACTTAAGACCTGAAAAATATTTTAAATAAAATCAAAAAAAATAATAGAAAGGTAAATGTAAAAAAAATGATCACCCTATTGGTGTACAAATGGAAAGTGATTTAAGCTGAATCCCCATAAAACCAAACTAAATAATTTTTCAAAATAAATCAATCCAAATGATCTCAACTAAAAAAGAAATCATTAGAGAAACTAAAATTTTAAAAATAACTACTGAAAATAAAATGAAAACTGAAAATCATCTACCAATAGAGCAACTCCATTGGTGGAAAATGAGAAAATGATTTTGATTCGAATATGTATAGAACTCAAATTAATATATTGCATTAAATTGTTTTAATTGATCATAATTAAGTTAAATTTCATTAGAAACATTGAAATATCAAGAAAAACAAAAAATAAAAATACACAAACCTGTCCCAAAATATCACCTAAGAACAAAATATTGTCGCATTAAGAAAATTGAATGAAAAGCAATTGGAAAGGATAAAACTACAAACTAAAATGCTTAGTCACATCCTTTGACTGTCAAAGTGACTAAAATGAGTTGAACTAAGCTAAAATGAAAATAATCAAAGTGACAGAGAAATCTAATTCACAAACACCATCCATCCTTCTGCTTGTCTGTCACCCAAAAATAGAGTACCCAAAATTAAATGTAAAATCAGTTTTAAAGTGGTAAAAAATAGATTCAAAACCCTTAATATTTTCATCTGCTTGTCACCCAATCCATGGATTAAGAAGAAACGAAAATAAATGTAGTGAAAAGAGAGATCAACCTACCCAATATCGCTCCACTCGTCTCCACCTATCACGTTGAGAGAACCTGACCTGTAAAGTTCCCAAATTCCTCGAATCTTCTACTTTTTATCATAAAATAAAAAACCTCCCTTTGCCCTAGAACTTTATTCCGATTTTCATGTAGTAATATCTCAACAATAATAATGAAATCTGTAATTATTTACATCTGTTTCCTTGGCTAAAATAGAGTGTGAAAATAACATATATGTCCTTTTGTTGATGACATGACCTAAAATGTTGACCTATTCCTTGGTTGATTAATGCTAACATGGCTTATAAAGCCTTAACACGCCCTCTTGATGATGTGGGCATGAATTACTGCATTTGTTTCCAATTATTTTTATAATTTCAAAATTTCTAGAAAATGGTTACAAGATGTCCCCATAAATTCCCTGAAATTCCAAGAAAAATCTATTTTCCAATTTAACTTCATGATTGATTCCTTATCAATTGTAAGATGATTTTCAAGATTGTAAATCTTAGATAAACATGTTAACACATCTGGATCAAGTGGGTATTTACTATCAAGTGGGTTATCCAACTTGATCTGCATCTAAACCTTAAATAGTCCACTCATCTTGATCAATTTATAGATTGTTGAGTGCCCTAATCACAAGCAATTTCTTAATCTTGTCGATCCATTTGTTTGAAATCTTCCTGAAAAGTAATTTATCTTACTTTAGTCAACACTCTTAATTCTTAGAGTTTTTGTGAGAGTCTACTCGTAGTTGCTTGTTTAGGGTTGTTTGGTCCTTTCATCAACCCGTCCTGCATCATGTTTTAAAAAACTTTCCGTGGTTCAGATTCCATCACGGGTCTCGACTCAACAACTTCTCTACAAGCCCTGGTTTTGGAGCCGAACTTATACTGTCGTGGTTTCTTTCAGCCTCCCATTCCTCCCTGTTTCTCAGTGGCCGTCATTTTGGGGCCGAGAGAAGGTGCATCATGCGTTCGGCAAAGGGCGTTGTCCGCATCTTGTCCGAGCGCATCGTTAAGCCCCGTCCAGGAGCGGCTGTGGGAGGTGAAGCTCCCGCGGATCACCCTCGTCGCTGCGAGCTGTCGCTGTGGGACTTGTCTATGCTTCCATTTGGCTATATCCAGAAGGGTCATCTTTTCTCCCTCGTCACCCTCGACCAGATCACCCTTGTCTGCGGGCGTCGGAGTCTCTCGGGGCACTGATGTGGAGGTGCACTACCCGGTCCAGACGTCTCCCAGACGACCAGAAGGTGGGGTGCAGCATTATGGCCGAGAATCGGAGAAGGCTACGCCCGCAGTTGCCGCCGGCATACTTTGGCAACTCGATCTACCCGATCAGCGCCACCATCACGGCCGGCAAACTTCAGGCCAACGACCTGGGCTGGGCGGCGGGGATGCTCAATCAAGTCGTGGCCTCGCACACCCACGCAGCTATTCGGGGATTGGTCGAGGGATGGATGGCGTCCCCATCGGTGTACCTTCTCTCAGGCCAGGACCACCACAGCATAGTGATGGCGAGCTCGCCGCAGTTCGACTTGTACGGGTGCGACTTCGGGTGGGGGAAGGCGGCGGGGCTGCGTAGCGGGAGTGCGAACCAGTTCGATGGGATTATCTGGTCGTACCCCGGCCGAGAGGGTGGCGGCAGCATCGACCTGGAGGTCTGCCTTCCACCTGAAGTCATGAGCTCGCTAGAATCAGATGTGGAGTTTGCGCTGGCTGTTTCCACGTTGAATTCATTCAACAAAAGAAGCATAAAGAAAATGAAATTAAAATAGAGTAAGAGTCAAAAATCCTCCCTCTAACACCGAGGATGAGGTAGATGAACGAATTGAAAATCTAGGGTGAACCAGGTTTTTGTTGCACGATTCAGTTTGTAAATAAAAAAAGAACTAGTATGAAGTTGAAAACATAAAGAATCAAGCATAAAATGGATCATAAATCAGGATTTCCCCACTTTGATGCTAGGATAGGTGAATGAATGATTTTTAGCGAAATCATGAATAAAAACCCTAGAAATTAGTTCCTTCCACGATTCCTCTATCTGTCACCAAAAGAATCGAGAAAATGAATTCGAAAATGAAGATAAATCAGATTTAACTTACAAAATGGCACAAGAACTCCAAGAAGAGCTAGAAGAATACCACAGTTTGTCGCCCAACGAGAGGAGAAAGAATGATGCCTTCTGTGCGCTCAATTGGAAGTTTTTATGCTCTAATTAGATCGAGAATCGATTGGGAGCAGTTACGAATCAAACTGCTTAGAAATTGGGTTATTTTTAGTGAGAATTGGGATTCCATTTCCCCATCCCATTCTCTGCTTATTTTTCCAACCCTTGAGCAATTTTAGTATGATTAATTAAATTTTCCATATGGGCCTATTAAATTTCAGAATGCCCCTAGAAGTCACAAATATTTCGAAAATATTCTGAAAAATCACCACAAATTAGGAAAAATCATTTGTATCTGATAGAATTAACTCAAACTATTAGACTTGTATCTGATAGTTTCAGGAGTATGAAACACTATTAGACAAGCTAAAGTAAGATTTGACTGGTGCATAAGCAAGGATAAAGGCTAAGATTGATGGTAGGCATCAAGAAAAATACCATGAAGTGAGAGAATTTATTTACCTCAAGCTTAGACCCTAAAATTGTAGTCTCTTGCTTGTTGGTAGAATGGGAGGCTATCTCCATGATACTGTGGGCCTTATGAGATTGCAGAAAGGATTGACCTAGTCACCTACTAATTAGTATTGCTACTCACTATTCAAATTCACTCCATTTTTCATGTCTTGTAGCTATAGGAGGCCCATAGTGCTTTGGACTATAGCCAACCACCTCCTCAAGTGTTGAATGTTGAATTCAACTTGGTTGGTAGTCGATGGCTGCTCATGATGCAGAACACAACTAAGGGAGCATAGGTATTGATCCAATGGGATGATTCACAAGAATTTGATGCTACCTAGAAGATGGAAAACTTCCACCTTCTAGACAAGGAGTCTCCTACAGATGAGAGTAATGATAGGCCCTTAGTGGGTCTAACTTACTTTAGAAGGAGAAAGAAGCCCAGAAACCTCCATCAAAATGAATTAATGAGGGCCTCTTAAGTCCGTTTTCAGCAAGAAAGGATATCAGGGTTGTAACAAGGCAAAGGGGAGGAGGATTCATTATTTTGAGTTAAAAGGGGGGAGTGGTGATCCTTTTGAATGACCATCTAGATTTCTAGGGTTCTTGTGAGCCTCTAAACTCTATCTCTATCTCACATTTTCTATTTATTCCCCTATTCTTCTGTATTTGTCTAGTATATTCCTGGTTATTATAGATTGGAACCCTATCACTTGTTTAGTCAACCAAGGACTCAATACATATTGCTTTAAACAATATTAAGCTCTAATTTTTTAGACTTATAATTTCCAACATGATTTCCATAGACTAAAATATTAAGCTTGATGTACTTAATTATTATAATAAAGTTCATCAAATATTGACATTTTTGCAAGGTACTCTTCACAAACTCAATAATGATATTGATATATCATATAATTTTGCAGCATAATTATTTGTATAACAATATAGTGATGTTGATGCATTGCCCTTTTTTTTTTAGTATGGGATATAACTGTTCTGCAATGTGACATATTGATGTTGATTTATTGTACTTTTCTGCAACATGAAGTGATACATTAAGATAATATTGTACTCTAATAGGGTTACTACAATTGGATTAATACATGAATTTTAAATGACCGTCTTGTTGGTGACTTATTTCTTTCATTTAACTTCTTCATGGTTTGATATTTTGTAAAGTATGAAGTCACCAAGTAGGTAATATTCCCTTATTTGGTCTCTATATTTGAATCCAGGACGCGTAGACAACGTGGTTCCTTCGGTCCGGAATATCGATTTTGGGGTGTATCTTTCGTGATGGATTGGCTTCGGTTCAGCTCACTTCGGCACTTCTTACTTGTTCAGCAGCTTACATTCATGTCCGTGCGGACATCTTTTACGGGGCTCCACATGAGTGAGTGAGAGAGCGTGAGCGAGCGAGCGAGAGAGAGAGAGAGAGGAGGTCAGTGGACAATCTAGAGCGAATTCGAACGCCTGAAAACATCGGGATCACCTTATTTAATAGAACATTGGCCATGCTACAAGCTTATTAGATCGTCGATAACGATAGCATCAGCGTACTTTATTGAGCCTCCATTGGTCATTCTTGGCATATTCGTAGACGCAGTTCCGACGTGTGGAGATCTTATCGAGTTCGTTCAAATCCTGAAAATCAATAACAAAAGGTAATTGAGTGCTGAAAATTCTATTACCTGCATCATCACGCATGATCATCATTTTCTGTGGACTCACCGGGTGTAGTCGATCAGGATCTTCCCGGCATCAGGATTGGCGATAGCAGCGAACGCTTCCTGCGACAGATCGATGGTGCCCTGGCATCCCGCGGGGCAGTAATCGACGATCGTCACGTCGACGCTTCGCCCGGTGCACGGCTGCAGCACCCCCTGGTTCGTCGGCCCTCTGCAGGTCACGCGGTATCTCCTTCCACAGGCCGCGCGGTTGTCCCATATGGCGTCGCTGGCGGCGGCGATCATTACTCCCCGGTTCTGGAACCCGTAGCAGGCGGAAGCTGCAAAGGAAGATTGACAACGAGCACATGCCATGAGTTTCCTTCCCTATGAAGCGCACGTATAGTAGAGCATGATGTTATTGTAGAGTAACGAGGTGAAAGACTGAAGAAAGTTGTGATAGCCGCGTAGCGCAAGTGAAAGCGTTTTAATGGGAGAATTAGGACAAGGAAACAACGTACGGACGTAGGGCGGCGTGTAGAACGTCGCAGTTCCAGAAGCAGCTAGTGCAACGGGGAGGAGGCCAGCGAGAAGAAACGTGGCCGCCAGAAGAGAAGCCTTGCTCACATCCATTGTCTAGACAGAAGAGGGAGATGTGAAGTTCTTGGTAGGGAATGCAGCCGGGGGTGTTCATGTCTATTTATAGGTAGAGTTTAAAGATCCAAGTGGCATAAAATATAGCAAAATTCTTAATTTCCACGGTGTACAGAAGTTGTAATAAAGCCTGGCCTTATTTAATCATAATTGACCACGGAGTCAACAGAAAGACGAACGACGACTTGTCTGGAACATTCTTCATGGAAAGCCAATGGACAAGTCTTCACGTCTGGGCCGTCCAGCCAAAACTATTAATGACGGGCCTTTAAACTCTTAACATGTAATTTTGAATTGATTTTTCTATACACCCTTTGGGGTAAAATGTTGGGCCATTATATTTGAGGGGTAAACAGGTTCAAAAAGCTTACTAATTCCCTCTTTGATCGGGAGATTTTCGATATAATATTTTAACCAAGCTAGGATAGACTAGTGGCAAAAGGGCTCAATTATGAGACGTTGTGAGCTATACTATCCTTGTAGTTACCAAAATGGGCTGCAAATAGCCTCATGATACCGCTATCTTTGATTTGAGGAGTTTTGAAACAGTTCTATATCGGTCCATACAAAAGGAATACAGGCGATTTTCTGAGTTAGTTCACTCATTTTGATTTGGTTTTCAACTGGATAACACATTGACTTGGTCATGAATGTTCGGGAATATTTACGCGTCGGATCAACAGTTTGTGGTTTATGCCGCGTGTTAAAGATCTCATTCTCTCGTGTTCTTTACGGCAGACAAGAACAGAGGATGAAGACAGTTCTAAGGCGACTAATAACAACACTGTTCTGCCCTCGTTGCTACGGCGACTAATAACAACACTGTTCTGCCGTCGTTGCTACGGCGACGAGTCTTTGTCTTGTGTAATGTCCACAGAAATCGCTTGTGTTCAAAAGGAGAGGAGAGGAGAAAAGAAGGTCGGGTCGCTGGTTGTGGTCGTTCCCTGCCCACAGAAGTTGAATCCTGACGCTTTCCGATAAGGATGGCCAAGGCATATCAGATGAGAATTACTTGGCATATTGGTGATGAGTTAGTTCATGTGGAAGAGTCGAAGGGCCATGTCTAAACTTTCTAAATACCTCATAGCTGAGGTGATCAACGCTACCAAACAACCACACCGGATATCTTTGGCTCAATTTAATCTATGTTGCGATGAATAATGAGAAGAACACACAAAATAAAGCGTTAAAGGGCAAAAGGTGAGGCATAAGAATAATCGTCTCCCAAAATATTAGGTAAAGAAAAATTGATCAAGACTTGAAAAATGCAGATCAACCAAGGACAAAAGGTGCTTCCTCAACTAGAGTTGCTTCCACACCGTCAACTAAGGAATCACGCCTTCCAAAGTACCAAGCTGTCACAATGAAAATAGTGGTTCACTTTGCTCTAATAAGAGTGTTTCTAATACTCAGGGCCAACCAAGAGCTATGAATTTTGAAAAGATAAGCTAGGTATTAATCTTGTTGGCCCCATAGAGCTGTGAATATTATAGTCTTTTGTTCTACCACTCTAATTTTAAGAGGTGTTGTAGTATTGAAACACTATGAGTAGTGTTGGACATTATACGGCCTCATAAGAAACTAAGAAGAGGCTGAATTAGACATTTTCTGATATTTAAAATTTTCTAATTTCTACGTATCAACTCACACATAAGAAATACGATGGTTTGTATACCTCACTAACTTACTCTCTAGTGATTATGTCATCAAGTTCCACCGATTCCTTATTTTTAAAATTAAATTCAAGAATGCATAAATATGTTTTAGATGAATAGTAACAATATATACATTCACCTGAAAACCGGCCTAATAATCATTTGAATATTATTCTGCATACTATCTTCCGAGGACAATGCAAAATGGTTTATTTTTGGTTAAATACATTTATGTTTGTTTTGGAGGAAGTAACTTTTTTTCTTAAGGTTGTTGAACTTACATGGATGAAGTTCTCAAAGCAAAAAAGAAATGAGGAAAATTATATGAAGGAAGAAAGAAATCAATGAAAGTAGCTTTCATGTTTTCCATTTATGTAAGATTCTTTTGATCTAAGATCAGTAATTTGAATAAACTCCATGAGGCTGCAAGGCAAATTAGTTGGTAGTAAAGAGCTATGAATAATACGTGGAAAAAAATAATATTTGGACTAATTAGAAAGTCTTTGCAGAAGATTCAACGTGTGGAGAAAATAGGATAAGATGAGTGAGTGCAATTGTAGGAGCAATGAGAAAAGAGTGCATCTTGGTGAACTGCTAGGTAGGATAAGCTGCCTTTTCATGATACAAGGGGGTTTGCTAGCAGAATAATACTACTAACTGATGACCACTCATTCCATGAAGGCGCACCCAAAGTCAAATTAATCAACATATTAAAGCCTAGATTGTGAAAAATTACCTTAGGCCCCATGGGGTAGAGAGAGAAAGAGAGAGAGAGAGAGAGAGAGAGAGAAACATGAAGAGTAGAAATAATACTTTCCAAATGAGGAATTTTTTTCATATTTTATGGATAAAATCCAGATTAAATAGTGGGAAATGGCATTATATTGAACTTTCTTAGTTAGTAGAGAGGCATTTAGTGGGATAAATGTGAGTATACAGATCAATATGAATATATACATATATATTAAATTTATATTGAGAGAGAGAGAGAGAGAGAGAGCGCGCCAAGTTAGATAATAAAGTCGGTTTTTTTAGTTTCATGGTTTGAGAATTATTAAATTATAATAATTAGTGTATATTATTGAAGCAGTATTTTCCTTCCGCTTAGGCTACCTAGGAAAGGGGGGGTGGGGAAGTATATAGATTAATATAAAAGGGGTGTTTTGCTTTTTATTGACTGCTGCGCTTTCGAGGAGATGGCTGGTGTGGTTACCATTCGCGATCTCTCCTCGCCGATCGTCCCCGTCGACGCTCCGTCGGGTTGACCTCGATCGGCCGTAGCCATGGAAGGAGGGGAAGGTGGCGGCGCTCTGCTGTCGGAGCTGTACAAGAGCGCCCAGAAATTTCTGATCCGGACCAAAGAGGGCCTCACAAGGCTCGAGGCCATCGAGTTTTCCTCTGGCGCGTCATCCTCCGCATCGTCGTCCGCATCCTCCTCGTTTGCCCTGGCGGGGGACCCGATGGAGCTGTCGACAGCCGTACGGAGGGACATCGGCCAGATCCAGTCGCTCTGCGCCGAGATGGATCGCCTATGGAGGTCCATCCCCAGCCCCGGGCAACGGGGCCTCTGGAAGAGGTGAGTCGAAAGGGAGATTAGAAATTTTTCTAATAGGTAGCTGTTTGACGAAGAGCAAACAAAGATGATAATATTTGCTACCCTGTGATGTTATTCCTCACCATAACCAACCTTTTTTTCTTTAAAATAAACAATTTATCTACAACCCGGCGTTTGTCTGAGATGCTGCTTTCTTTGGATAGAGTGGCTGTATAAACTCAATTTCCCATTGACCTATGATGCCCTTTTATTGAGGATTGTTTGTGCTGGGGACAAATATTATGTCGTGCAGACGTTGGCCAATGTCCTTTTGATTAGCGAGAGTGAACCCAACATTGTCCTAAACTACTTCATTAGCAATCCGTGATTTTTACCGTCTTTTCCCACTCTTTCAAATTCTTGATGCATATCTGGCGTGTTATTTTCATGAGATGTTGAAATGGTCGCTTGCCTTTCCAAAATCTTCTTGAGCTAGTCAATCAGTTCCTATAAAGTGGATGCATTCTGTCATATAAGCTGTGCTGTATAACTTCTGCGAGAGTTCCCTTTGTCAGCAATACCATTGTTAGATGGTCATGCCTTTGATCTCATTAAGGGTCGTTACGTCTTTTCATAATTTTATGCTCTGAAGCCTGGATCAGAGTAAAAAGAGCTTCCGGCTTTGTCTGGGTTTAGGAACCATGACTACCTTATGTAGTATGATATGTCAAATGATGTAGAAAAAGCGTTTTGAATTATTTATGCCAGTTAACAGCCTTCAGCTTTTCTCAACCTTTGCAACTCGGGATATTGTCCAACATTTTTTGCTTATTGGAGAAGCTCTTTGAAGATTGGGAATTTTTTTCATGCCGCACAGACTGATGGCTCCAATGATGTTATGGTCTCCCACATATATGATAAGGAATATCAAGCATTCAAAATTTCGTGGATACTTTTTTTTTAGAATATTTTCTGAATTGTACTGAGCAGGAGAAGTTTTTGGAAATTCCTACTTTGAAAATCTACTCTTATTTGGTGTTTTTATCATCCGTGACATTTCAATGTTGCCTCGAATTGGAAATTTGCTAGACTTTGTGAACAAATATTCCTGATGTTTTTTTGCAATAGCAGCAGGTGTTGTTTAAGGAATCAAGCCTTTCTTCTTGACATCATTTGTTGAATACCGACTATTTAGACCCACAACATAACATTTGATCAATTTTCTTCGCTCTTTATGGAAGGAATACTCTGTTCATTCTTATAGGCGGGAGTCATCTTCTTGTGGTGCTCTTCACCTCGACTTACTTGTCTTCAGCTGTTTTGTCTTGAGCCACCTATACTGATTTACTTCTTCCTGCTCACATGTACTCTACTGACTGTCTTAGGATATTTGAATAGTTTTCTACTTGTCATATGTATGGAAATGCTGATTGCATTTTTTTTCTTTGCTATGCTCCTCCTACCCTTCTCATTTCCTGAACTAGTCTCCAAATTTTCAACAGAGCTTCTGCAATACACATGATTTCCTAACGCGAGGTCAATCTTTTGTGACCCAGAAAAGTAGAGCAGGTAGCGGAGGAGGCAGACTCCTTGAGGAAAAGCCTCGACAGGCAGGCACTTCGCCATGAAAGCCGGATTCAGGAAGCTAAGGACCGGAAAGACTTGCTAGAAAGAGCGGTGGGGCATCTCCCCTCTCCCCCCCATCAACTTACGGCATTAATTCCAATATTTTATATCTTATTCATCTTCATCTGGCAGAACGGGGACTCCGATCACGTGTTAAGGATCTTTGATGAGGAGGCCCAAGCTATGCAGTCAGCACAAAACTCCTCCAAGATGCTCGAGGAAGCTTATGCCACTGGCGTGGCTGTCCTTTCCAAGTACTCTGAGCAGAGAGATCGGATCAAGGTACCCTTCTCTCTCCAATTGGTGGCAGAGGACAGATGGATGCCTGGAATAGAAAGGGATTGACAGATGATCTCTTGTGGAATGCAGAGAGCGCAGAGGAAGGCATTGGATATCCTCAACACTGTTGGCCTCTCAAACTCGCTGCTGAAGCTCATTGAGAGGCGACACCGCACTGACAAGTGGATTGCTTATGGAGGGATGTTGTCGGTTATCGTGGTTGTGTTTATGTTCTGGAAGTGGATCCACTGATTCATCTGCCGCCAGTTCACCCAATATTTGCCTTTCTAGCTGGAAGGTAAGATGATTGATGCTGTATTGCTTGCTTCTCCATTTGAAGGGCAGATGTCCTGATAATGTTCTTTTGAGGACAGCGTCTTGGAGCCTTAGGCTTGTGGGGCCTGGTTTTTCCATAATTGGGCCTTCAATATCATGTTTGGAAAGTTAAATTGGCCTCCCCCACTCATGCCTAGATTGGAGTTGACCCTTGTTCTTTTACGCCCCCAAATTGTGGGGCCCATGCTCTCTCTCTCTCTCTCTCTCTCTCTACTCTCTCTTCTCTCTCCTCTCTCTCCTCTCTCTCCTCTCTCCTCTCTCTCCTCTCTCTCTCTCTCTCATCTATCTCCATATGTTGAAGTCCCTTGTTGTACAACTCTCACTTGGCATGGGGTACCTATGAGTCCACCCTTGTCCCCTTCCAATGCCTTTATAAAAAATTGTGAAATGTGATATAAATGTGTACACTCCTCACTAATCATCCTCTATAAGAGATTGTTCCTTTTGCATTGGCTACTTTTGGCATTGGTCTTGTCAATCTTGACTTCATCCTACTTATATTTGTAAATGTGGAGGCCTTAGTGTCTGTCAACAAAATGGAATAATAATAATAATAATAATAATAATAATAATAGTTATTTATTTTCCCTTAGTGTATATAATAATATACCGTTAAGAATCACTCCCATGGTGTAATTTACTGCTTAGATTGCAACCAAGAAAATTATGTACACTTAAATTTACAAGGTATTTTTCAAAGTTTTTTCTTGAGAATTCAAACAAAAGACTATAAATCTTGCACATTAATTATTCATAACATATATAGTAAAATTTATAAATCATGTTAGAGAATTCAAGGGTCACGTGAATATTTAATTTATTATATAATATAAAATTAATATCTTTCCTCTAAAATTGTTTTCCTCTAACTTAAAATTCATCATGAACTATATATGACTACCAATTACTCTTCCATCTATTTTTTTCATCATTAAAAGTATTTAGGTTTCATCAAAGTCAACACATTAAAGCTTTCATCTTCTAGTAGAAAGGTGAAAAAAATCTACAAAATCATCAAATTATCATATTTCTATATAAACATTCAAATCTATTCTTGTAGCTTTTTGTAAACACAATGAATATAATATGGGTCTTAACATACATGCACAAAATGAATGGACTATCATCAGTGTCCATGAGTATTGATTTTTTTCATTAATGTATGTTGGTCATGTTTTGGTTCCTTTTTGGTAACATGAGTTGACTTATGGAGATAACTCATTAAATTGAGAGGATGTTACAACACCATTTTAATATTTCAAATTTTTGTCCAATCTTGTTCCAAGAGTTAGGATAGAAATTTATCTTTCTTATTTCATCCTTTTAATTATGCAATGATATGAAATAATCATAAGTTTTCCAACATTAGAATGACATTCTTTGAGGTCAACATAAGCTAAGCACAAGCTCTTCCAAGTCTGGTGTAAAAAAAGGGTTGAGACTATACTCCAATGATGCAACGCCCATGCTTGTACTTCGCTCACATACTAATGAGCCTGAAGGGTGCTCAATAGCTCAACCATGTTGGGTTGAATAAATTGAGGATATTTTACTATTTTAAAAAGTATTAGGGTATAGATGCATTTGTATATTTTATCTATGTTCTTTGTAACATAAGGTGGGTCTCCACCAGGCTTAAGCGGGCAGCCAGAATTCAGGGCTAAGTAAATTAGGCTTAACTATTTCCTCTCTCTCTCTCTGGTCCCTGACCTTCTTCTCGCCGTCTCTCAGGCTCAATTCCTGCTCGCGAGAACTTTTACCACGTACGTGGACGCTGGACGAAGCACCGAGGGGCTTTCCCGCTGCCGTCTTCCCGGACGCGACGATCTGGGCTTTGTGTTTCCTCAACCCATCTCGCGTGGATCTTCAGGCACCCTCACTCCTGGTCATCTCTCTTTCTCCCTCTCTCTGTGTCTGTCAATTGTTGCACGGTGAAGGAGCTGATTTCCTTAAGTTTTCCATTCATCCATTCATATCTCCTCTTGTTAATACGCTTTGGCATGATATTATCCTGAATATTATTTTACCCCCAATCACTTCCCTTGGCCATGTCTGGGCTGGCTTATGGATCTGAGAGAGTCATGCCACTGTTCATGGCGTACTTGCGATCGAGGTCCATTTGGCATCTGGTTTCTCGAGACGACATATGTTTGAACGGGCAGGATATATCTCTGTCGCGGTGCATTGAGGCGTGCCCCATTGAGCGTTCACCTTGTTTTCGAGATCCGTTGAATCTCATTGTACGACGTGTGATTCAAAGGGTTATAGCTGGACAGAATGTTTTGTATGATTGGCTTTTAAGGAAAGAGCTTGTATTTTGGTTCATCTTCAAGCGACAATTGGGGTATTACGAAACTTCCTTTTGATATACAGGCTGAGGAATTTTTATTTAAATAGGGTATCCTTTTTCATGAATGAGAGATGGATTTAGGGAGAAGTATGTGTCATTTCAGTGTATGGTGGATTGAAGTGGGAAACGTGAAAGAGGCTGTGTGCTGTCTCGGTCCGATGGGAGATACGTTTCTTTTATCATATCACCGTAGGATATCACAGCTGCTGCTTTGCTATCAGAGGGCTGGATATTCGACGGTGCAGACTTTTTGGGAAGATGCAGGTAGGAACTTGATGCAACTGCCTCCATTAAAGAAATTCACCTTCACAATCATCACTCTAGTTCTTGGAGGTCTAACTCTATGTGAGCTAGATGTCTGAAACTTCATTTGACCCTTTAGTCATCTGCGGAAGTTGGTATCCAGTGTTTGTGGCATAGATGACGGGTTGTGCATGTTTTCTCAGGTTCTGGTTCAAGCTATCTTTGTGAAACATTTTAAATGGGGTGAATCTTGCAAGAACGAAGTGGGACTTGAAGAGACAATGGTGTTTAGATGTGCCGAGTTTTGGTGGTTCCTCCAGTGTCTAGTCTGCCGTTCTTTCTCCGTATGCAGTTTCAATCTAGGTTTATAGGCCTGAAGAAGTTCAATCTAAGTGAGTCTCCCTAGTCCAAGCGCAATGGCAAAACTGAAGATATATATGTCATGTGCTGACATCGTTGCCCATCCACTGCTAATTGGTTGCCCATTCCAGTGTAGTGGCTTGAAACGCAAGTCAACAGTTTATTGAGTTCTGATATAATAAAAGGTTTCTTACTGTGTATAAGTCAGGGTACTGTGAAGGCAGTTCTCTCAACTAAATCCATGGTTTCCTTGGTTGTGACTTTATATCAAATAACTGGCGAAACTGTCTGTGGTTTTGTGGTGTAATTGTCCTTGGGAATTGAATGAGAGAAACCGTTGTCTTTCCATTTTATTCCATTTTATTTGCTTTCAATCATTACATACTGTGCTGACTATTGCGAAATTCATGGCCAACATTATTGGTTAACTGTTTAGATTATAGCATAACATGGAACTATTTTTACATTCCGAAAGTCCTTTGGATACCTAATCGGGTTGGTCCTTTAAGAAGATCTGTAAGAGTTGTGTATGTGATTTTCTTTCTACCAGATTATCTTAAAGAAACCTGGATGAGACATGGGGTAGACTGCTTAAAAGCCTTAGACGGCTACTTTGGCGCTGATGAAACTCTAATGGGGATGTTATTAGTTTTTTCACATTGGGGTAGACAGCTTGCTTTTTTGATCTGACTCGGTATACTTTGATTAGCATTGATGTTTTCAAAATCTACATTCACATTCATCACAAACAAAGAGGAAGTAAAAGCTGTTATCCTCACTTTTTTAATGCAGTATGTGATAGTGTAAGAAACTTTATGGGTGAAAGCATTGTATTATGAGATCATTTACGTATTCTTTTTCATTTTTGGTATTCGTTTACAATATGAGAAGTTTTAGACGTCATACTGCACTGGAGGTGTCACTTGAGGTTGATCGTATATGTATGAAAAATGCTGAATGTATGACTGAAATTTCAATACCAAAAACCTTCAAACCAACAGTTTTAATTTTAAGTCTAAGTATATGCAAATGCTAAAAAGCGGGATAAAGCTAAAGCAACTAAGGTGATCTCCTGTGTACTGTGATCAATGGCCCCTATGTTATTGCAACTAGTGCAACTTCTCAGTCTCAACTAAATCCAAACAAGAAACAATGAAGAGATCTCTCTATCCTCTGACCAAGTTTTTAGAATAGCTGAAAAAGAAAGATTATTTTATATCTTTTTGAAACCAAGACACACAATCCTAGAAGAAAATTAGTAAAAGGAGAATCATTGGACGAAGTGTGGGATGCTAACTTTGAGGCATAGGATTTCTTGAGGCACCTGGTGCCCCTTCGTGTTGTCCAATTTATACTCATATCTACCATCTTATGCCTCTTCTCCTTGAAGGCCTTGTCTTTGTAGAGCTGACCAAAACAAGTGGCTTACCTTGGCCACGAATTAGGTTTGCCTGTGAAAACCTGGACCCAAGAAAGTGTTGATATGGAGTGTGCATGTTTTTATTGCTATGGCATCTCTGGATTGTTTAGTAATGGAGCCCCCCCTGGAATTCATGTTACCGTGGTTCTTTTTCCATTGGTGGAGTGTCCAACATTCAACCACTCACATCTTATTGTTCAGTGGGTTTAAAGAAAAGAATTTTCTTGCACTTTTTCTCTCTTTTCTCGGCCTTGCCTATGATAGTGTTTTGCCTGAGCCAGGAAGGGGCAAGACAGTTTTTGTTTTCAGCAACAACCCATTTATACCCCTAGGTACCCAGTTCTTATGGTTCTTCCATTCTTTTACTCATACTAAAAGGGCTTCGTTGTTGGTTTCCCCTCACTGCATGAAATGTTATTGCTATTATGTCTTATTTGTTATATTTTGCGTGTTTTTATTTGTTTGGTATTTTATTTCCTTATTAGCAGGACATTTGGCATTTTTATTGGATCGCTTATCCTAAATAGGTTCCATAAATGTGATCGATATTAGAAATTTGTTAGTCAACCCCACTTGCAGAAGCCTAGTTGGTAAGAAGACCTACGCTTTTTTGTGTTTTTTTCCCCTGAGAATCCTTTCTTGGTTTCTTAGAATTGACAAAACATATGTATGATCATACATGTACTCAGATAATTTCGTCTTAATTCTCATATGGTCGAAATGTAAATGTTGATATGCTGAAGTATCCTAGAACTCAACTGTATTCATTTATTTAAGACCCAGATTTAATCATGTCCACGGCACCTCATATGGTAACAGCATAAAAAACATGTGAATATTTAATCCCTCTTTTGATATCTTATTTGCATATGTTTTTTGTATTGCACCATGGATGAGATGCAGAACATCTTTAAAAAAATTATAGGTATTGTGAGGAAAATATGGGTATTTTGACATTCTCTTCTAAATGCAGTATCAGTCTTTTTCTGCAGATTTGTATTTGCATTGTAATAACTGAAGAATGGAATCGGTTTTTATGCACACTCCTCGCTGTTCTTGCCCTCACGCTCCTGTGCATATCTTCTTTGTTCAGTGCAGGTAGCAAACCCAGAGGAAAGAGCATCATACATGGCAGTACGTGAAGATCTGGGTGTCTCTGAAATGAAATCTGGTGGTGATGATGAATTGTCAATGTTCAACAAGGAAAACCTGCAGAGCAATATGAAAGTCATTTACTATAGGTGATTTTGTCTACCCCTGTCTTTTAATTATTCTACCTCTCATTATCTTAGTTTGGTTTAGATTTTTTTTGAACTACACAACAGCGACGTTCTTAAAACGATTAAAATAACCTAGATGTCGGTCTTTAACGTGAGGCTTGGGAGAATTTATAAATAAAGTGTTATTAAATATTTGTCTAATATGATGAGATATACACATACGTGATAATGCTGAGTTGAACAAATAGAGTTTCCATAGGTGATATTTATTAAGAACAAAGAAAAAAAATAAACTGCTGTCATAAAGAGGCATTCTAAATAAATAAATATTAAAATAAATATAGATTTCAATGCTATCTTTTAAATGCTCTCAAGTGTTAATGCCTATTAGTTTTTATACATAGTGTGATAGATGCAAATAAAAAACATGCTTGCTTCTCTATGCTTCCCTTGGAGGTCGTGTTAAGGTTTTTGATAGATGCAGTTGTGGTAAACCCTGACATTTATGTCTGGTTGCGTACAGCTGCCTAGCCAATGCAATGCAGTCATCTGATGCCTTGGTGGTCTGAGGTGCCTGGGTGACTTGGGCATCTGAGCTGCCTCTTTGGTCGAGTGCCAGGCACAACCCTCAAAAGTCTATGCCAATGGGCTTACTTGTTCCAGTTACCTTATAGAATAGTGTGATCTTTTATTTGTGTCGTTATACAACTAGCATATATTAGCTCGAATTTTGGAACGCTGCTGGAAGGTTCTGTAAAGAGTGAATAATTTTTTCCTCATCTTTCATCTTCTTACTTCTACTTTGCCCACTTACATGCACAATTCAGTAAATTTTTAAGCTAGACGGAGGATACACTTTAGTTTTACTGACTCATGATAACAGAGAAGTGCATTGTGTCATCTGTTTCCGCATTCCTTTGGAACATAATTTAATTCTTCCAGCATCATGCAACTTTACTAGCTTACACACTGAAAACTTAGATCTACTTCTGTTTACTCTTGCAATTGAAGATTAAACAGCCTACAAGTTCGCCACTCCTTCCATACAGAAATTTTGTTGCCGTGATTATAACCTAATATTTACTCAGGATGAAGCACATACCTGTAAAGTACAATAGATTTATTCCTTTCTGATTGGAATTTCTTGATAACGCTGTAAACTTAAGAATTTATTTCACACATCAGATATTATGTCTATCACTTACATGTGTAAGTTTTTCTGCAGTCGGACATTTTTGTCAATCATTGGAGGAGTAATTGCTGGGATTTGGGGATTTACAGGCCTGACGGGCTTCATTTTCTACGTTTTGATCATGGGAATTACTTCACTAGGGCTAGCAGCAAAGGCGAAGTTCTCTGCACAGACATACTTTGACAACTGGAACAGGATTCTGCTAGATGGTTTTTTTGGCGGACTAATGGTGATCATCTAACTCATTCACCTGAATCAGCGTATCACTAGGGCTGTTTTCTTTTCATGGCAGTGAAATGTTAGCTTTTCTCTTGATTGATGTCCTTCGAGACCTTTCTGGTTGGTTTCCCTTGCAAGTTTTACTTTCATCTCGCTCAAGCCATTTTAGAAATGGGCTGAGGTAGTCATTTTCCTTAAGGGCATGTAACTGACAATAGACGTCCATTAGTTCCTCATTAATCTTAATACGGATATTATTAGAAAATGAGTCATGGAGAAAGCAATTTCTAAACTATAGAGGTTTAATCTTTGGTTTCCTCTTTTTCTGAGGTTCACTGTTTTATTCTTGCCAGCTATATAGTATACCTTGTCTTTTATCTGCGAATGCTATGTACTCCAGATGTGATACTTGATTGAAAGCTGTAAATGAAGTTTGATGGGGGAGATGCCCCTTAGACTGAACTGCCTATTTTCAGAGGTCAAAGCATGTTTCCCCAGTCATGTTCCCTGATGCCACTTGAGGGGGCATAATTACTGCAGATAATTTACCAGACTCATGGCTTTAGCAGTAAAAGAGCTTAAGTAATCACTTGGACTTATCTACATTACAAAATGAATATATAGCTTGAAAATCTGTCATCTCAACCAACTATTTCTTTGCCTGTGATTCGATCTTCTCAATGCTATCTTTATCCTCTTCTGTTCTCTTGTTCCGTTTCCCTGTAATGAGACAGATGGCACTAATCACATTTCTTACTTTTTCTGCAGTCGTTCGTGCTGTTCTGGACGTATCCTTTACCATCTTTTGGATTCATGCATTTTTAATATTTTTTTTATCATCCGGAATCATTATCTTAGACAATGCCCCGTTTCAGAAGTTGCAAATTAGAGTAGATATCTCAGCTGGTGCTTCAAGGATGATCCTTATTGTGCTTTTCTAGACCGTAACCTCTCCGCCCTTACTCCCTCACACTGGCCCCGTTTCAGAGTAGAAACCTTTTGATTCTTCGTCTCTGTGATGAGGATTTGAACCTCCACATTTCAACTTCTCACAATCTATTCCACTCCATCTCTTGGAACGGTCACATTAAAATCGATAGTGAGGCTGCTTATGTTTATTAGGTACCCATCATAATCTTTCTGTCTTTTATACATGAAAGCTGAACAAACCCAATTGAGTTTTCCTGGTTCAGTATTTTGTGGGTTCGATTAAAGAAACTAATTTATTTCCGAGGATGTTGAATACCTCATTTGTGGGATCAGTCACCTTTGGATCAACATAGATTTTACAATGTTATCTGATGGAAGTGATTCCTTTGACCTAATCTGCTAGTATTCTTCCTTGACGTCTCCAGATTTGCTTATGATATTGTACATATTTTCTGATGAAGAGGAGGAAGATGGAGCAGCTTTCATGAACAGGGCCTTAGAGTTTCCTGGGGTCAGGAACCTTTTGATTCTTCGTCTCTGTGACGAGGATTTTGAACCTTTCAGCTTCTCACAACCTCTTCCATTACATCTCTTGGAACAGCCACATTAAAATGTTTATTAGTTATCGATTATAATCTCTGTCTTTTATACATGAAAGCTGAACAAACCCAGTTGAGTCTTCCTGATTCAGTACCTTGTGGGTTCGATTAAAGAAACCCGTTTATTTCCGGGGATGCTGAATACCTCATTTATGGGATCAATCACCTTTGGATCAACATAGGTTTTGCAATGGTATCTGATGTAAAGTGATTCCTTTGACCTAATCTGCTAGTGTTCTTCCTTGACGTCTCCAGATTTGCTTATGATATTGTGCATATTTTCTGATGAAGAGGAGGAAGATGGAGCAGCTTCTAGGGTGGTAGTCGGCTAAAACTATGAACGGATGAAGACTAAATCTCCCCCTTCTTTTTCATTTCGCTGAGGCAAGGTTCTGTTTTGGGTAATGAGTTCGATCCCTTCTATATTTTTTAGGCTACAATATTGCTAAGAACGCAGGCATTGTATGTGATCCATTGCCCACACCTACTGGCCGGGTGGTCTATGCTTAATAAATTCCATCAACATAGACCATATTGGTAGATTACTTCTCACAATATAATAATAATAACTATTATTATTATTATTATTAGTATGATTACAATCCTCTCTCTGGTATCCACATCTTGTAGGTTTTTTTAATGAGACTGACGCAATCAGACATGTTTTGTTAGTGCACTTTAATTTCAGAAATCATATGAATATTTATTCGTGGTTAATCTTCTTGTTGCATTTTCATATGGGTTTGGATGGGGGAAATCAGACTTGTTGGGGTCTAGAATCTGACATTTGACTTTTGGAGGCAATATGGTAGTAGAAGATGGGGAAAGGACTCCCCAAATCTTATAAGTTGTTAAAGGTTTACCCTTGATAAATGTCTTATAAACCCCAGATATGTGACATTTATCATAGTTACCTAACCAAAACTTCTGAGAAGGTAGCAAAGCAAGCGAGGAGCCACACCTTGAGACCATGAGACTGACGGGCTTGTTCAGTATGAAGAGGAATGTAAAATCTGGCTCAAGTTCAATAAACTCCCTACTCTACCTAGAAGAATTACAAAATATTTCAAAATTACAGGCCTGAGATTAGCATTCTGTGCGGCCGAGCCATCCCCCATTCATCAGAAAAAATTTGTCTGTGATTGCTAGAGAGCAAAAGAATAGAAGGGGCTATACATATCAATAAGGCTTGGTATCAAGATTGTCTCCAGGCCAAGTGGCTTCACAGTCTAGGACAGAGTCCTCCCATCTGACAAGCGCTTCATCTGGAGGGCCGCCCTCACTATGTGGCCCCTGGTGATGATCCCCACCTACAGAGCAGGAGATCTACAACTCAGGAAGAGGGAAGGAGGGCTTGAATGAAGAAAGCAGAAATATGGGTTGGGACATGGATCATACCAATTTACCGGCGCTATCAACAACAGGAAGCCTGCGGTACTTAGTCTCCAGCAGTAGCCTGTGAAGGAACCGTGTGAAGGTAAGCATTCTCTCTTATGGGCTACTTTTTTTTTTTTTTTTTTTGTGTTCCTCAAGTGAAAGACTCCAATACCTAGCGGCATCTCCGAGATTAGTGGTCTCCCTCACAACAAGAGGGGCGGGCGTCATTAAGTCTCCTATGACTTTCCCATTTGTTTTGCTCAGCAGCTTCTGAATCTCGTTGAATGTCTGCAAGGATGATGAATATGGGGTCGTACATCAAGCAAGATAGTTAGATGGGATCTTGGCAATAGTGGGTTGACTAAATGAGGAAGCATGAAAGTCCTATTTTTGAATGATGCACATTTCAATTCCCTTTCAATTGAGCTCACATATGGAGGGGGAGACATGGAGTTACCAAACTCCGTTTCTGACAATGCCAAGACAAATAGTTCACATAAATAATGAGATTTTTATAATAATATAGTCAAATCATAGCAACTGACAGGGAAGATGGCCAGTTCCCGGGTTGATGATATGCTTAGATAGCGGATATATGCACTTCGTATGCATCAAAACAACCCAAAAAATGGACTTTCAGAATGAATTCAGGTGATGCAATGCCGTCAAGGATGAGCTTTCCTCTGTCAGAGATAGTTCAAAAGCAGGAAAAATAAAGACAAGTGGTTGGAAGAATGAGACATACTTTCCAAGTGCTATCGACTTCAGGGAACAAAGCAGTATCACTCCTGGTACCTAATCAACAACAGATGCAGCAAGGAAAAGGTCAAAATCACAAAGAGATGCAAAGTTGAAAAAATCAGGTGAAGAAAGAATGTCTTTTCTCCTGATGAGAATTCCATCAATTCCTGCTGCATGCTTGAGCATTCATTAAATTCTTTTCTCCTGAATACCGATCCTTGGGTTCAATATGATGTCAACAAAGTTTCCGTTGAGTTTGACCAGCTCAGAGACAGGCAGCTTATGTTACATCGGCTATAGATTGTGGTAATTAATGTCGTTATGATATTAGTCAACTGGGGACCCTTTAAAGGTTCTCAGCCAATTTAGATGCCTTGTCCTCTCAATCAGCCCTTGAAAAAAGGTATTTTATATTTTTTTTTTCATAGAACATTTATTATAAGTCTAAAAAATCATTTCTACTCAACCCAGGCCGATGGGATTGCAGTCACTCAGACAAATCAGCACGACTAGCTGGGCTTCTCTGGACCTGTGTGTTATTGACAGTGTATCATGTAGCTTCTCTGGGGGTGCAAGCTCACATCCATGGAAAGATGAGAGAGCTACCCTCTTAGTAGGAATGAAATGTGTCAAAATAATAATAAAAATAAATTATAATAAGTAAAAGCACGAGAGATGGAGTCATTAGGGTGAAGTACCTGATATGGAGTCCAGGGCAAGTAAATCATAGTCTGAAACCACGCCAACCTGGAGACATGGAGATTAAAACCCACTCGGTAAGCAGATGATTCATCATTAGAAAAGATACGACTTACAGAAATTTATGAATGTTCCTGAAATGATAATTACATTCACTAGAAGAGTGATGTCTGATGTTTTAATATATGAGGAACTCTGCCCATGGCTGGAAGGAGCAAGGAAGAAAAAACATGCCAATCTACGGTGAAGAATGAGATCTTAGATGACCTTAGAAGAATCACTAGGCTTATTTTGACGGATATAATAGCTTTTTCTAGTCAAACATTTAAAGGAATGAATGACATGAAAAAAAAAAAAAAAAAGGAAAACAAGCAGAAGCACGCACCAGTGTCCAATCGTCGTCAATCACTGGGAAACCAGTTATTCTGCTCTCCACCAGGATCTCCAGGGCTGTAGACAGCGGGATATATAAGTTAGCAGCTGATTACACAAAAAATCAAATATATAAACCAGAAGATGTGGTCACCTCTTTCAATGGTTGTCGTAGGCTTCACAACTTTCAACTCTTCTCTCTTGGTCATGAAGTCACCTACTCTGTAGATGTCATTATTGGCCTGCATATGAGCAAGGCACGAAGGAGCAAGGGAGGTTTGATCAGATATCACGGCAGCAAACAGCTTGTCAGCTGCTTTAGTATGATTTTTTTAGAAGATAGACAGCGCACAATGAACAACGGGAATGAACGATGTGGGCCCAGCAATGGACATTCTTTAAAGGATCAATTGACTTTCAGATCTGTCATGAGTAGCTCAACAGGCTCCACCTCAAGGCCGAAAGCTTGGAGATCACAAGGGGGCTCTGCTTTGGTTGACTGAAATCAGATGGGCAAGGTTCTTTTTTCAACACAATATTCTCCAAATCCCCATATGAAACCATTGGGGTTAGCCATCACCCTTTCTGAACCATGCCTCTCTCTCTCTCTCTCTCTCTCTCTAGGATGTTTTACCATGGCAGAAACTAGCTAAACCCTGGGGATTGAGATGCTCAGAAATCGAACGCAATTATCTCACTGAAAAAAGGGGGAGAAGCCAAGATCCAGCGGAAGTACAGAAGGAAATCAGAGACAAACCGTATTCTCCAGCATGGAAGAGAGAAGGCAATTACGGGGCGACTCCCGCGGAAGACGAGGAATTACCTGCGCAGAGTTATTGCTCAGGAGAGCGCTACTACCGCCGGTGGCCCCCGAGGGAGTTCTGACTCGAAGCGCCACCCTGCGCCAGCGCGCAGAGGAAGGGTATGCAACTGTGGTGCCGTAGGCACGTAGATTTGGAGAAAAGGCGGGCAAAGAGCCACCCAGAGAAGAACAGGGCAACGACGAGCAAGGGGCGGCGTCCGCGAGGAGGAAGGAACTCATGGCTGCCCCTCGTCCAATGCCTTCTTCCCTCCAAACGCAAACAGCTAGAATGAAATGACCCCAATATATAGCCCCCACCCCCCAAAAAAGTACAGGCTCCCCCCCTCTTTCCCCCCCTCCCGCGAGAATTCCTCCTCCTCCTCCAACCCCAGAGCAGTCTCCCCGTCTAGAGCCTTCCCCGGTCGGCAGCGGCGGCGGCGGACCCGCTCCAACCTCCGAGAATTGGGGAAGAAGACGAAGGAGTGAAGGGCAAAGCTATGGTAAAGGTAAACCCGCGTGGAGAACGCGGGCGAGGAAATCGCCGCAGGGATTGCTCGGGATTTCCCGGCCTTCACGGAACGCCGTTGAAGAAAATATCTCCGGTCGCCTTCGCTCCGCCTACGCCGGAGGATAGCGTCTGCTCCGTCGGCGGGTGGCGACTTTCTCGCCTCCTTCCCGTGGGCGGCGGAGGGGCAGGACCGTAATATCCTCCAGACCAATCCTAGACCACCCATTCCCTACCGAATATACAAACCTATATATTTAAATAATTAATATTATTATTATATTTCCTAATTTCAGGGATGGCTGGAAAATACAGAAAAATAATATGTAATATTCGAAAATTGAGAAAAATTGTGAAGATATTCGGGAAGGGGCGAGAGCAGATATAACTGATCATCCAGGGTATGCGGTCTATTGTCTATTACAGAGAGGACTTTTGTGTTACATTACACCTTGAGATGGTGACGTGGCAGACAGAGTAACAGATAGTGGCGGTGACGTAAAAATCCCAAACCTTTTACCATCTCACTCGGCCTGGAGAAGCGATAATTACATGGGAGAGTGCCAAGTGGCAGGCAGAGAGAGAGGGAGAGAGGCATTGACTAGCGCACTCCCAACGGGGGTAGAGAGAGAGAGAGAGAGAGCCCGGTTTCGGCATCTGGATATGACGTCGCCATCAACCACCGGAACCGACCTTTATCCTTTTTCAGCTCTCTCTCTCTCTCTTCCTCTCTTCTCTCTCTCTAGCCTTGCCGGTCGTCGTCAACCTCTCTCCTGCTCAGTCGCCGCCGCCGCCATCGCCGGAGCTCTCCGGGCTCGGCCGCCGGTTCAGATCTGGGTTCTTCGACGCCCTCGCCGGCGGCGCTGCCGCCGCGTGGGGCCGCCGGCGGAAGGCCCTCGGCATGTACAGCGCGTCCACCCGGGCCCCCACTTCGGCAGCTTTCTTCCTTATCAGCGCCGCCGGCAGCGCCTCCCCTCCTCCGCCGCCGCCGTGGTGGCGCCGCCGCTGCTCCTCCTCCTCCGGCGGCGACGGCGGTGGCAGCTCCTCCGGGAAGTTGAGGTGGGCGGCGCCGCCACGGAGGTAGAAGACGGCGGTGTCGTAGGCCCTGGCGGCGGCGACGGCGGTGGAGTAGGAGCCCAGCCAGATCCTCGACCGCTTCTTCGGCTCCCTTATCTCCGCCACCCATCTCCCCCACTTCCTCATCCTTACCCCCCTATACTGCTGCTGCTGCCTCTCCCCTCCACCCGCCACGGCGGCGCGCTCCATCTCTCTCCTTTCCGCCGCCGCCTCGCCGCAGCCGGCGACCGGTGGTGGCGACTCCTCCCTCTCCATCCTCCTCTCTCTCAACCCTCTCTCTCTCTAGAATTTTATAGCCCTGCTGATGATCGTAGTCTCAGGTAGAGCTTAGCTACTCGGCGGCTTCTACCTTCCCTCCCTATCCCTCCACCGCCTCGCCGACATCACGGAGACCCAGAGAGAGAAAGAAGAGAGAGAGAGAGAGAGAGAGAGAGAGAAGAAAGAGAGAGGGGGGGGGGGGTTTGGAAGGGCGGGCAGGGTTTGTCGGCAGACGAATATAGGTGATGGGAGCCGGCGGTAGTCGGTGAGTTCGTTTCGGCACGCCAACGGAGACACGTTAGCCAGTAATAGAGAGCCACGTGGGACTCGTGCGTGGACCCTCGCACAGAAGCGGTGGAGGAGAAGCTCGGTGCCGCCAGTTGACTGCTCAATCTTATAAAAAAGGTCTACCGGACAGCTCAACTAGGGGCCCACTACTTAATCCAAATTAAAGTGGCATAACGACCTTATTTACACTTCCACGTGGTCCAACGTTGACTATGGACTAGTTTCCCTTCTCTCCAGATTTTTGGAAGGCGGGTGGTGGTCAATAGTCCTAGTCCGGGCCCACGCCTTCCCACGTCATCAAAACAGAGAGAGAGAGAGAGCGTAGTCCCTGGCAAAAGATCTGTCTGGGTCGGAGTGGTTATTGGGCTTAATGGGCCCGTTAACAGCAATTTCTCTTCCTATATGTTTATTACAATATGCCCCCCCTTTAGTTAATTTATTTACTAAAACATGGGCTTCGATGGGGATACCGACCATAACTAGGCACACAGGTGTTTTCTGTTAACGGAGGAGGGTACAACGTTGTACCTGTAAGGTTTATGGGTTTTCATGAAAAAGGTCCTTCGAGCATAATTCGGTAATCTCGGAAAGAGTCGGTTCTCAGACGCCCGTTGCGGAGGGAGTTGTGAGTGCCGCCATCTTCCTCGCCGCCGTGGGCTTCCTCCCAAACCCTAGAAGGCTACCTTCTCCGAGGGGCCGAGGGTTGGAGGAAGAGAGGAGGCCGCATGGCGGGGAAGCGGATGCGCAGCCGCGGGGTCGGCTCAGTGGTTGACAGGGGCCTCCTCTTCAAGCGCATCCAGGAGCTGGAGGGGGTGGTCGACATCTACGATGTCGGATGTGTGGTGGAGCATCTCCGCGAGCTGTACAGAGATTATGGCAGCAAGAAGCTGATTCCCTTCACCCACTGCGTCCAGCAGGCCCTGGAAGGCTACCGCCATCGGCAGAGGAGGCAGCAGGCGAAGCACAAGGAAGGTGGCGATGACGAGGGAATGAACGAGGCGACGCCATCCTCGCGGAGCCCGAAGCGATTTAAGATGTCCTCCGCGGCGTCCTCCTCGTCGTCATCTGTTGGATCAGCTGACGAGGATGCGGTCTTCGACATGGAAGTGAAGCCAGAGTTCGATTTAATGAAGTCGGCAATTAGGGAGAGTTACAGCAAGTCGCGACAGCAACCGGTGAGCAGTCGCCCAAAAAGGGAGGAGGACGTCCAGGAGGATAATGCCGTGGACCGCAAGCTGTTGAGAGCGACCGAGTTTGGAGTCACTACGCCTGTGTCGTCGGGACAGGGTGACGGAAGGGGAGCTGAATTGGTAGGCTGCAAGGGGAAGGATGGCCCCAGGTTCAGGGATTTTGGAGGAATCGAGGGGATATTGGACGAACTGATGATGGAAGTGGTGGTTCCTCTGTGCCACCCGCAGTTGCCAGCGACGCTTGGTGTCCGTCCCATATCTGGGATCCTTTTGCATGGACCACCAGGGTGTGGTAAAACTAAGCTGGCCCAAGCTATCGCCAACGAAACAGGAGTGCCATTCTATAAGATCTCTGCTACCGAAATTGTTTCTGGAGTCTCTGGTGAGGGATTTGTTCAGAAATTGCTAAGACTTAGATTTCGAAAAGTGAAAAGTCGATTCTATCAATGTTGAATGTAGTTAAATGATTTTGAACTTCAAGCATAAAGTACTTACTTTTGTAAAAGGTTTGCTCGTTTGAATTTGGCACCATATGAGACATGGAATGACCAGTGACATTTATTAGGGATTTATTCAAAGGTTGCAAAGGCATAGATTTTGAAAATTTAGAGTCGATTCTGATAAGTGTTGAGTTTAGTTAAAGGCCTTTGAACTTCGAACACAATATACTCAATTTGTGAAACGTATGCTAGTTTAAATTTGATTCCGTGATGAGACATGGAATGACCAAAAAAAATTAGTCAGACCACTGAAGGACACATCTTTTCAATGAAGATTATAAAGTTTAATCAAACGATTGAAGGATTGATAAGTTGCTGTGTGGGCGATCAGTAATGGCATCCTTCGTTGTAGAAGTAATTGAGCATTAGTGATGCCATCCTTTGCAAAACCAATTTCTTACACGAATACATTCCTTCTTACAAAAACGCTTATTTTACAGAAATCGTAAACTTTGGATCTAATTGATTAGAGGGGTGAAGGAAAACAGCAAATTTATGCACTTTGACAGAAAAAGAGATGAGGATAATTGGCTTCTAAAGACTATATTTTCTAGTCATGGACTAGATACATATTCAAGGAGAAGTGTCATCTTTAATCCTGCTTATATGAAGCACAGTTAACTGCTAAAAAAATAAAATTTATATGTGAATGCTTACGTTCTTGGAGCTTTATCCCTACTGTGGTGCTTCTGTATATATTTAGTGTAAAATCCTATTTGATATGTGTGCATGTGTTTTTCAGTTATGAGCTCTTAGCTATTATTGATATGACAGGTGCATCTGAAGAAAATATTAGAGAGCTCTTTAAAAGGGCATATCGTACAGCCCCTTCTATCGTTTTCATTGATGAGATTGATGCTATTGGTTCCAAAAGGGATAATCTACAAAGGGAAATGGAAAAGCGAATCGTGACACAGCTGATGACTTGCATGGATGAATCACACCAAGCACTTGGAGCAGCAGATGCTAAATTAGATGTAGAGCCTTCTGAGAAGAAACCTGGCTATGTTCTTGTAATTGGAGCTACAAATAGACCAGATGCAGTAGACCCAGCACTGAGAAGACCTGGGCGTTTTGATCACGAGATATTTCTAGGTGTCCCTGATGAAAAAGCGCGTAGAGAAATCCTGTCAGTTCTTACGGAGAAACTTAAACTCGATGGTGCATTAGATCTTTCAAAGATAGCCAGAGCCACATCTGGATTTGTTGGAGCTGATTTGGCAGCTTTAGTAAACAAGGCAGGAAACCTAGCAATGAGGAGGATTATTATTCGAAGAAAATCTGAACTTCCAGCGGAATCAACAGAAGATCAACATGTGACATGGTGGAGGCAACCATGGACACCTGACGAAATCGAGAAGCTCGGTATTTCAATGGTCGACTTTGAGGTAATATGCCTGGAGTAGTAAACTACACAAATGATGGGATATTTCCTCTACAGATGCATATTTTACTTACTTTAATTGGTGCATCAATACTTACTTTAATTGGTACTATAGTATGGAAGTAATATCGGATTAAAAATTATCATTGAAAAGTTAGTATTTTTTGCGCCTGTCAGTGACGATTTCGTTCATCAACAATGTCTGGCTTGACTGATATATTGCCTTTTATTTTTTAATCGAATCCACTGTAAGGCGAGTAAAGTCGATCTTTCAATTCACTTGGTTATTGGTCCTTCCTAATGCATTGTCCATATAATCTATGTTCTGTGAAAAAAAAATAAGACATTCAATATTTGTCTCGCTTTCGATCCACAATCCCTAAATCTTACATACATGTTTAAGTGCTAAATCGAGTGACATCTTTGGTATCTTTGAGAAATATATCTAGTGTGTGCAGCCAATCGAGTGACATTATTGCTGGGTTCATTATCTGAAGTAGTTTTTTGAGGGCGTCTACCAGTTGAATGGATATATGGTGCTTTATGTTTTAAGGTGATGACAGAAAAATATTCTGTAGTTATCAAGTATCATTTGTTTTCATACAAGAATGATAACTGGATCTGCAGCTGTTTGAGGGAGGAGAAAGGGACCATTCTCAATTGACTCGTTCCACTATCCATGTGGAATAATTGCGCTGGTAGTTTTAATTGAATAGCTGGCAACTGACAGTTATTCTCCCATAGAAAACTGTGTCAATATGATATTTTTTTGATGTCTCAAGTTTTTTTCTTTAGTTAGTATCAGCTATGGAATTTTTCTAATTTCTCAGGTTTTTACCGCTATCCTTTTTGCTTAAATTAGGAAGCAGCTAAGCTGGTTTTACCCTCTTCAAGAAGGGAAGGTTTTTCTTCCATACCTGCTGTTAAATGGGAGGATGTTGGCGGCCTTGATTCTCTGAGAAAAGATTTTGATCGACACATTATTCAACGTGTCAAACATCCTGAGAAATATGAGGTTGGTCTCCATTTTATCCCATTTTCATGTATCAGCCCCTCGGATCTTAAGCAGTGTGAACTCTTCTTCTCTTTTATGAGCCTTTACTAATTATTCATGACTATTTGAATCTGTTTTTTTTTTAGCTGAATTTTCTTATCTTCCTGTCTACTGTACAATAACACATTGGAGTAGAATCAAGTCTTGTTGCGCCACCAGCATGAGATGAATATTAAAGAATGATTTGAAACGATTTCTCAGAAAGAAAAGTGCGGACAAAGATACTGGAGTAATAGGTGACAAATGAGATTGATTACCTACCTTGGGTAGCTTACCCCAAAGAGTGCGTTGCAAATCAAGCCAGATGATATCATAACACTTGACTTGTTTACAAGTATTATCCTTAATATACTGAGGAATGCTTTCAATTTTCATGATTCTCGTGTCAGGTTAGAGTTTTTTATATAAATCGATGTATCATTTACCAGCCCAAGGTTATCTTAGAATGCCATGCCAGAATAGCTAGATGCAATCTCGAGTCAGGTAAAAAAAGGGCAGCCAAATAGGCTGAGCTAAGGGAAAAGACTGCTTTGGTTAAATTATAGATACGAAAAAGGACTCCTAATATACGACAATAAGCGGATATGAAATGGGTTACAGCTTTCTGTCTCGTAGAGATCCTAGAAGGACTTTCACGAAATCTCTGGTTGTTCTCGTAATTTGAAGGTTCCCGAAATTGGTAGTAAAGGCAGGTGTAGGAATTAGATAATGGGACCATTTGACTAGGTATCTGCTTCTATTGTGTACTAATTCAATTGCTTTCTTAGGCGCTTTCAGTTCTTTCGGTTGCTTTAGATTTTTCAATTCCTTTAGGATATATCTCCTTTTAGGACGATAACTCCGGTTTTTTTTTTTTATATAATGATTGGGCAGTCATGAAAACCATAAAGACGTGCCCTAATTAGGTACCTCATCCACGAATTTCCATAAAATGAATGCTTTGATTTTCTGATTGGTTCAAATTACTATTATTGATTACAAACTTATGGTAGAAAGCTTTCCTTTCCCCAACAAAATATGGATATTAAAGGAGAGAACAACTTTACAGGATAAGCAGATTCTTTGAGATAAGAGGGAACATAACATGATACAGTCAAATATAAAGAGGCAGAAGATTCTACCTGAAAGGTTGCATTCCATCTTATCTGATGGCACCAAAAGCTTAGATTCCTTACTCCTGATGGATTGTGGCTATCAATCGTTTCAATGCACATGCTAGATTTAAGCTTCTGATGCCACTTTTAGGTTTTCTGACCATCATTCTTGCTTGATGTATTAAAACGTTGTAATAATTTTGTAGAACGCTAAAATGGAATAAAAACTTGTTCCTTCATTATTTAAAGCTGCCAAGTGCTGATTTATGTTATGTTTTCATATCTCATCTGTCACTGTCATAAGATCTCTCCTCGATTTCCAGTCTTATGAATTTCCCTCCTAATCTCAAGTTAAAGCTACCTCAATGTTTCTTGTTCTCTATTTTACCGACTTTTTCAGGAGTTCGGATTGACATTGGAAGCTGGATTTCTGCTTTATGGCCCTCCTGGCTGCGGTAAAACACTAATTGCCAAGGCTGTGGCAAATGAAGCCGGTGCCAATTTTATCCACATAAAGGTCACATTCTATATCATTAAGCTAGAACTTTGTTGCCCCAGGCTGTTCAACATCGATCTGAATCTCCTCATAGTTTTCTTAATTTTAGGGTCCCGAGCTCTTGAACAAGTATGTTGGGGAGAGTGAGTTAGCAGTGAGGACAATATTCGGCCGTGCCCGGATTTGCTCTCCATGCATACTATTCTTTGATGAGGTATACGATCTCTGATCAGACCTCCTCTCCATACATATCCTTGAGGCCGCTGTCTATGTGCCGCCTGTCATATACATCCCTGATCGGACAGAAACTTCAATGATTTCGTTAAAGAAAGTAGTGATAAATTGCTACGGATTAACTTTGAAGGGCTTGGTGGGGTTATTGAGGAAGTAACCAACATGTTCCTCATGCAGAAAACTATTTTCTTTTTCTCCAGACATTCAGCACTCAATAACCTCATCGATGAATGCACCACCTGCTATGAAACAATTTCATGGAAAACTATCTTTCTCTTCAATCTCCCAGATAGATGCGTTGACCATGAGGCGAGGAAAAGATGGCGATTCAGTCGTCGATCGGCTTTTAATGCAGGTTAAATTTCTATGAAGATCCATTAAACAGGCTACTACACCATAGGCCTTTTCTTCTCCTACTGTTTTTCAATTCTCTTCCATCGTGGGGTTTATGCAGCTGCTCATAGAGCTGGATGGTGCCGACCAGCGGCACGGAGTCTTCATCATCGGCGCCACAAACAGGTGACGATCAGCAAGCCACCATTTTTCTTACTCTGGTTTTCTTATATTCCAGAACTTCTGGGTCTCAATCAATCTCCACTTTGGTTCTCTTCTCCGCTAGACCTGAAGCAATTGACCCAGCCATCCTCCGGCCGGGGAGGCTTGGAAAGGTCATGTACGTGCCATTACCAAGCCCCGACGAACGAGCTCTCATCTTGAAGACTCTTGCTCGGAGGAAACCGCTGGCCCCTGATGTTGACCTGGGTCTCATTGCCCAGGACTGTGAGAACTTCAGTGGGGCCGATCTCTCCTCCTTGGTATAATATACCCACATCCCCCACGAAGAAAAAATTCCTGGATCAGAAAGTTTGACTGACTATTAGGGGGGGGTATATTCAATCTTGTTATTTATTTGCTTTTTTCGTCCTCACCCAGGTCAATGAAGCGGCCATGGTGGCATTAGACGAGAAAGAAGGGTCAGTTGACCAAGGCAGTGGACCCTCAGTCATCAAGACCTCTCATTTCGAGCAAGCCCTGATGAAAATATCTCCATCGGTCTCTATGAAGGTAGTTAATATGATATTAGTCATTGCTCTTTCTAACAAGGTAATTTCATGTATGATTCCGGATCAAAATCCCCACCATTCTCTTAATGGTTGCGATGAACAGCGACGGAAATACTACGAGGATTTGTCGAAGCACTTCAAAGCAGCTTAAGCAGTGGTGCATCGATGAATATACGACAGTGGAGAGAGTTGTGTTATATGCGGTATCTGCATCTCCTCTTGGTTTTTTTAGTTTTGTTTATGGGTTTATTTTAATTTTATCTTATCAATAGGTGCCTCAGAACTCTCAGTAGAACATAAGAGTTGGATATGCTAGAGCTTTCTCTCTCTGAAAATTTTATGTTATTCTTAGCTAAAAAAAAGAAAAAAAAAAGAAAAAAAAAGTGAGTTCGGTATGCTAGAGCTTTCTCTCCCTGAAAGTTTATGCTATTCTTAGTTAAAAAAAAAGAAAAAAAAAGTGAGTTCGGTATGCTAGAGCTTTCTCTCTCTGAAAATTTCATGTTATTCTTAGTTATAAAAAAAGAAAAAAAAAGTAAGTTCCATATGCTAGAACTCTATTTTCTCTCTCTTATTTTGATTTTATCTTATCTATTTTAATTTTATCTTATCAGTAGAACATGAGTTAGGTATGCTAGAGCTTTCTATCTCTGAAAATTTTATGTTATTCTTAGTAAAAAAAAGGAAAAAAAAAGTGAGCTGGGTAGGGGAGAATTCTATTCTCTCTCATAAAGTGTGTTTGGCTGAAATATCTATTGAGTTATAAGCAGAGACCTTAGAAGATTAATTATTATATGATAAGCAAAGTAGAAATTGGGCAAACAAATTGCAAATTAATGGCATGCAAAAAATAATTATCTGGTGATATTAGTGTAGACACATATTACATTATGAAAATGTGATTGTAACATTATGATCAATTATTAAATGTGAAGTATTGAATTTAGTGTAAATTATTATTGAGATGCTTTCGTGACTAAATTATTTTAGCTGTAATCACTCAGGAATTGAGAAATTTCATTGATAAGTGGTCTCATGCTCCAAATGCTAATTAATAATTTGATACCCAATCATTCAAAAATAAAATCTGAATTTTTACCACAAATTTAGAGATAAAAAGAATTTAATAAATGGCCCCAAGAAAATTAAATGAGACGAATTATTATAAATTTTACATTTTTTTTGTAAAATCTACTATTATGGAGCTTCTTGATGCATTTAAGTATTTTAACTAGTTAAACTCCATGCAATTAGATTAAATGCATTCAACAAAATGAAGAGCTTATTGATAGATCCAATTAGTTTACATTTTTTCAGGACTTTTTTTATTTTAATTCAGAAATAATTATGAACTTGCTTTTTTAAGAACTTGCTTCATAGATGAGTCTAAATTCATCAAGCCATCCTATTAAAAGTAGTGTAATTCATTGGTTATTGGGGGGAAAGTCAACCCTGACTAAGATCAATCTAATAAGTCTGGTCAGCTTAATCGCTGTCAAGCATCAAGGGCTAATAAACTTTCTAGGTCAACGTTTATAACAAGAATGATACATGCAACATGACCAAGGCGAAATCGTTGATCTCCATCAAAATGGGAAGAATCTCACCACATTCGGATAGAAAAGTTGACAATTAATTTCTAGAGAGGGATCTGAGTTGACTAATCAGAATCCCAATCAAACGTGCAAGTGGGCTTCGCTTGAGAAGTACTTTTAGATGGCTCATTTGCTTCAATCGGCTCTCTCCCACCTGAATAGGCTGTTCTATCCTTCATCATGGGGCACCCAAGAAATCAATCATTTCCTTATTAGACAACCTCTCTCTCTCTCTCTCTCTCTCTCTCTCTCTCTCTCTAAAAATCAACACCACCATATGTCAACCTACGATGGGGCCAACAACAGCACCAGAAGAAGGCAGAACAGCAGGTTGACCCTGAAGAACCTGGCGGCAGTTGACTCCGATTTCTTCACATATACAATGAAGCTCCCGTTGGAACTTTGCAGCGTATTGCCAGGTGTTCCAACATTCTTGCAGACTCCAGCGGGGGATCCATCCTAAAGGAAAAAAAAAACCCACGTTAACAAAATAAATCAAAATAATAAATTAAAAACCATAATTGATGGATCATGATAATATGAAAAATGCGCCAAGAAATTAATGATAATATGACTAGAAAAAGTATATTTTTAGAGACCTGGCAGGCGGCGACTGTACTGCATCCACACAAAGCCTGCCCATTTATTCTGTCCACCACGTCAAAAACCCCCCCTCCATCACTTCTCTGAAGATACGCCCCTATGGTTAGACTTTCACATCGAAATGAACAGTGTAGAGAGAGAAAGGGAGAGAGAGAGAGAGCGGGGGTTTGTTCACACCAAGTAATAGTTAACAGCCAGGAAGTTGGGCATGAGATTCCCTGCGGCCCCATAGCAAATGGCCACCATTTCAGCAAGCCCTCTCGAGTGTTCTCTGCAGGCGTCGCTTTCGACAGGCATAGTAGGGAAGTAGTTTAGGAGAACAAGAGACGCAGTTCTAGAATTCAGTGGCTGCGACTCCTTCCTGTTGGGGCACGAACCCTGCACTATACCCGGATCTCCAGCTGCCAGAGTTTGAGAGATTATTCAAGAGAAGTACCCAAGATAAATCAGCAAGGAATGATCACACATTGCGAAGAAGAACTCAGTGAGAGAGAGAGAGAGAAAGGGTAAATGTAACAGACCGACATACATCATCCATCTGATGCAAAGCGAATATAGAGAGTAGATGAACTGAATTTATAGGAATAATACCTATAATTTGTTTTGAAATTAATCGCATACTTTTAATAAAGTATATACTCTAACAATTCATCAGAGAAGAGTATATACTTCTGACCCAGATGGGCAAATCACAGAAGAGTTTCTGGACCAATCGCTCATAAGGACTCTGCAACAGATTTGTGCATTGAAAAAATGGATGCTTTGAAAGAAAGAGACCTCTGACCTGTGATTCGATAAGAAAGTAGAAAATATTTGGGAAATAAAGGCTACCATCAGGGAGAGCAAGTCAACTGATGGGCCTAGTTCACACCAAAAGAATGCCTTTGAAAGATTCTTTTGATGACAATATGGTGCAATAGTTATATAATTTACCTTCTTGATATCTCATCCTTTCGAACACACCACAGTGTAAAGGGTTTTCACTGCAGAAGGAAATAACATTTTTCCCAGGAAAGATGATCATTTCATTGATTTCAGATGAGCATTATCCTATGGAGCATCACGCCATTCAGTCTTTAGATTCTTTAGTCGGAAAATATGAAGCTGAAATCCAAATCAAAATAAGGCCTTCACCACATAGATGGTTTCAGATCATCCCTTCAGGAATCTTATCTTAATATATATTAAGGGAGATTCTCCACATTCGCTTATTTTACAAAAGAGCTGCATTTCGATCACTCAGAAAAATTGAGAGTGCTCAGGAAGCAGAAGAATCTGAAAATATTATGTCAGAAAATAAGTCATCTGAAAATATTATGTTAATCAATAAGATATGAAGCCAAGAAAATATATTATTACTCAGAAATAAAGTATGTGATGAAATAAGAGGGGAATAATATGGAAATCTGCATCATATGGGAACACGCACTCTTTGAATATGTATGATCAATTGGATGCCAATAAAGAAGATGGGTAAGCTGTTCACAAAAAGGAATTCACATAAATCAAATTGCAGTTTGTCAAAGGAAAAAAAATAAAATCCTAAAACTTTCTAGGACACAAAAGGCAGAAAAAATTGAAATGACTTGTACCAGAAATGAAGGGAAATGGCGGGAGATCAGATAATACGAAAAGGGAGGAGAAATTGATAAATAGCCGCATGTACAGCCAATTGGATTGGAATAAGTAGAAAGCTAGTGAAGCCTTCCATTCAGGGAAACGACATATTTAGCCCAGAAATAGTGGGCCTTTGGTCACCGCTGGAACCTCAATACGACTGATCACGTTATTAGTTTCCTGCTCCAAAGAATCTCATCTTACAAAGATCATCGAAACGAGGGTGACAGATATGACTCAACCAACGAGTCACATAAATCTTCCTTTGAGGTTTTCCACTAAGCTTTTATAATTCTGATTGAAACCCAGTAGAAAATGCATCTTGCCATTGAACCACAAAACCGCGCCCAGGGAAGATTGGAACAGTGGTCAGGATTTGGAACTATCTAGACAAATCGGAGTAAGGATCTTGGATGAGACTTTCTAAGCATGGAAATGTCTGACGAATGCAGAGGCGCCATACTAATAGGAACACATCACCAAGAACTAATCACACAATTTGGAGGTATTAACGCTCAAGTTTTAACTAAAAATTAGTTCACAAACGAGCTAACCATATTTATGTCTCGTATTGCAATAGATAGCATGCAACCGACTTGTAAAAGGGTATTTCACTGCATACAAGACGGAAAATACCGGAAATATTATGGTGAAGATCCACCCCATGGGAACAGATCTGATGGAGGGCAAATATTCATCAGGTTCCTTAAGCACTTACGTTCATTTTCCAGCAAATGTCTCCACTGGAAGGCAATACCTTCCTCAGCCTCCTTTGATGCGTCAGATGTAAACACTAATAACCGGTGATTTTTAGCAACCATTTCCGTGACAGACGGCCAGTCTCTCCCATTTGTTGGCATTTCTGAAACTGGGTACCAGAACTTGAGGAGGCCAGCATCAGTGAACAGCTTCGTTAGACCCTTTGCTGCGCGGACATAATCTTCAATGATAATTGTCACAATTTCTGATGGATTAGCACTCAAGAACGCCTCCACTTCCTTCAATGTGTTGATTGCTGGCCCCTTACGTATTCAATGAGAAGCCAAAGTTCAGTCAACTATCTCTGAAGAAACCAGAGACTCGAGAATAGCGATGCCCCTGGAGGAACAAAGCTGGTATACTCTCCAACATCTGTCTGCTCCTAACAAGTCAAATCTTTATGATCCATACAAAAGGTGCCTTTTTCTTCTGTTACCCCGAACGAGAAAAATACATCAATTTTTAAAGTTTTTCATTACCGATATTATATTAATTTCATGCACGATCAATGCCCAGTCACTATAGGAAGTCACGTTCACGTTGCTGAGACTTCCCAGAAAAGAAAAAAAGTCAAAGGGGAAGAAACTAAGATGGATAAATTGGGGACAAAGGAAAATAAAATTATAAGGTCAACTTACAAAAGCAGTGAAGTTGTAGCACTGCCCTTTGAGGGAATGGCAAAGCCAGACGTCGCCCCTGAAGTCATACATGTCCAGCATCAATCCCCTCACACCATTCTGAAAGATTAAGCCAACCAATAAATATTCCATAAATATGGAGATCTCTAGGAACCCGATGGATTGTGGAAGATAAAAGGAAAAAGAAAGTACCCTCAACTGGTTGGTCACAGAATCTTCCTGGTTGTAGATAGTAAGCCGCGGGGTGCCTGTGAAGGAGGGCTCGTTCAGTATGGAGAAGGCGTTGTGTGTGACGAGCCAGGTGTACTTGTTGAAAGGAAGCCCCTTGACCTGTTCTTGTTGATACAATTTAGCGAACATTTCCTGGACTGTATCCCATAATTCACGGCATGATCACGAGAGAAGCTCAGAGGATTTACAATGGACGCCGGCTGGACGGCCTGACCCCTGATGCATCTGGGCTGGTTTGCGCCGTCGGCGGGGCAATTGCCACAGAACAAGCCGGCTGCGCAGTCGCCGTTGGAAGAGCACGGGTCAAGCATCTGCAAAGACTCGAGAACGGAAGTGGGTCGGGAAGCAAATCGCTCTGACGAGTGCGCAGAGAGAGAGAGGGAGCAGACCTGGCACTCATGGTTTGAGCAGGAAGTGGAGGGCAGGATCACAGTAGCGGCAGCAATGGCGAGTGACAGCAAGAGACGAGGGAGGAGCCTCCCTGGCATGCTGCTGCTTCGGTTCTTTGAACCTTCCTGCAAGTTTACCCTCCTTCCTCGTCTTCTCAGCACCACCAGCACCCCTCAACCCGCCGCAAGATCGGAGAGATCCCAGTGACGACAAGAACAATTAACTCGTTAACCTGCAAGTGATCCAGACGGCGTGATCGCCGCTGGGGAGACCAGAGAGTAAAGGTCGGCGGCAATAGCAACTGGATTGCTCTTCGCTGAATTCCCCGAACTGCCCATGGCGATGCAGACAGAAGATTTGTACCAGTGAGACTTCCTGCCCAATCCTTGGCATTAGATGAAGAGTTGACCTTCCAGATAATAAAACATCCGTCAAAACGTAATAAAAGAGAAAAGTTCGTATTTTTAATAAAGATGTCATCTTCCTGCTTTATTCCCGTCTATTCCCACCTGTCCTAATTTCTTAAATATTAGCGTGGATATATGCGACGATTCAAAACATCATCCGATTTCTCCCCTCACTTAAATGCCTGCTAATTCTATTATTATTATGTGGTCGTCTCCCTTCTTGTTCAACCCAAGTAGATTTTCACCCTCCAATATTAGCTTATGCTTTTATTCATCTTTGACTTTTTCCATATAAATGTTAAGGAATAGACTTTCAATGGTTAAGAGATTGTCTTTGTTATATTGTCCGAATAAGAAAGTTACGCTCTTATTGGTCACTACACACAGTCGAGCTATTTATCACAATTCTTCATCTAAAAGCAGCAAGGTAATGCTAAAAATCAAGAAAAACTTAAGGGAAAAACCCTTGGAAGAGTATGAGAAAGAAGGATAGCAAGTGAGTATACAAATTTGATATCTTTCTTACCTTGCACAATGAATTTAGTCATGAATTTATGAAGATCGAAATTGAAATAAAGAGATCTAGCATTTGTGGAAAAAAGAGAGATGTCTTACTATCTTAGTTGCCCTTATGGTCCATTTGGAGCCATTAAATGAAAAATATAATCTCACTACATCTCACTTTTATCTCACATTTGTAGTTTAATCTCACATTTTTCTCATTATAAATATAAAAGATATCACCATGGGTTCTTTTCGGGTATAGTTTCCTTTCTATTTCTCCCTTGTAGCTGTTACTCGAATTCGTGCAAATTTTTGGAGGAGCCCATGTTAAAAATTCAATCGTCATCAGGGGCAGGGCTTTTCTCACCAGAAGATAATTTTATCTTAGAATATGTTTAGAATTTTGATGAAGATAATGATGATCATAACTTGATATTTGTTGTCCTCTTTTTCGTAAATACTTGTTGACACAAACACCACTTGTGTTGTTAGACCTTATTGTGTAAGAAGTCACCTAACAATCGAACAATCTCACTAACTTTTAAAAACCTTTATTCACCCACCCTCTTAGTGTTTCAACATTAAATACAATTATAACAATAAATTTCTTTATTTTTCATTGTTACTTCAATGTTAAAATCCAAACATTAGTTAGAAACGTGAATGGTAATAAAGTAATACAACATGACATTTAAGGGCTTAGATACCCTCTTAAAGAAATCAATGTGTACTATCAAGTACTAACATCTATATTCAAAGTTTATCAATTTTAATGACCTTGATAATAATCTATGATCCATGGTGTATAATTAAAAATATATTTTGCATTAAAGTAATAATTTCACATTCAAAACTAAGCCAAATGGCCTCAAATTGATTGCAAATATCAAACAAAGACATGACCTCATATCAATAATCTTTACTTTGATGAGTTATGACAACTTAAATTATGATTAATAGTTTTTAATATTTCTAAAATCTCAATCACTTATGTAAGTAGTTCAAATTCAATCTATTAATACAATGTGAAGAATAATTGAAAGTAATGATTTTATATTGTATACAAAGTAATGTTTCACAACCATTTTTGATATAAATAATGCTCAATGTTCTGACGTGTTAATTATTACTTTTCATAAGTAATAGTATACGTAATTATTAATAATCTTCAAAGTAATAAAAAAAGTAATAATTTTTAGGGTTAAAATCAACCAAGTTCAAATCTAAAAAGCATGAGACTAAATGAATTCCTTGGAGTTCTATTTTGATCTTTGACATTATTATTTTTAATTCATCTTGAATTTATACTCAATTAATTTCATGCTCATATATAAATGAATATACATACACATGATCTGTAATGAGGAACCAAAATAATTTGATTCATTTATTGATCCTATGTGTCTTTGTCACTATCAAAATATTATTCATTTATGATCCAATGACTTGGTCATTTAAAATTGTAAGCTAAAATGTTAAGGTAGCAACAAAACTTTGTTGTTTGATCACCCACTCATAAATCTAGAAGTGAGTGACGAGGAAATTTACGCTGCTAGAGTTAGAGATCTTGTGGAGGTAAGCTAAACTCTAGTTTTCGCTTATTTTTACAATATGTAGATAGTGGAATGCTAGTATCTTTAGAGAATGGAGTAATCCAAAAGATTCAAGCCACTTCAAATTGTTTCAGTCTTTGTGATCTCTATTGTTCATAGGCAGTTGACACACCATAGTTCACTATATCCCACAAAATGCTGCATTTGAAACGAAGACTAATTCATTCAATACTAAATCATGTTCTTAATTCATTAAATTATATTATATGTGTATATCTTCTATAATCTATTTTTATCATTCTTTATTTGTGTTAATATTAAACTTTTTATGACCTCTTAACACTTAATTAAAACCTTAGTAGACTAAAATAGTAAAGTAGTAAGGTTAATTTGTAGATTTCTTTGAGTGGTTGATTCACCCCTCTATATGCACATTCAATGAAATTGGGGTATCTAATACAACTATTTTTACTACTTTCTAATTTAAAATTATTGAAACATATCTTTCTCTAATAAATCCCTAAAATAATAGTATTACTACTATTGGGGATTAATGTATCTCAAGGTTTCTATGTGCCTTCATAATAACACAATTCATATCAAGGTTACTTCTCACAACTTCTATAACAATGTTTGTATAGAAAATTTATTGCCTTTCAAAATTTTCAATGGTAACCAAATTTCAATGGTGAGCACTTTGAGCTGTATCAAGTTGCTGTGATAAATGATATTAGTAAGTATAATATACATCAAGTTGCAATAGTTTGAATCTCACTACAATTAAAACTCATACTTTTATTTGATTAAAGCATCATTTTTCTATAGAGTGTTGATCAATGGTTATGCTGTTCATCAATGTTTTAAATATTATTAATACAATTCACAAAACATCATTAATAACTCACAAATGATTTTAGATAAAAGATTATAAAAAAATTATTGAAGATATTATTAAAAAATTATCTTAGATTGATCAACAAATGAGTCATCGTCAGAAAGAAGATTTGTCGAAGATGAGTCACCTCCATCTATAAAAATGAAGAGTTTTTTTTGTTGTGTAGGCTTAAAAATGAAGCTTCCAAAGACATACTCCACCTTCATTTAATTTATCTCTATTGAGTGATAGTTACTAGAGATCTACAAGTTGTGGTGTTTTCACTTTGTTAGATGATTCCTTGACCCACAATTAATTTTTAAACTTTGAATAGGATTTAAAGATTGTTCATATCATCTATGTCCAAAAAGAGCCTTTGAGATAACAAACATTGCATGATAATTTTTTTGAACATATAGAATTATAACGATCATTACTGTAAAATTGAAACTCTTTAAACCTAATTTTTATTCAAATTAGTAAGATTTTGTGTGATTTTAAGTTTTTACTTTTTATAGATTTTAATTTGATCAATAAAATTATTTGTAATCATTTATACATAAATCATTGAACTGAACTCTATTTTCACCCAATTGCATTCGTCATAGTGCTGATACCATCCTAACCTGAATTTTCCTTTTTAAAATTTTAAAATATATTTAATTTTCATTATTTAATCTAAAAATCATGGAAACTTATATATTTTAAGAAAATTTCTAATATTTTACAAGATATTATTTTACATTCTTGTGATTGAATTGAAAACTTCCCACTATTTTGAATTTTTTTAATAAATTATAATTAATTTATTTATACTGAAATATTTTTAAAAATTAGTATTGTCTAGTTTCCTAGATTTGTATGATTTATTATACAATAATTAGGTCACATCACCTATTCACCCACCCCTCTATATATACTTTCTAGCCCATCTGGACATTTCAAATGAAACTAGTAGTTCAAAATTTAAATGTAAACCTTTAAACCACATGAGTGTTGTATTTAATACAACCATTTTCACTACTTTTCAATTTAAAATTAATGAAGCAGATTTTTTTCCAAGAAATCCCTAAAAGGAAGAATGACTACTATTGTGGATTAATAATGTATCTCAAGGTTTCTATGTGCTTATAGAATAGCACAGTTTATATCAAACTTACTTCTCACAACTCCTACAATGTTGATATAGAAAATTTGTTGCCTTTTAAAATATTCAATGGTAACCAAATTTCAGTGGTGAGCACTTTGGGTTGTATCAAGTTGCTGTGATAAATGATAGTAGTAAGTTTGGCTGACATCTAGCATCTAAATAAAATGTATTAGAGCTAGACACAACCATATACACTGTTCTTGTGCTCGAATACATTCCCCATTAAATAATATAGAGACTCCTCTATTTCTATTACCATAACTACCCATCTATTTGCGGAATCTTCCTTTTCCGACAATTTCTCTCTTTTTCACATCATCAATAAAAAATTAACGGCATTCAAATGAGATTCAGCAACAGTAGCGAAGGAGCTTCGTGTTGAACTCATACAATTCGATGTAGAGAGGAAATTGCAGTCCGGCTCTAAAGAAGTTGCCGAATCTGCTTCCCGCTTTTCTGGCCCTCTGCTAACTCCCATCGGCGCTCGCAGTTGACCAGCGACAATTGCCGCCGCTGGACGCCGCCAACTACCATGGATGGTATCAGCCACCACCCACCACTTAGACGCCACCAACCACCGCTGGACGCCGCCAACTACCCTGGATGGTAT